TATGAAACATGTATAGAAATTGTAATTTGTGTGTTTCATTATTATTTGATGTGATTGTTCTAGAATTGTGAATCTTGCTTCTATCTCCTCTAAGAAATTGTCAAATTAATCTATGAGAGAGACTAACCTGAGATTCCTCTTTAATTTAGATGGTAAGAGAGCAATGAGCCACGTCAAATTGATTGGGGGTGGGTCGACAAGGGCTGGGAAATGGTGTAGGCTTCTTCAGAGCAGCACCAGATCCTGATAGTATCTCGACGAAAGAAATTTTGTTGCCACTCTCTTGGGTTTTATCCTCCGATCTCCGTCGTATGATCGATGTTGAGTACCATCCTAACTCGATCGAATCACTACCCTACCGTTAGGAGATGAAATCCCTCGGGACGGACCCAGAACAGTGAAGTGATGGACGAGTGGTGCTCTATTCAACCTAGGGCACCCCTATATCATAGGAGCTCCATCCAATCGACTCCCTGGGGGATTACCTGGACGATATAGCGTTAGGAGTGACCCAAAGACGCTAAGAAATGGGCTCTAAGGGGATTTTCCCTCTTACATTAAAAGCTCAATTGACATGCTATGAAAACCAAACTCATGCCATTCATGAAACCCGTCCATCAAATAGATAATAAACACAACAAACATGGAATTCGTCAAATACATCAAAACCCAATCAAAATCTAGAACTAGGGTTCTTAAACCTAAGAGAAAAGGGTGAGTTTCTAGAGAGAGAAGACAGATATTACACATTGGAGCACAATATCTTCTTCATCTTCTAGGCTTGATTCCTTGCTTCCAAACTTGACCAATGCCTTCAATTAAGATCCAAGATCACTCAAGAATTCTCTCTCTCTCTCACCAGAACTCCCCTTTGGTGTTTTGGTTCGAAACCCTAGAGAAAGAAACTAATTCCTCTCTAAAAACCAACTCTCATTTCTCTCTACCAGTTGTTGTCTTTATATTTGCCCGACAATGCCGGCTTCACGGATATTATTCACGGATGTGATATCGGAGGCCAGACTGTGATCTCGGCCAAGAACGTACCATTGTGGGCCATTTTCACGGTTTGCGGTGATTTTGGTTCGGGGCCGTGAAATACTTGGGATCCAGTGAGGCGCGGAATGGATGCTGGAATTTGGCCACTTCACGGTTTGGGGGGTGATTATAACGGTCTCGGGACCGTAATAAATGAGTCCTGCCCTTGAAGTCTTGCACTTTACCCCCCGGGGGTGATTTTCATCCCCTTAGGGCGTGACATTTGCCTCAGCCTAGACATTTTTGCTCGTTTTCACCTCCGAATGACCCAAAACTCGTCTCGGACCTTCCCAACCGTGCTAGGACCTGAAATGTATCGAAAACAAGTGCAACCTAGCATAAAATAGGTCCGGGGAGGTGATCTACTAAGAAAAACGAACAAGAAATGAGAGGTAAAATGTGTACAATTGGACCTGAATCACACACCTGATGTTCATACAAGTTGTTTACCTAAAAGAGAGCCCCAACAAGTGAGCTCTTGGAATTCCGATGCAAAAAATGGGTTATGCATAAATGGTTTGTACAAAAGACCATACTATGACCATATTTATTTTACAAGGATATTATACTTATCATTTCTTTCATTTTAATGTAAATTCATATTATGAATGAAGTGATATTACCACAAGCCATAAATTGCACCATGTAATAGTCGTTTGGATTAATGTGCACTGATGCAAAATGTCGTGTAGCTGCCATAAAGGAGTAAGAGAGGACCAATCAGTATGTTTGCTGTCGAGAAGGATAAAATCATGATAATGGAGAGGTTACATGATGATTGACTTATACAAATTTAATACATAGAAAGTAACAGGATTGTCATTCATTTGTGTGTTTAGTGTAGCAGAGTGTTTATGAGTGATTTGGAGTATTGAGAAAAGTTGTTATTTGCTTGTGTTTAAAGGCATATGTTGCTTGCCTCTTTCTTTTGTTTGTATTTGAGATTTCAACAGCAGATTGCATTTTTTGTATTTCTTTTCTATTTCTTTCATTTTAATAAACAGAACTAATTATCAGAAAAAATTGGCCGACGTATTCCATAAACTTGATTTGGACAATTGGTTTCGGTTTTCTCAGCCAGGGATTCATTACCTTTGGTGTCACTGTGATTTTTGGTTCAAGGGCAATCCAGATTGGGTATTCTTTTTTTTATAATGGTGAAATAAATTAAATTGAGAGAGAGTACAGAGTAACAAAGAAACAAACCAAGGCAAAAGAGAAGGGCACACTAAACTTAGAGAACCAGGAACTCAACATGCGTCATTGCAGGAAGAAAGAGGAGGAAGCAGCGAAAACACAGAGCAGCAGCAAACAGACCAAAAGCAGCAAAGGAACACCCCTCAAGAACACACAACAACGAGCAGAGGTGAGCCAGGATAGAGGAGGCTCAAGAAACCACTGAGTCCACACGACCGTCATCATCAATCTCCTCCAACTCGTCTGCAATAGTAGGCAAAATAGGCGTGGCAACATCTCTAGGTAGCAGGCAAATGTTAACCACACGCAACCAGAAACTAGCTTGATCCCTATCGACCTTGTGTGCAGCACCCAACCACTCAGCAATACAAAAGGCAATCTGAAAAGCAACAACCTGTCCATCCACACTCGTATCTCTGAAGATCCTTGAGTTACGTTCCAACCAAAAGCGCCAACAGTATGCGTGGAGAAAGATCGGGGAGCACCACTCCTTAGGATTAGCCGGCTTTCCACAAGGTCATCTCCTCATCAGATCCGTGATATCAATGCCATTGATCTTGAGATCAACAAAGGAGAAAAGTGACTGCCACACTTCCTTGAAAATCTGTAGAGAAGGAAAATATGATCCACGGACTCCTCCTGATCACCGCACAAGACGCACCGGCTTGGGAAAGCCCATCCTCTCCGCTTCAGGACATCCTGAGTTAGAATTTTCTTCTGAAACACAATCCACATGAACACACAGACTTTCGGAGGGACCACGGGTAACCACACAAATTTATATGGGAAAGAAATCAAGCCAGGGAACTGCTCCTGGAGACATTCAGAGTAAAAGGAGTGAGCGGTGAAACCAGTGGCTAGAGAAGGATCCCAAATAAGTCGAGATGGACCTGCAAAGAAGGAGTCAGCGGGTAAAGCATTAAGAAGATTTAACAAAGATAATCTCTCACTCTCAGCCCCCCCCCCCCCCTTCTCAAATTGAATTTCAAAGGAATATCCCACGTGACTCTCCCCTCAGAAACAGTGGCAGCATCAGAGATCCGGCAATTAGGCAACTCAGTTGCAGCAGTGACCCTAGGGAACTCTTCGCCAAGAAGCCTCTTGCTAATCCACATGTCATGCCAAAGAGAAATCCTCGAACCATCACCAGCTTCCACATGGGCAAAACTAGAGAACAAGTTCCTAGTCTTCATGATTTGCGCCCAAAGACTCAAACTATTAGGACCAGGACTGGGGCCCGACATACATTCGGATGAAATATTAGGGAACTTGACCGAAACCACCACCCTCCACAAAGAATCCAGTTCCAACGCGAAATGCCACCACCACTTACACAAGAGGGATTAATTGCGAAGCCTAAGATCAGAAATACCAAGCCCACCGCAACGCTTCGGGGCCTTGCACAAATCCCAGGAAACAAGATGGGGCTTCCTCACACCCTGCAGCCCATACCATATAAAATCACGCTGAATCTTCTCCAATTTATCAATAACGGAATGAGGGGCATAGAACAGACATAACATATGCACAGACTGACTAGCCAACACCGCATTGCACAGAGTGATCCGCACGGCCAGAGAGAGATAAGATGCCAACCAAACATCTAGCCGCCGACCCATTCTACTTGGAACGTTATTCCAAATAGAAGTGGGGGGTAGGAGACGCACCAAGCGGAAGCCCAAGATACTCCGTGGGGAGGAACTTCCACTCACATCCAATAATCTCAGAAAATCTGTCCAAACTCTCAACTTCTCCCACCGGAAAGAGCTTACTCTTCTCAAAATTCACCTTGAGTCCAATAATGCTTTGAAACCACAAGAGGGCAGCACTCAAGTGGAAAACCTCCACCTCCGAAGCATCATAGAAAATAATCGCATCATCAGTATATAATAAATTACTCACTTCTCCCGATCTACCCTGCTCATCCATACAAAAACCAGAAATAAGACGAGCCTCCCTAGCCTCATTCAAGATAAAGGACAGGACGTCCATGACCAAAGAAAAGAAATATGGAGAGAGAGAGAGAGAGAGAGAGAGAGAGAGAGTCCCCCTGTTTCAAACCTCTCTGCATTCCAAAGAAACCCCCAGCTTCACCATTCATCAACACCAAGAGCTTAGCCGACGTCACAATACCTCTTATCCACTTCCAGAAACGCGGATGAGTCCCATGCTCTGTAGGATTCTGAAAAGGCAACCCCAACTCACGGAATCAAGAGCCTTCTCAATATCGAGCTTCAAAATCAGCCCTGGACGACCACTCTTCTTCCTACTATCAACCAACTCATTGGCAATCAAACTTGCTTCATGAATCTGTCTGCCCTTAATACCCGCAAACTGCTGAACAAAGATAGTCCTCCTCGTAAGATAATGCAACCTCCTGACAAGAAGTTTTGATATGATCTTGTTTAAGCTCCCAACAAGGCTGGTTGGATGAAAATCATTCAGACCCTCAGAAACTTCCTTCTTAGGAATCAAACACAGGAAAGAATGCCCAATAGAATCAGGGACAAAACCAGTAAGAAAAAATTTTTCAACCGCCTTCAACACGTCAGCCTTAATGATATTCCAGGCTTTCTTAAAGAACTCGATGGTAAAAACCATCCGGGCCCGGAGCCTTGTTACGACCACACGATTTCATAGTGTCCCAAACTTCGGATTCCGTAAAAGGGGCTGTGAGTTGGGAGTTTTCCTCCAACCCAACGAGATCCTTCATGTAGTCTGCAGGGAAGGGCCGAGAAGGATTCTCTTCAGTGTACCGCACCTGGAAGTGAGAAATAAATGCTTTCTTGATCTCCACTTTTTCACATAGAACCTGCCCATCACTTTAAGAACCTGAATAGTATTCCTCCTCCAGTTGAAATTAGCAACCCAGTGGAAATAAGAGGAGTTTTTATCCCCCCAACTGAAGCCAATCCCTAGAGTTTTTCCTCCAAGAGATCTCTTCCATCAATAGCACCCTATCCAGCTCACATCTATGCAACCTCCTGTCATTCTTCAAAGTCTGATCAATCGGATTCCTCTCCTCCGCGTCATCGATCTCCTTTATTTGTTTAAGAATCCTCTCGATCTGCTGTTGAACTCTTCCAAAAACCTCCACATTCCATATTTTGATCAATTGTTTAGTACTTCTCAGTTTCTTCCCAATCTGAAAGAGCCACATCGAACCAGAAACGGGAATACTCCACCATCCTATAAGGTTATGGAGGAAGGACGTCTCAAGAAGCCACATATTTTCAAATTTTCAGGGACGATGAATGAACTCAGCAGACCCCCCACCGAAAACAAATCGGAGTGCGATCTGACTCAACTCTCTCAAAAGCGAGCAAAGGACCAGGCGCAAACAACTCCTCAAAGGAACCAAGGCCCTATCAATGCGAGAGAAAGATTGACAGGAACCATTACCTTGTCGAGTGAAAAGAGCACCAGAAAGGGGAAGATCAATTAGATGGTTCAAATTACTGAAGGCGTTGAACTTTTCCATCATAGCCCGGCACCTAGCCCCTCCGATATAATATTCGTCTGATCTCACAAGGTTAAAATCCCCAAGATACACACCGGAGCACTGTATCTGCCGCAAATAGAATTCATTTCTTCAAGAAACTCCAATTTACCCTCCCTGTCATGTGGCCCATAGACAAACACCACAACCAAGATATCCTTACTATGGCAATCTTGAAGCCTAACCCGCAAGAGATAACTTTCCTTCCCAAGAATTAAGGAGCTTAAAATCAGCAATGTCCCAATACACCGCGATACCACCACAAGAACCATTAGCATCCTTAGCCACCCAAGAAGAACGCCTGTTGCCACTGACCGAGTTAATAAAAAACTGAGAGTAATAACTCCATTTAGTCTCCACCAGACCCACAATAGAAGCACAACATCACTTGACAATGGCCTTGACACGCGCCCTTTTATCCGACTCACAAAGGCACCTCACATTCTAGTACAAAATAGAATTAATCATGATGAAGGTTCAAGAACAAACCCTCTCCGGGGCAGAGATCCCCTGTTACGTGAGAGACTCTCATCAAACCCACCAAGGTGTTTCTTACGACTCCCCTCCGGCGATAGGGGAGGAAGCTCAAGAGAGCCCAAATGATGACGTTCCATATCAAGCATTGATCTAGAGACCCTTTTCTTCCTATTCTTCACCTTGGCAGCCAGCTCCTCGAACTGAGCATTAGCATCAAAACTCGAACCAACCAAATTAATCTTCAACAATTGCCCAAGGTGGCGACCGACTTCTAAAAGACTCGTGAAATTCAAGCTCAGCTTGCCACTCCTTGAGGAAAACCTCGTCAATCGGATGAAACTCCACAATAGCCAAAGGGTTCGTATCCAGGCAAGCACATGCGCTAGGTCCATGCTCACCACCAAGATCTTCCAAAAAAGACTCACTCTCTGGCATAAAGTCAAAAGAAAGAGGATCATCAGAGGAAACAGACAAAAACGGTGAGGATAGGGATGGGTATGGGTATGGAAAGGAAGGGTTGAGGGGGAAGAAAGGGAAAGGGGTTGGGATTGGCGAGGGAGCAGAGGTCAACAGGAAGCTGGATCGAGGGAGTTACCGGGAGAAGGTTAAGGGACAATCAGAGATAAAGGGTTGAGGAAGTGTTGAAGGCAAGAAGGATGGACTAAGAAGCAGAGAACACGTTCACGGAAACAAAAGGAAATGGTTGGGGAAGGGAGGAGGATAAGGCAAGTCCAACGGGGAAAGAAAGAGAGGTTGGGTTTGGGCCAGGAGTCAAGTGGCTCAAATCTTGGAGACAAACGATGGGAAGGTGGGGTGGGCTCGGGTAATTGGGCCAGACAGGAGGTAGAAGCGGGTTGAACTTCCTAATCCAGATCTTCTTAACCTTCGGGTTAGGGGCGGAGGACGGCGAAGCCCGGGAAACAACGGGATCACACGCAAGAGAGTGGGGCGGCGACTCTTCGTATTCCATTTCGAGAGAAGGAAAAAAGGCTGGACCGAATCCCAAGACCCCAAAAGCCGCTCACGAGCCACGTTCAAATTCCCACCATTCCCGCCAGACACATCACGACGCCGGCCAACAAGATCTGTCGGCGGGGAAAAATGGAGACCGGGAAAATCTGAGGCCCCTGACGCAAAGAAATATGAGAAGGAAAACCATCACAAGATCTAACCTTGATGAGTACGAAAGGCTCATCCCAACAATTCACATCCACGTCAATAAAACCGACACAGAAATCACCAACTCTTTTGAACACCGCCCGAGAACGGAGATGCAAGGGAATACCACACGCTATGATCCAGCTAAGCCTAGCTTGACTCACCAGACTATAACCAATATGATCATGCCAAGGACGTAAGACAACGTTGTAGCCGCGGAACTTCTTGATTCTAGAGGACTTCACCCGAATAGCCTCATGTCGGGAGGGGCAAATGAGCATACAATGATCGCCGATCCGCCTGGTAAAACTAAAACCCTAGCCAAGCTTCCAAACTTGTTGAGCCCAACTTTTGAAATCCTCGCTAAGATCAAACGGAAGACCAACATTAAGGACGCCAAAGAATTCTAAGCACAGGCAAAGGCCAAGAAAATGTCTTTTGTCTTGAACACCAAGGTCAGAAACATGAACTTCCACTTGACCACCAGCAAACGCAGAAGAACACTCCCCAAGCTCTGACGAAAGGCCCGCTTTGAGAAATGAGACAAAGGATCTATCCGACGTTACTGGATAAGCCAAATTCCGGGAGATGACAACAGTCCTTACCGAGGGAAGAAAGGAGCGAGCAACAAGCCGAAACTCAGACCATCCCGCGGGATGACAAGGGATAATGAAGAAAAAGCTTCTTCCCTACTTGTTGACTTCCTCAATTTTAAGGGTCCACTCTCCTCGAATGCGCAAGGAATAGACCGAGATACACCGACCCCTGATGATTTTACTACCAAGAGAGGAAACCACCTTAGAACGACAGGAAATAGACTGCAGCCAGACTCCATGCTGGGACTCAAGGAAGATGAAACGTCGTCGCCATTCCTCCCCAGCCACAGAGAGTTTCAAAAGGGCCCCGTGCCTGGTGCAATACTCCTCAATTGACACAACCTTCAATCCAATCTTCACCTCTTGACGAGTACGATCCCTACAATCTCCACCTTGAAGCTGCCTGCCTGCCGGAAACCTGCAAAAAGGAAAAGAAACGCTCGACCTCTCCCCTCCCCCAAACTCACAACGCTCACTCAGACTCTCTCTACCTCTCTCTAACATTCTGACAACTCAAACATCTAGACTCTCTCCACCTCTCTCTAACATTTTAATCCAGATTGGGTATTGTTGATGAAATCTCTTGGTGCTTCCATAATCACCTTCGGGAATTGAAGCCATATAAGCATTCCTTTATTTGGTTGTTCATATTCACTTTTGGGGCATCATGGTGCTTAACTATAGTTGCTAGAGTTAGGGCTAATTGGTTGGTTTGGATTGTCCATTATGGTGTTTATATTTTACTGATTTTTTTTTTTGTAATACAATGAGATAATGACTTTTCATCAAATTATTATGGTGTTATTAACCTACCTTCGACCTGTTAAGCATATGTAATCTCTTAGGCTACGATTTATGGTTAGGAGAGTTAAGATGAAGTGGGGCCCATTAATTAAGCCCATGCACTAATTAAGCCCATGCACTAGTCGACGTAGGCTATGGGTGTTTAGGGTTTTTGGGTGTAAAAAGGGAGATGTGTGATCAGCTGCTGTACATCATCAGATTCTCTCTTCTCAGTAAAATCAGTAGCCTGAAGAGCGTTCAAAGCTCTTCCGTGGATTAGTCCTGGATCACATCCAGGGATACCACGTAAACTCCGGTGTCTGTGTTTGATTGCTTTCTGTTATCGTTATAATTCTGTGGTCAGTCAATTTATGGCCGAGCCTTGTGTAGATCATTTGGCTGCAGTACACAGAATTTTGAGATACCTGCAAGGAACTAAGGAGCTCGGTATTATGTTTCCGTCGGCTGGTAGTCCCACTCTCCGTGCTTATTCTGATTCTGATTTTGCTGGTTGTATTGATACCCGACGATCTACTTCTGGATGGTGTGTTCAGTTTGGTGACGCCTTTATCTCCTGGCGTTGCAAGAAGCAGGATAAAGTTTCTAAATCCTCCACTGAAGCAGAATATCGTGCTATGTCTGAGGTTGGGTCAGAGGTTGTTTGGCTGCGCCGGCTCTTGTCTGATTTCGGCATCTCCTGTCCTCTGCCTATGGACCTGTACGTCGACAATACAAGTGCTATCCGCATTGCCGAAAATCCGGTACTTCACGATCGCACGAAACATATTGAGATCCACGTCCATTACATTCGTGATCTTGTTCGTGAAGGTACTCTCCGCTTACATCACCTTCAGACCGAAGAGCAGGTTGCAGATCTATTCACAAAGGCTTTTTCCACCAGTCGTCATTGGTTTCTTGGGAACAAATTGATGCTTCGAGATCGGCATCAATTTGGGGGAGGATGTTAAGCATATGTAATCTCTTAGGCTACGATTTATGGTTAGGAGAGTTAAGATGAAGTGGGGCCCATTAATTAAGCCCATGCACTAATTAAGCCCATGCACTAGTCGACGTAGGCTATGGGTGTTTAGGGTTTTCGGGTGTAAAAAGGGAGATGTGTGATCAGCTGCTGTACATCATCAGATTCTCTCTTCTCAGTAAAATCAGTAGCCTGAAGAGCGTTCAAAGCTCTTCCGTGGATTAGTCCTGGATCACATCCAGGGATACCACGTAAACTCCGGTGTCTGTGTTTGATTGCTTTCTGTTATCGTTATAATTCTGTTTCCGTCTTTGTTAACACGACCATCGTTGCAGACATGCTAATGAGTAATATCAATCAGAGTCAGAGTACCTATTTCCGAGACTACGTCCCTCCAAAGAGCCAGGTAATAAGTTAGTTAAAAAATAAGGATAAATGAAAATAAGTCAAGTCGTTGTTAATGCATAAGTCATGCGTGCCATGTCTTCATCACGTTTACCATCCGAATATATTGTAGCCTATAATTCCGCCGAAGCTGCGGTGACGACTTATTCTATATATAATTGATTAATTGTGACAAATTCTGTAGTCGGTTCTAAAATAATTCCTTACGACACGAAGCCATGAAAACTATATTCTCAATGACCTAACCTCACTTTATTATTGATCGAAGACTCGCAATGGGTTGGGTTGGGCGGGTTTTGTCAAACCCAAATACAAACTCAAACTCATCGGTTTATCCGCAAAAAAATCCGGGATAAAACCCGTTGGGTTTGAAAAACTCAAACCCAACCCGTTGGATATTCGCAGGTTCATGGGTATCCGTGGATTTTTGTGGTAAAAAATTTACAATAACAAGTTTCTTTCAAAATAAAAATTGAACACAATTTTCTCATAAAAATTATTCATACAAACAATACCAATCTAGAGCATACAAGCAAACCGCAAATGATAAATACAAATTGTTCAAAATTAAAGATAAACATCTATTAACAACATGATTAATTTAAAACTTCTTCCTCCTTGTTAAACTTCTTCACTCTCCACTCCATGATATCAACTTCTTTCTAAACAATTAGAAAGAACATATTGTACATGTCTCCACAAACATAAAAAAATATTAGGTTTAATGCAGTTTTCAAAACCAGATAAGATTTTGAATAGAAACAATACTTATTTACCGTTGAAATAATAGAATAAATACTTAGTTGTAAAGTCTCTGTTCCCTCGACAACACATCATAGGCAGCAATTGTGAGGCTTCTCTGGGGACAGCTGTGGTGAAGTTTAGTCCTGAGTCTTCATGTGGTGTTGTAGGCAAACTGTTATGGATGGCGATGGATAGTGAGCTTTGGAGGGAGCGATGTCGAAGGCTTTATGCAGGGAAATTCCTCACAGCAGATCAATTCTGTGAGAAACTTCAGAAATCAGTCCACCTCACCAGAATGACTTGTGCAAAGGTTGGGGTTGCTGCTGCTTTACATCTAGCAGAAGGTTTAATGTTTGTCTAGTTTGTTATATGTTATCTGAGTTGTATTAGCTTTGTGGTTGGAAAACTTTGGATGCATTGACTCTCGGTTTGTGAATTGGTGCCAGTTAGGGACTTTGTCCCTTTCTTGATGAATAAGAAACCTCATTCATAAAAAATAATCGTAACCTATTGGAATAGAAGACATATATAGGTGGCTATATCAGTGCAATAATTTTTTTGGATGCATTATATATATGGTGCCTTTTGTACGTACATTTGATAAAATCTAGGGTAAGACATATAGCTTTTGCAGAAGCAGATTTTGGTTGGAGCTTTTTGAGAAGCATTTTTCAAAAAAAAAAAAGCAGTTGAATATTTGGTTGGAACACTATTATAATTGTTTTTCAATAAGAGGTTATTTAAAATTACTATAAAGGATTTATAATATAAAATATGAATAGAAAGCAGAAACAATAAAAGTAGTCAAAATTGATCTTGTTAGATTTCCAATATATTATATAATATTATCTGGTAATTTTTTTAATGATATAAATGAAAAAAATTATATTTTCTAAAATAAAATAAAAATATTGGGGTTAATTGCAAGTTTGGTCACTGAGATTACTAAAAATGTTCACGTTTGGTCATAAAAAATATTTAATTCCAATACTGGTCACTAAGATGAGTTTAACAGTTCATGTTTGGTCACTCAACGTTAGTCTCCGTCTAATTCTGTTCATGCTGTCAGTCATTTGTTGATGTGGCTAACAGAAGTATTGACTCGCCCAATTTTAATCTGCCACATCATCAAATCCGACCCGCCATGTCATCGTGCCCAACCCAACCAGTTAACCAAACCCGACTCAGTAACCGATTCATATTAAAACAAATCTTCAAATTAAAATCCCTAATGTGTCGTCTTCTCCTCCCGACTTTCTTCCTCTTCCTTCTTCGATGGTTCACCGACGACAAGGGAGGAATAGAACCAGACCGCTGCCTCCGAATCCCATCACTGCCCGCCATCTCCGTCGCCTCTCTCCCGCAAGCTCAATCTCACCATCTGCTTCTACCAGACCATGTTTGGGAGGAAGATGAGAAACCCCTGATCGACAAGGCGGTGGAGAGGGACGACGCGCCGCCCCACCTCTGCAATTCCTGCTCCAGCTTCGAGATTATCATCGCCCGCCTCTTAAGTGTCAGATCGTCACCCTCCGACCCAGCCCCGAAGAGGAGATGTGCATCATCTGCATCATAGGGTGCAGTATAGAGAAAGCATTTTAAATGTCAACCTTGCGGGCCGGTCCATGTACTCCTACTTCAACAGTTAAAAATGTTATCTAGCTACCGGTTTTGAGTGAAAACTTAGAGCTACAAATTCAAAGCAAGTAAGAAGTTAAATGGTTGTGGATTCTATATGAGAAAAATTCACCCCGAATATTGCTCCCCTTAGCATTGTATCAAGTTGCCAAAAATCAAAACTCTAGTACGAAGTAGTGTGTTTCTATACAGTGAGGATGGTGCAATAAACGAAGAATACCACTATCTTAGACAATGAATTCAGGCAAATAAATTTAGCTAGAGACCCTAGCTTTCTCAATCAATCTGCTAAGGATTGCTAACCAATCCCTCGGAGGTTAGACCGGAACGATGATAAAGCCATAAAACATAATCAAATCATGACACTAAACCGATTCTTGAGGTGTGTCCTCAATTAACCTAGAAGTGGTGACCTAATTTGCCAAGAAGTGGGCAAGGAAGAGATTTCCTCCTTCTAGGGTCAATTTGACCCAATTCGGATATGGAAACCAACACTCACAAATCATGAAAATATCTCAAGCATTATATTATAACACACAATCAACATACATAGAGTTCAAATTCAACAACCTACTACATGTCTAAACTCGGGATTACAACAAAGAAGAGAGAAAGAACCATGGTGTGTAGATTGACTTCCTTCTTTATAGTTGGAATCAACCTTGGATTATAAAGAAAAAATTTCAAGTTTGGAGCAAACCCTAGGCCTTTTCTTCTCTCTTTGTTCGTTAGTTTCTCTATCTAAAAGAATAAGAAGAAAAATTTCTCACTCTACGATCATCCCCCAAAGTTTAAGATCTCTTCCTCTTATATACCAAGGTGGCGCACAAATCAAGGTCTCACATCACGGGCGTGATCTCGAAGCTTTTCCCGTGATGTCGGGCAAAAACGCACTACTTCATTAATGAACATCACGGTCCTGGATGGATTATCACGGTCGGGAGAACGGGATAATTTTAGGCCCGTGACGCGTGCAAACTGCTCTTGATCCCGTCGAGTATCACGATCTGGCCCATATCTTCACGGTAGGCTGACAGTGATAATATTGCTTTCACCGTGCTCCTCCCCTTTTTGACCAGCTTTTGCCCTATTTCGTTTGACTTTCGCTTCCAAGGTCAATCTCACCTGCTAGAACCTGAAACATCCTGAAAACATTCACATCCTAGCATAAAATCGAACCTCAAGTGATTTAAAACGCCTCAAACATACCAAAAAAATAAGGTAAAAACATGTGCAATTAGACCAGAGTTAGTATGTCGTACCTAATATTTTACCCAATGTACAAAAGAAGCCACCATATATATTAATATATATAAAGCCAAAGTCAGATTACTGTTGCCTAACCCATTTACATTTTATACCCCAAATTTAATTAAATCCCAATTTAGTCACTATAATATATATTTTACATTTTGATACCCCAAATTTAATTTTAATGTAAAATCATTGAAAAATTATGTTTTGGTATCTAAATTTTATGAGATTTTCGTACCTACAATTTTTTAAATTTACATATTGGTCCAATGTTTAGATTTCACTTGAATCCATGAATCCAATCCACCAATCCTTCTGAACCAATCCATGAATCCAATCCACCATACCGCAAAAGAATAAATTTGTTTTGTACCATACAAGATGTTGTATCACTCACTCTGTGAGAAGATTCGACCATTTTATATTTGCTTATTACGTGAAACATTAAATAAATGATAAAATAGAGAAGACTCTAAAATATTGCAAGAGCGAATTTATAAACTCATTTAGTACATTTCGGGGTACTAAACAAACTCATATTAACTGCATGTAACAAAATATGTGACATCTACATAAGCAAGTGTCAATAAATTGCTACGGTGAAAGAGTTGATTGTTGTATTGAGGACCAACTAAAAGAATTGATAAAAATCTTTCTATCATCTACTTCCTTTCGTTTCATTTTTTACTCGCCTTCCATAACCCTTTTTCATTTATTTCTTTGCCTTCTTCTAACTCTAATTAGTATACTATTTTTATGTATTCCAATCACAAGTATGAACGGGTACATACACGAGTCACCAATAGTCTAGAGAACGAATAATTGAACAATGAACCACTAACTTTTTCAGCTCAATGTCGAGTCTAAATAAAAATAAAAATATATGGTTAATACTTATTAGAAAGTTGTCATTTTTCATTATGGGATTTGAAGGTGTGAAATTTTAAGCGAGTTCCAGTTTGTATTCCATTTGCTTCTCTCTAGAGTTTTGCTTTTTCACCTAGGCTAGAATTTTCAACAAATATACATGGAATGTTTGGCTATGTATCTACACATATCTAATAAATAGTTTTCATGGTTCTATAAAAAAGTAAATAATTATCATCTTAAATACATACCATAAAAGGAATTAAGCCTCTACTATGCAAATTACAGTTTTGTACCTAAACTTAAGAGATTTTTAAATTTTTAACCTAAATTTATTTTTTGGCATATAAGTCCTCAGAATATTGATTGAAAATTACATTTTAGTACCTAAATTTTTTATGTATTACATCTTGGTACCTAAACTTTTGAAGGTCTACAAATAGGTCTAATTTTTGTATGTGTAATTAAAACACCATTGAATACATGGGTATTCATACACAACTCATACACATTTAGATAATGGAAGTAAATATCCATACCTTGCCGAAACCCATCTACAAACTTCCAAACCCATATATACGTCACTCATACCCTACCCATAATCAATGGGTCTACTTGGATTTAGATAAATGTCATTTACTAGCCAAAATTTTTAAGAGTTTTAAAATTGATTTTGACCGCTTATATCTCTTCTCAGTCAGTATTATATTGTTAAGTCAATATTACTACCAAAACTGCTAACAAAAATTAATTTTAGGCTAATAATACTAACAAAACACCATAATGGGTTACATAATACATGCCCATAGGCCATCTCCATTCCGCGATAAGGCGCGGCATCGCCACCTAGTATATATAAAATCTACTAATCAAGTTCTAATAAGTCATTCAAATTCTCATAACAAAGCTTACAAATTGATTGATTCGTTAAAAGATATTCTAAATTGGTGGGCTCAACCAATTTTTTTAATTGGTGGGTTCGGCTTTTAACTATTTCGTCTGCTTTGGAATGTTTGAAATGAGTAGAATTTCCAAGAACAAGTGATTTGATTTTTCTCCCTTGGAAGATAAATCAGTCACGATGGAAGAAAGTTGTTTCAACAAATCTTCGTATGTCGCTTTTAGTTTCACCCATTCGTCTTCTTTCTCTTTTATTCATTATATAATTTCGTTATTTTCTCCTCTTGTATCTTCTTTTCCTTGGTGGTAGCTAGCTCCATTGGCGTGGAAGAAATTTGTTTTTTCATCTCATTCAACTCATTGTCGTTTTCTTCTTGAAGTTCAAGCAATTCTTTTACCCTGTTTTTCTTGTGGGCATACTTGTGGGTGTACTTGTTGGATTTCAATTTGCACAGGTTGAATATATTATTTATTGTGCAAAATTATTGTCTATATTAGGAGTCATCATAAAAAGTTGAACACATGACCTGTCGACCAATTAGTCTAATGCCATGTTAAAGAACAACCCATTTTTCTGTTAATCGTAGCCGTTGGGAAAGGATTTATATGAGTTTTTTTACTTCTCCACTTCTTCTCTCAATTGTTTCACTTCTTCTTCCTTTCTGCAACGCTCACTATCTCTTCAACTAATTGTAGGGCAGTGCCATCGGAGGATGCAACGAAATGCTTGTCGGACTTGAAATCAAAGCGTAAAATAAGGAGGTAAAATAAGGAGGTAGAACGACATTACCCTCAATGACGTAAAATAAGAAGGTGGAACGATGTTACCGGATAAGCTGTGAATGTTTGTGGTCAGGAACGGAGGGTGGGAAGGATCTGGAAGAGCAAGGGGACGACAAAACACCACCAAAAGCTTCTCCAATGGTTGTCTTATTGAAATGAAAAGAGATGCAAACCGATGATGGTTGGGTTGCCTCCCGCCAAATGCTTCTTTAACATCGTGAGTCGGGCGGTTGCTCCTCAAGTTTCTGTCCACCCTATAGCCTCCCTGAAGTTGAGGTTCTTGTCAGTGAGATGAAGTCTCAAGTCCTGAGCATTGGACGAGTCCATGATTGAGGGCTCGTGAACTTGAGTGGCTTTGAGGCTCCACCGACGATACCTCTTCTTCTTCTTCTTCTTCTTCTTCTTCTTCTTCTTCTTCTTCTTCTTCTTCTTCTTCTTCTTCTCTTTGCCCCACACCATGTAAGACATAATCGATTGTCTAACAACGCATCCACCAAGAGGGATCACCGATGGTTTGGCCTTGGCTTGGAAAAGAGACGCAACGGGACCTTCTCCAAAAGCGCATCGAGGTCGGGTGGAAAGCTTTCATAGCTCTTGTAACTCATGGATGCTTCAAGAAATCATGGTTGAAATATGTGTAATTAGCCTCGAATCACTAACACGGATGTAAAAGGCGCTACTAATGTAAACGGGCCTAAATAGTGTCCCGACCCACTAAACAATCAACCATCACCGTCTCTCCAAATCTTGCCACCAGACTCGACAACCCCTAACGTCCTCCACCTTTATTGTTATGCTAGAGCAATTTTTAGAGCGGCAAATATGGAAAGGTTGAATGTTCTTGCTTGGAGAGCTGACTGGTGGGTTATTTAGCTTCATTGACAGTAATTTGTGATCTCTTAACCATTAATTCATTTGGTTGTTCTTCTAGGTTGACTTTTAAGTTGATTAAAGATACATAACTACACTTTTTTTATGATACTCCTTTTGAGTAACATCATTTTGATGATTTGAAATGTTTTTGTGGTTAGTTTCCAATAAACAAAGACTATTTTTTTTTTATCCAAGGCAAGCCCAAAGGGCATGGGACAAAGACTCGACACAATTATACACTAGGTTAAAAACTGCACGATAGTCTGTATGCGACCGGACTATGATGAAAGAGCCTGATAAGCCACTACATGGGCAGCTCTGAAGAAGCTCCGAGGAGCAAAGACACGACACTGACAGGAGAAAAAAAAATAAAAAAAAAACATCTCCAAGATAGTCCCGCCAGCAAGTGTAGTTTCCTTTGACGGAGTATGCCGGATGACCAGTATCGAGTTGACCCAAAACGCCATAACAAATAAAAGAAAAGGACCTTAGCAATATTGGATATAGCATGCTTAATTACTCTCATAAATTTATAAAAGCGAATAAAAACGAACAATCACCTGATAGATCGATGAAACTTATTTCACTTCGATTATTCTCATACCAAATAACCACCTGCAAAACGACCAACCAAAAAAGCACGACTATGGTGCTAGAAATCTCTATCACAAGAGATTAAATCTTGCGCTGAAGCCAAAGACGACCTTAACAAAATACACCAACAATGGTAATATTCATCTATTGTTAGTGCAATACACTCACTACCAATGAAAAGAACATAAATTACAAATTACAAGGGAAACAAATTAATTCGCTTTAAAGTTGCTAAATAATGATGGTTTAAAATTATAGCTCGATTAGCGCTTGGACGAAAAAGGACTAAACAAAGACTATTCTGATTAGTGTAAAATAGGGAATAGCTTCAATCATACCACTTTTACATAGATTTTATATCTAAGAGCTGAGATCATTACCGAATTGAACTATTGAAGCTACAATGTTGATCTTCAAAATATAAAATACTGTTTCTTTTGATTGAAATAACCTCATGATTTCATATGAGTTTTTATAATATGATATTTCGTGATAGTGGTGACTTGCCTCTAGCTCTAAAAGTAGAGTTCTAATTAGTGCAATATACAAAGCACGAGTGATAGCCATAATTGGAGCAGATACAAGGTAGTTTGATACTCTTCTCTCTGCAATGAATAAATACATGGCAAACATATGTTGTCATGGGAAGGACAAACCGAACTCTTCGTGTTTGTAGTATACTCTGTTGAAATATACACATGTCTAGACCCAACCGATTTGACATCTCCACCTGGAATGTATTGAAGTGAGTTTTGATCATCAAAACCTATGCAAAGTAAGCTCCCTCGCTAATCCTTCTATTTTTCTTAATTTGCACATGCACACCCTCATATGAAACATGTATAGAAATTTTGTTTTGTGTGTTTCATTAGTGTTGTTCCGATAAGATTTTATTATTTGATGTGGTTGTTCTAGAATTGTGAATCTTGCTTCTATCTCCTCTAAGAAATTGTCAAATTAATCTATGAGAGAGTCTAATCTGAGATTCCTCTTTAATTTAGATGGTAAGAGAGCAATGAGCCACGTCAAATTGATTGGGGGTCGACGATGCCTGAGAAACGGTGTAGGCTTCTTCAGAGCAGCACCAGATCCTGATGGTATCTCGGCGAAAGCAATTTTTGTTGTCACTCTCTTGGGTTTAATCCTCCTAGCTCCATCGTACGATTGATGTTGAGTACCATCCTAACTCGATCAAATCACTACCCTACCGTTAGGAGATGCAATCCCTTGGGATAGACCCAGAATGGTGAAGCGATGGACTGATGGTGCTCTATGCAACAACCAAAGGTGCTACTAAACTATGATCATGCAAATGTATAAGTTGCTATGCTTGGAGCCCTCAAAATTTTCAAAAATTTAGGGATACAACTAGACTCCAAGCACTCAAAAACAGATAATTCATTAACACACACAGGCATAATAGACAACCCCCCCCCCCCCCCCCCCCCCTCCACCCCCACTTAAGCTCATCATTCCTCTCAATAGCGTAAAGTTAGGATCCTCCTTAAGAATTGTGGTTTAGGATTCGATCCAATCCGTAACGACTAGTACTGTGCTGCTCTGCTGAAGTATATGTACTCCAAGTACTATGACCGTTGGATTGTATGTACTTCATTATCGGTAATTGTAGAGGGATGAATTCCAATACGCAGGTTTTTTAAAATTTATATTGTATATTTTGGACTAACCATTCTAAATTACTTGATATACGTTTAAATGAAAAATTAACCAATAATCGATTATCAATTTATCGATTAATCGACTAATATAAATGTTTTGGTTAGCGATAAGCAAAAAATGATTAAAAATGCATCGATACACGAATAAAAAGTTAAAATAATAATCGAACCGAACCTACTAATATGCTTAAAATTAAAAGGAAAAAGACAAAAAAGACAAACTTGTTAGAATTTCGCCCAAATTTGGATAAACTTCATATCTAAGGATGGAGAATTAAAGGCATTTTTATTTTCCCTAGCTTTTTTAATAGGCTCATATCTTTTTCTTTTTAACTCGGAGTTCAATTTTTTTTTGTACAGATGGAACGTGTTTGTTGTGCTCTACAAAATGAGATCAATTGGAAAAAAATTTCATGCCTCTCGTACCAACAACATACCATATGGTAACTTCTTCGTTTTTAAGTCGTTTTTGAAAAATTTGCATGGAAGGAACGAGTTGATCATGATCTATCGGATCTACAAATTTCTGGGTGAATAAAATAAAGGACCAAAAATTACCACAAAATACCACAAAATACCACCCTGGTACGGGATGCTATCTTGTGGTACACAATGTTGAAAGTCATAAAGACAGTTAGTATACTGATACTATCATGTATTCAACCATTCTATAGTCTTGGTATGTTCAGAACAACATTACGTTTTTCATACCATATAATATACTCTTATTTCAATACCAGTCAATACCATATGGTATAGACAAATAAAAAATAACTCAATTTTTTTGTTTTAATAATATATCAAAGTGGATATCATTTTGAAGATCACAATAAATCTGATCTAACTGTGCAAAAAAATTAAATTCTGAAGAAATCGTTCGTTAAAAATTAAGCGGGAAAAAAATAAAGGCTTTTCAGAAGAGAGATAGGGTGCTAATATGGAGGATTCTGATTGATTTATGCATGGTTATTGACCAGAAGGTTATGAACCTGGTACGCTCTCCCTAGATAGGGTGAACTCAAATAAGTATATTTTTTTGGGTGAACTTTTATATACTACCTCTAAAATATATATATTGTACAAGTAGGGTCTAGTACCCTTCGGCTACATCCGTATATACAAAAAATCAAAGTGTAAAAATGATTGTACTGCAAATTAGAAACTATGCCTAAATGAAAATAGAAAAGATATTAGGGAGCAGATCGGGTGAGTAACTAATGGGTGAGTAACCCATCAGTAACCCCTCTCTCCTCTCTCCTCTCTCCACGTGTCAGTTACTTTTTTATTTAAATTAAATGATAAAGGGCAGTAAGGTAAAATGCACTTATCCCCTATTTATTGCTGACGCGCTGACTTTTGACCGCCCACATCAGGACCTCCTTCTATCTCATCGAAAAACCTTTAATTTTCCTTCTCTTAATCTTTAACGGACGATTTCTCACTCGTTTTGAGTCGAAATTTAATTTTTTTTGCACAGTTAGATCAGATTAATTATGCTCTTCAAAATGATATCCACTTTGATATTTTTTTGACACAAAATTTTTTTCCAGTTATTACCAGTTAATACCATATGGTATAGTGTGGTAATATCAATATATATTTCGTTACCACCCAATACCATATGGTATAGTGTGGTAATATCACACAATACCATATGGTATAGAGTGGTAATATCAATATATATTTCGTTACCACGCAATACCATACATTACCATAGGGTATAGTGTGGTAATATCAATATATATTTCGTTACCACCCAATATCATATGGTATAGTGTGGTAATATCAATATATATTTCGTTACCACCCAATACCATATGGTATAGTGTGGTAATATCAATATATATTTCGTTACCACACAATACCATATGGTATAGTATGGTAATATCACACAATACCATATGGTATAGAGTGGTAATATCAATATGTATTTCGGTACCACGCAATACCATACATTACCATAGGGTATAGTGTGGTAATATCAATATATATTTCGTTACCACCCAATACCATATGGTATAGAGTCATAATATCAATATATATTATCTAAAAGGAAAAAAACAGAAGGAGGGAGAGAAAAAATCGTCTTCTGATGCCTCTCATTTCCTCTTCCTCAATCAAGAACACCAAAATGCCAAAAAAAATGAGAAATATCGGAATTGAGGCCAACGAGTTGATGAAGAGAAGAAATGCAAAGAAAGAGAGTGGCTACAATTTTTATGCGTCGATTGCTAGAGAAAAAAATGAAGACGGAAGAGAGTATATCTAAATTTGAAAAGGAGATTGTGAAAGAAAAAGTAAGAGAGAAGGAATAGAGAAAGAGAAAGGATCTGGAAAGATATTGAAAGAAAAGAAGAGAGAAGGAAGAAAGTTGAGTTGCAGAAAAAATGCATTGTCTCTCTCTTTCATTGAAAAGTCAACCATTGAAATGCGGAATGAATAAAAAAAATTAAAAATACAAAAATGGACAAAAATGCCCCTCCCCACCCCACATCCAGCCCAGCCACACGATTTCTCCATTCCCAATCCTACGGCTCCCGTGTGGTTACTGATGGGTCAGTAACCAATGGTTACTCGCCATCTTTGGCAATTAGCATGACGATCTCATGAATTACGTATACTCATAATTAATTAATTATTACAACGACTTTTTTCCAATGGAGAAAATTATAGAGTCAATGTTTGGCACTATCTCGTCATTCACGAACGTCCTATTTATAATTATTGTAAAACCGTAATATTGTACTTGAAAACTCAGTAATAAAATATTTTGTGCTTGAATAATTGTGATTTAATGCTAGTTTTTCGTTAGAGGTGGATCCAAAAAATTTGTATAGGGTATCCTCTTACAAAAATTAAATAAAAAAAATTAATAATTAATAAGCATAAATTATCCGACTACTACAAATTATAAAAAAGTCATGACGTGTTTTTATAATCTGTATAAAAAAGCCATGACGTGTTCTATAATGTTTAAAAAATATGTATATTATAGTAGACAATAATTTATGAACTGATTGCATATCCGATTTCTAACCTTATTCATGATGTAACGCAAAACTGAAAAAACTCTTCAAATTTCTATGCTTACCCAAAATAATGAGATGGTGGAATTGACTTCAAAATAGTACACAAGGAACTTGAGTCTTTTCCTTTTTTTTTTTATTTTCCATAAATTTACTTAAAAAGTCATTTTAAATTTGGAGGTCTCCAACATTATTTTAGTGAAGCTACCCACGTTGGGGTCAACTTGCTAAGACAGTTGAGAACTAATAGAAGTTATTTTTATCTTTTGTGGACAGTGGACTTTCATATATACATATACATATATGGTAATTATTGAAGTACTCTTTGAATAAACCATAGTCCAAATGATTTGATGATTGGATGTACAATTTGTTGTAATTCAGCAAATTATAGTTTGTTGTAATTCTTCATAACACCATCAAACTGAGCTATGATGCACCCGACGGGGCATGTGACATCCTGATTGCTTCTCTGGGGGCATTGATTATCGGGTATGTTGATTTGTCTGTGTGATCTACCTTCGGCCTTCCGAGCCTTCTGTCCCTCCACCATCCTCCATTCTTCTACCTGAGCTGTAAATTGACGGTATAAAACTGGGCTTCGGACGGTTCAGGTTACATTGAAGAGAAATTTAAGTTTCGGACGGATCAGGTCCCTCCATGAAATTTCATTCTAATGAATTGAATCATCAATGTACTGGTTTAGTTGTTCTACGAGCCCAAACGTTGATCTGGTTAGATTCGATTTTCAGCAACTCTCTTTATTGAATTTGCCCTTTTTTAACAACTTTCTATGCCTACCCAAAATAATGAGATGGTGGAATTGACTTCAAAAGAGTCTGTCCATTTTTTCTATTCCATAAATTTACTTAAAAGTCATTTTAAATTTGAAGGTCTCCAACATTATTTTATTAAAGCTACCCACGTTGGGGGTCAACTTGCTATGACAGTTGAGAATGAATAGAAGTTATTTTTATTTTTTGTGGACAGTGGACTTTTATATACATATACATATATGGTAATTATTGAAGTACTCTTTGAATAAACCATAGTTCAAATGATTTGATGACTGGATGTACTTTGTTGTAATTCAGCAAATCAAAATCGTCGATTATTATTTTTTATTGTATTGATATTTGAATTTAGGTTTAGAGAATTAGGGAATAAGGTTTATCCATCAAAAATTAATGTATAATATTATATGTCAGCTTTTTGAATTCATAATTTAGATAGAAATATCTTACTAATCGTTCACGATCATCCACCTTGATACATATGATCCCAACCTGCCGGGGGAAGCGACGGTAAATGTCTATAATCATGTTTCCGTATCTTGTGTCGCCATTGAGGACTGCTTTCTCATTGAGAAAACCATCTGCATTTTTCTTCCAAAATGTTATGTCTTTGATTTCATCCTTACACTATAATAATTTTGGCCTATTATGACGAGACAAATTTGTCATATTAGATACCCATTTTGTCATATTAAGTATAATATGAAAAAATGTGTTGTCACAAAGGTTTGTCATTTTTATCACCGTCAGAATAGGTCAAATGTGACAAAATTTTAAAACAAAGTTGTCACTTTCATCCTCGGTTTCCTGTGCCTTTCAGCTTGGAACAGTCTGATTCACAACCCTTTCCACCGCCATGTAATCTTAGTTTCGAGATTCACTGTGATGGGTCGTCTTTGAGCAACTCCCAGGAGGCGGCTGATGGCGTTGCTGAGTTCAATCGTCATGATCTTGGTTGTGTTGAACGAGCTGATTCTTTACTTGTTTCTACTCTGTTTGTTTTGGAAACAAGAGGACTTCTGGGTTGCTGTGTTCTATTTTAGAGTTTGGTCCCTGTTGGTTTGTTTCACTTTGTGCTTTGCTCTCTGATGTTTACCTTTCAAGCATAATTTTCTTCATCCTGTTGCGGATGGCTCCTCTGTTTTGGATACAGCTTTTCTGTTTGCTCCTCTTGTAACCGATCTTTCAGAGTAAATACAAGTAAATCCCCATTGTAAGAAAAAAAAATGTCACTTTTTTCCTCAGTATAATTGAGGTTCTGGGTAGTCTATTGTGAAAAACAGAGATGTTATGACGACATATTTTGACATTACAGTTGTCATAATCTGGTGATTTTGAGAGAATTGTTCGTCATACTACACGATTATATTTTGTCATAACTGTATATTGTCACGACTACATTTTGTCACAAGTGTAGACAAGGATTTTTATTCTCCGTCGATTGTGCCCAACTCGCAAATCCAAATTCATAAAAAGGAACTCGCAAATCCAACTAAGCTTTGTTATCACAATTTGTTCTTCATTTACAAACCCAAAAAATCATTCACAATCCCAGAAAAGTTTCACAAACCAAGAAAATTTTTGCTAACCCAGCAATTACAACCATTCCAATATAACCAAATCCAGAATTGCTCCTTCTGCTCCTCAAACCCAGAATTGGAACCCCAAAAAGTAACAAACACAAGAATAAAAACGCATGCATAAGAATCCTTCACCCACCGTGGCCGCTAGTCTTGCACCAGACCTTGCATTCATCAATCACTAACTGGCCTTAGGCTTGTCAATCTCGGCCTTAGGCTCATCAATCTTTGCCTCCGACACTATCTCCTCCTACCTCCACCGCCTCACCCACAACCCCCACTTTGCTTAAACCCCTTCCTCTGCCGAAGCAAAACCTACAAATAAAAAAATAAAAAAAGATTAAGCCAGACTGGTCCAATCAATGCTCTCACCGGAACTCTCCCCCATCGCGGCCTCTCGATCCGCTTGTTACCTCTTGAGCTTGGTGCCATCGTTTCCTATTGATCTCTCTGCCCATCCTCTCTCGATCTCTCCGCCCCTTGCCTCTCGATCTCTCTGCCATCATCGCCGGATCTCGACAATCATTGCCCTTTCAATCTCTCCGCCAGCATCGCTGGTTATTGCTAGAGGAGGCAGCTAGTGGGAGTCTTTTTGAGAGCGGAAGGAAGAGATTGAAGGCTTCATTTCTTTTAGAGTAGAGGAGCAGGTGAATGGTCGTTTTTTGGAGAGAACAAAGAAGGGAAGAAAAGAAGGAAAGTTTAAAAGGGGAAGAAAGAATAAATGGGGAGAGGTAAAAGAGGGCAGAGAGGCGGACGTTTCATTTAGAATTTTAGGGTAAGGGGATTTTTTATGGTGAGAAGGGAAATGTTTTAATTTTTTTGGGGGCAAATTTTGGCGGTTGAGAAAATTTTTGCAGCCATTAATTTTGTTAAAAATGGGCGGTTAAAAATTGAAGCCATAAATTTTTAGGGGATAGTTACAAATTGGGCGGGACTGAAATTTGGGTTTGTGTAGTGAATATTTTTTTATGTTGAACACAATCAAATCTGACGAAAATGCCTTTTGTCAAAAACGAAACCACTATATTATGACGAACATGCCCTTTTGTTAGCTCGTCGTGGGATTATTGCTATCTATTGTGACAAAATACTTTGTCATTTAAACAATTGAGGAAGGTATAATATCACAAAAGCTACTCTGACGATATAATTTGTCACTTTTGTTGATCTTACATATCCTAATATGAGATGCCTATTGTGATAAACTTAATTGTGACATGAAATATTTGTCACATTACTCACTTTAAATGACGACTTATTTTGACATCAATATTTTTTTGTCACATTAGAAATATCAAATAGGACATATATTATTTTTGTCATACTACCGTACCTATTGTGACAAAAAAAAAAAAAGAAATTTATCCTAATAGGCAAAATTTTGTTGTGGTGCTATAGTCACTAGTCAGTTTGATCTTATTTAATTAATATATACGAGATTTCATCCACTTTTGATATTTTTGGAAAATAAAATTCATTGCTAAGACCTATGAGAAACAAACGTCCTATGTATATGAATTCTAAAATCATACCGAAAGTTGTACCGTAAAAGTAAGTAATAAGATATTTAATGCTTATATTTCGACTCAATCGAGATTCAATCGTTTCAAACCTCTAAAACTATATACCGATTTGAGTTTCTATTGACGATTTTCCGATCGAACAGCGGATAAAGTTTTTGGGAAACTTAATTAGAAACTTCTCTCTAGCCGTTTAATTAATAATTAGCTGGAATTGAAGCAATAATTAAGGATGTATAGTTGGGATGGAAAAGGAAAGTGGAAGGAAGGTGGAAGTGAAGCAAGCACTATATATACCCCTGGTATGAAACACGAAATGTTCATCCCAGAGCTGATCCAATACATCAACTTAATTAATTAACTTCCCTCTACCCTTACATCGATCTGTTGCTTTTTGCCTGGAAATTGAAGGAAGAAAAAAATGCCTATAGTTACCGAGACTGTGACATTTAGGATGTTCTCCTCCGCCAGCGACGTTTGGAGCGCCGTCACCGCGGCCCAAGCTGTTTTCCCGATGGCTATGCCAAACCTCTACGCCGACATCAAGCGCAACAGGCGCGACGGCTTCACCGAAGGCTCGATCCGCGACATCACTTTCGGTCCTGGTAATTAAGCCTTCATTAATTAATTATCTTCACAAGTTCAGTTATTATATATCTCTGGCTCGTCATCTTTTGTTTGCTTCGTTAATTAATTTGGTGTGCGTAATCGCCGGCACCATGCAGCTTACAGCAGGGTAGTGGGATCGGCGAGGGAAGAGATCGTTGAAGTTGACCATTCCAACATGACGGTGAAGACGACGATGAATGACGACGGCGCATTCGTGCCGCGGCTCTTCGACAGCGTTGACATCACCACGGCCGTGGTGCCTTCGTCCCGCACCAACCTTAGGGCCACAGGCTGCACACTTACTTGGTCCTTCACCTACGACAGCGCTAAGGGTAACGCCGACGTTAACAACCTCAAGAACGTGATGCAGACTGCGTTTCAGGATTTGGACGACTACCTCAGGAGGGGACGTGGCAATCGCCGGTGAACAAGACTGCCTTTCATTGTCGACCAGGCCATCGATGGATAATGTTGTTGCCTTACTCTTCTATCGTTCCCCTCCTACTATAATATGACGGTCTACTCCATTGATCCTCTTGTGTTGTAGACCGTCTTTTGTTTCGTATTGTGTTGGGGTTTTTTTTATCTTATTGTATCCATGTTGTTTAATTTCTCTATGTCTTTCATTTTCGATTCCCTGTGTTTCTTTCCTGAGTTTTAATTGTCTATGCTTGAAATAAAGTTTTCCCGTGTTGTGTCGTGTCGTGCAAGCTCCGGCCAATCCCTCCTAATTGTTCTGTATGTTGTCAAAACCGTATTAGTCGAAGCACGAGAGCAATATGAGTTAGCTGGTCAATTGAACTTTTGAGCAGAGTGTAAAAGGGGTAAATTCTACGCCTTACGGTATTTAAGTTTTTGAGATTGACCGCTATGTGTAATACTTTCCTTTGTATGTGTATATGATGCATTGTGATTTCATATGATGCTTTCAGTTCTGTGTTATTGCATGTTTTACTAACAAGTAACTTCAAAGTTTGAGAAACATGTGTTCTTTTAAGAAGTACTTCACCTTTAGTTAAGGTGAAGTAAGTTTAAGAGCTTTTAGTCCCTAGATCCAGTTCATTGCCATTTGAGACTTTTAAGACAAGCAGCAATTATGCTCGTGATATTTTTAAAATGAGCAACAGTAATCCTCTTGAGAATCGTGGTGAAGAGCCACCACGATAAGTTTAAGTTTAAGGAAATCCTGGATGGACTCTCATACCTATGAGTTGGGAACCGGACTAGCTAATCCACGTGTCAGTCAAGAATTTAAGTTGAAATTTGAGTTTTAAGAACACAGTTTTAAGAGCTAAGTTTTTTAATAGTGGAAGTACAAAAACAACTTCCAAAGAGTTAAGTTTTTCATAAACTTACCCTAATTCACTCACCAGTTTGAAGAGGAGGAGGAGAAACTAGAGGAACAGTTAGAGAGCAGCGAGATCGAGAGTAACGGTTCGAGCGAAGCCAGCTAAAGGGGGATGGTACGATGCGTCACGTAGGATGCCTAGTCAAGGTTTTCATTAGGCAACGACAACGTTAGAGACCTTTTAGTTATTTCAATTTATGATTATGAGTATAGACTAGAGGCTCATATTAACTTTTTATGATTGAGTATGGCCCAAGTGTTAGGGCTTTGTTTTAAGAAATTATAGTTTATTCTCAGTATTTGTTAATGTTATTTATGAAATGTTTTTTGCTATTTTTTCCAAGTATTTTCAGTTCTGATTTTGTTTCACAGTTTGACAAGGGTATTTTAGTAAAAATTAGTACCTGGTTGGGTTAGGGTGTGACATACTTTCTCCTCAATCGACAAATTCAGAACTTGTTCCCAGACAAACTGGACATCCATCCCATCAGTGGAAAATAACGAGGAATTGGAGTCACTGGCAATGGTGGCCTTTCCATCCTCCTCCATCACCCATAATCATAAACCATCTGGAGCATATAATCCAGAGATAAAGTTTCTCTTTCGGAGTGTCCGAGTCACCAGATGGAGGTAGGACGAGTTCTTATCACCACCCTGCCACCAATCCACCCTGGATTTCTGTTTCCAATATATTATCCAGAGTGCGAATATGTCTAGCTGAGTTTGAGGTCCCGCCTTTTGCCTAGTCATACAGCGAATGATGCAACTTTTTCAACTTACACCACAATCCACTACCAGAAACTGCACTTTCTGCGACGATTTCTATAGCGATGCAAGAAAATTCGTCGCAGAAAGTGTACAATTTGCAACGAATTTCACTTTTTCGTTGCAAATGGTGTGAAATCTTTTTGTGATGGTTATCTATCATCGCAGAATGATGTAGACTTTCTGCGACGATTGTCTGTCATCACAAAATGTATGTATATTTTCTGCGGCGATAACCGCCATCACAGAATGTTCGAGAGCTTTCTGCGGCGATTGACCGTCGTCGCATAATGTTCGAGAGCTTTCTGCGACGATAGCCTGTCGTCGCATAATGTTCGAGAGCTTTCTGCGACGATAGCTTGTCGTCGCATAATGTATATAGACTTTCTGCGACGATGGCCCGTCGTAGCAGAATGTATTTAGACTTTCTGCGACGATTGTCTATCGTCGTAGAATGTATGTAAATTTTTTGCGACGATAGCCCGTCATCACAGAATGTTTGGGAGCTTTCTGCGACGATGGCCTGTCGTCGCAGAATGTTCGAGACTTTATGAGACCTTTTTTAGTCATTGTATAATGCTTCATGAAATTTTATATTTGGGCTTAATTATCTAACATAAGGATTATATTTGGACTTAATTTTATATTTTATATTAGTAGCTAAGAATTTTCCAGGATAATTGGAATTGGTTTTAACCGAAGGATTTGAAGTGCTTTGATGAATTTTACGATTTGGGTAAATACTATTTTCTAGCCAAACATTTTCCCCATTCCAAATTAATAGCCAAGCCTTTCGAAATCTTAATAATTAGCCAATCGTTAAGTCTCCGTTAATAATTTCGTTAAATGACGATGAGCTGACGAATATTGTGCTGACTTGAACCTTATTTTGCTCGACTATGTTCCTCTCAGTGGCGGTGGAAGAAAGATACAGTGGGAGAAATAATGAAAGGGGTCGTCGGTGCTTCGGGTGTCAATGGCGATGAAGGAAGATCAAAGAGTGCATGGGTTTTGGCATGTGACAACGGCGAATCGGCTCCTCTTGATCGGAAAAGCGTTGATCCGGGTAAGATTTGGCCTGCATGTGTGTTTTTCTTGAGGGTTTCTGGCTCCAGAATGCGATTGTGACATTTTTATTCTAGGTTTTCTTTTCAAAAGAGAGAATAAGAAATGGGTACCATTAAACTTTCAGAATTGGGGGAGGGTACCACTAAAGTCAATTTAGGGCGTTGAATGCCATGTAAGTTAATTAAATGTGCATCCTTCCAATTTTCCATCCATTTCACTAACGGAGAAAAAAAATTGCCAAGTCAGCTTTGACTACAGGCCACAAGGTTGTTGCGTCACTTACCTGATCACCCCTTGTATTTCTGCATCCCTTCGCAAAAAAAAAAAAAAAAAACCCCTAATACCAAACCTCTCCCTCCCAAAGATGCTTCCCCAAGTTGAAACTCTTCATCTTCTCCATCAAAATTGCAGCTCGACGAGACTTGACGGCGGAAAATAATCCTACGCATAAGACGAGTGTTCGAAAGAGACGACGATCGTAAAAATTAGGATGGCCAATATTTTCTCACCGAAGCTGGAAACCTTTGCAGGTATGGAATCTCAACATTTCTTCTAGTTTTTTCCGTATTTGTTACTTGTGCTATATGTACTAAACCCAATTCCGCTTTCCTATGATAGAGTTTAAATTGGGACAAGATTGCTCCAACTGTTAGTATGTCAGGAGGTCGGGATTCTCTACCACGACATGGTAAGGATTCTTTCTTTTCTATCTGCATATTGTCTTTTTTTTTAACTTGAATTAGCGTTTATGTTAAAGGAAGGGAAGTACGTTTGCTTCTTTTTGCCCTTGCATGCAAGGGTTGCATGAATGATAACCCTTTTTTATTAATATTTTTGTTTCTTTAATTTGTTTGTTTGGGTAAGGTAAGTGGCCCCCTACTTGTTGGTTTGTGAATTTTATTATTGAGAGTATGTGTTCCATCCCATTTTCAAGCTTTTTGTTTCTCTGTACAGAAGGAGAAGCTGAGTCTGAAGCCGAAAGTGGGTTTGAGGATGATCAAAATGAAGTTAGTGATGAGGACTTTGATTTCGAAGATTTTGAAGGTGGAGGGGACACGAACAATTTGATCATTGATGATGACATTGGTGGAGATGTTGACACATATTGCTATGATTCAGATGACATGGGCAGCTCCCACTCAAGTGATGACGAAAGTTATACTAAAAATAAGTTCGAAGAGTTTAATCCAGCAAGGGATATGGAAAATCCTCAATTCTCTGTGGGGCAAATCTTTAGGGACTTGAATACTTTCAAGCAAGCTATTAGAGCTTACTCAATAAAAAATAAGTTTCCTTTGAGATTTGCCCACAGTGACCAACAAGAGTTCAAGTTTTGTTTGACAAGAATTGTGGTTGGAACATTTGGGCGTCACCTTCTGCAGATGGGAAGAAAGTTCACATTAAGATAGCCCAATTGGAACATAATGGATGTGTTCTGCTATCTTGGCACAAGTGGTTTACTTACAAATTCATTGCCAAGAAGTACCTGCTTAGGTTTGAAATTGATCCTAAATGGGGGAATGATTCGATAATGCAGACGGTGGAAGAAGGCTTTCATTGTACTGTATCAAGATGGACAGCAAGAAGGGCACGTGATTATGCGGTGAATTTGATACGGGGAAAGGCTGAAGATCAATATGCGCGACTTCATGACTACTGCGCGGAGGTAAATCAAACTCATCTGGGTTCGACTATGTTTGTGGAGACAGAGGATAACTATTTTTTGAGAATGTACTGTTGTTTGGCTGCTTGTAAAGAAAGGTTTGCAGCCGGTTGTAGGAAGATCATTTTTCTCTATGGTTGCTTCTTGAAGACACTTCATGGAGGACAACTACTTTCTGCTGTTGGAATCGACGCCAATGATGGAATTTTTCCTATAGCTTATGCTTTGGTGGGGGTAGAGAACCAAGAGAACTGGACATGGTTTTTGGCTCATGTACTCCAAGACTTACAAGTTCCAGAAGTGTCTGATGATTGGACATTTATGTGCGATAAACAAAAGGTAATCACCAAATATATGAGTGAGCTGAACATTGTTTTTAATTAACTTTTCCATCTCTGATGCTGTAATTTTGATTATGGACCTTTTGTTTGTCATTTTAAATTTAACTATGGAGGCTATTATTAGTTTAATAATCCTGGAGACACGTCTCTACCTTTGCTCTAGTTAGGATAATATAAATGGCATAAATTGCTTTTTTAATACCTTGTTCTCTACGTGATTAGAATTTAGAAATGAATTCTATAATTCTGAATTTTGTATATATAACTCTAATGCAGGGCTTGGTTAACGCTCTCTCGCAACTGGTACCATATGCAGAGTACCGATTTTGCGTTAGACACCTTTGGTGTAACCTCCAACGAGCTCAATCAGGTAACAAAACTACGAAAGACATGTTATGGGCAATTGCTAGGTCTTCATATGAAGCTGAGTTCAAAAGAACTGTCAGTGAACTTAGGGGGTATAATGAAGATGCATGTAAGTGGTTATTGGAAAAACCTTTGAATCAGTGGTGTCGAGCATACTTTCGAACTAGTTCCAAGACCGATGTGTTGTTGAACAACCACTGTGAATCCTGGAATAGGACCATATTAGGTGCTAGAGTCAAACCCATCATTAGTATGTTTGAGACTATTAGATTATAGTTTATGGTTAGGTTTGCAAAGAAAAAGGCATTTGCTGAGAATAATTTCAAAGGACAATTCAGCCCAAAAATTCTGAAGAAGATAAATGCGGCTAAGGAGGGTAGCTTCGGTTGGAGAGCCCTACCCAATGGTTCTAACACATTCCAGGTTCGATGTCTTGAAGGACAAGTTGTTGTCGACTTGAACAAATGTAGTTGCACATGTAGGAAATGAGAGTTGACTAGAATACCATGTGCTCATGCTGTTTGCTGCATATTTTCAAAGAAGGAGAAGGTGGAACCATATGTGGATAAGTGTTATGAGGTGGCCACCTATGTTAGTATTTATAACTACACACTGGAATATATGGTTGGGCCTGAATCATGGAGGGATAGCAACCAAGACCCTGTAATGCCACCCTATGTTAGCATTGATGCTAAGGCAACAAGGGGGAGACGTAGGGTGAATAGGAGAAAAGGTCCGGAGGAGGTATTGGAAGGGAAACAAAAGCGACCAAGAAAGCAGAAGCCCAACAATCAAAGAATGAACAAGAAAAATGGAAAAATTCATTGCAGTCAATGCGGTGGAGAGGGTCACAACAAGAGTGCACATCGTGATGGAAACGAACGAGCTAGAGTTCGGAATGAGCAACATGGTGGCATAAATGAACCAGTTGGAGTTGCTGAAACTATAGGGTCACAACCAACAACAATAACACCCAACACAGCTGATATTTGGTATTCTGGAGAAAAGATTAATAGGTCTGAAGGAGGACACTCGAACTTAGCTGAAATGGTAGGACGCTTGTTAACTTCCTCTGAAGCATATGGAGCTGGAAACATTAGCAACCGTCCACCAAGATCGACTGTAAGCTGAATTTTAAGCTTGCTTCTCACTAAACTTAAGCAATTGTCCGTATATATTTTTCTTTCTCTTTAATTTTGTCAAATCTCTATACTTGATTAGTGGTACAGCAACTTTAAACTTGGGTTTTCTCAAAATGCTAGCTAGGAACGTATACCAATACTAAGGGTTGGTTCTGGATGTGGTTACGCAGCGGACTAGTTAAATTTGGATTTTCTTTGATTTGGCAGCCCTTATAGGAGCTTGCTATTTGCCGCCAACCAAATTGCTATTTGTCGCCAACAAAAAAAAAAAGTATATATGTACATCTTTGGTTAAGGAGTTTCACAATCTACAACATATCCAACTTTCAGAGAAGGTATTGAATCAGAAAAATTCGACGCTCGCCGAAAAAGTCGCCGAAAAATCATTGGGAAAATTTCCGGCGGCCGGAACCTGGCCGGGCCGGAACCAGGCTGGGCCGACGGAAATCGGTGGCCGGAGCCAGGTTGAGCCACAAAATGTTTTCGGCTCAGCCTGGCTCCGGCCACCGATTTCCGTCGGCCCTCCCTGGTTCCGGCCGCCAGAAATTTTCGGCCCGGCCAGGTTCCGGCCATCGAAAATTTTCGGCCCACCGTCTGTTTTTGGAATTTTTTGAAAAAATTCGATTTTAGGAGTTGAATTTAGAGTTTAGGAGTTGAATTTAGCATTTAAGAGTTGAATTTAGCGTGTAAGAATTGAATTTAGAGTTTAGGAGTTGAATTTAGCGGTTAAGACTTGAAATTAGCATTTAGGTTAACAGGAATATTGATGTGTTATATTGTAATTGTAGGAAAAATGTCAGAGTGGTTACCGGCCGATCATGATTACACACAGGAATTTGAGAATGGGATCCATTATGCAAGTGTGAAGTTAGCTGAGTTAGCTGCAAAAGCATTCGCTCAGGAGTGTGGGTTCTTTATTGTTAGAGGAGCATGGAAACCGAATACTGCTGGACTACATCCTGTTACTGCCCTCTGTATGTATTGCGACAGAAGTAGTAGGATCGTTAAGTCTTATAAACCAGACCCTACGAAGGAGACGCGTGGAAATATTAGTTCGAAGGATACTGGTTGCCAGTTTCAGATATGTATTAAGGAAGTATGGCAAGAGAATGGTCCAAACACATGGGTCATAGTGGGAGTGACAAGTCGTGTAACCGGAGCTAATAGAGGGTTTCACAACCATGAAAAGGTGTTGTATCTAGAACATCACCGACACAACAAACAGTTTAGTGAGGCTGAAAAAGAGAGGTTAAGATTAATGAGGAAGGCGGGGGGTGAGACCAAATCAGCAGAAGACAACACTCAATACTGAAGGGGGTGTGCATCATGATATCAAACAGATGTACAACAGAAATTACAAAACAAGATTGGATGAGATGGATGCAATACAGTTTGCGCTTCACGGAGCTGAACAGGGTCGGTACCATATCTGTTTGCAAAAGGACTCTAATAATGTGCTCACTAATCTGTTTTTTGCGCACCCGACGTCCATTCAGATGTTGCATGCATGGTTGTACGTCATCCTCATTGACTCGACCTACAAGACCAACAGGTACGGCTGGCCATGGGTTGAGATTATTGGGGTTACTCCAGTCAAGAAGAATTTCAACATTGCATGTGCAATTATTAAGCAGGAAACAAAGGAAACATATGAGTGGCTGCTGCGATGTATTAAAGGGTTGCTCGGTGATACGGTTCCGAATGTCATTGTGACAGACAAAGAAGGTGGTTTGCTTGCTTATGTTCCTGTGGTCTTCCCTCTCCCACATACTGTCCACCTACTATGTTTATGGCACGTCAACAACTGTGTGAAGCAAAAGTTTGAGCAATTACTGGGTGGAATTGCAAACAGAGAGGTAGCACAAGCGGTATGGAAGAAATATTTCGACAAAGTTGCATGGAGTTGGACTCAGGAGGGTTTTCTTCAAAAGATTAATGGGTTTGAGAGGTTCTGGACAGAGAAGAACATAAAAATGGTCGACTACGTGCGAGGTGAGTGGTTGCCTCATCAGACAATGTGGGCAAAGTGCTACACGAACCATGTGTTTCATCTTGGTAACACGAGCTCGAATAGAGTTGAGTCATCTCACTCTTCATTCAAGACTTTCCATGTGTCTGGTAGAGGAGCGATTGACACTTATTTTGCGAAGAACCACAACTACATGGAACATCAGTTTCTGGAAGTGGTGAATGAACTGCACAAGTCACTGAACCGCAATCTGAGTGGGGCAATTGAGTCTTCGTCCACGTTTTTGAGGAGGGTCGTTAGTTGTGAGGCAATCAAACTGATGTTAGATGAGGCGGGTTCCGCACCACCGGGGCGATGGATGGATTCTGAGGACTTGTTCGTGTTTGCCACCATCTACAACATTGCAGTCATGGTCTTCTCATACCAGGTGTATGATGTCAATAATGCAAACCGTCCACTACCCAACCGCTACGATGATGCCTATATTGTATTGCCTATTGATGCGGAACCAGGTATTTTGCCACCAACCATGTTCTTATCACTGCACTATGTGAACAACCACTACATTCGATTGTACTTCAACCATGATCAGTTTCCCATACCCCCTCTGCATCCAATTTGGCATGGGCTAGCAAATCCTAATGTGGCGGAGTGGGGAGCTATTCTCGAGGTTGGACAAAATTTGTTTGCGAGCCTTGGTGGTCGGCAGCGAGCCAGGCAGAAAGACCCCCGAAGAGCTAGGGGAAGGGGTAGGGGTAGGAGCAATGCATAGCATTGCAATGCTCTATTTATATGTTGTTTTTTTCTAGTTGTATTTTAAATGGCCCTAGTGTCATTATGAACTTATGGATTTCATTATGGATTTCATTATCTACCCTCAATGTTTTAATCATGAGTGTGCAAACATCCGATCCAAACATAAGTAGTCAAACAAACATAAGTAGTCAAACATCCGATCTAAACATAAACATGGAAACATGCAGTCTAAACATAAACATCCGATCCAAACATACATAAGTAGTCAAACATCCGATCTAAACATAAATATGCAAACATGCAGTCTAAACATAAACATCCGATCTAAACACAAATAGTACAAATCATAAATGATCCAAACATCAAAACAACTAAAAATCCCCTGGAGGGGGGAGTCCCTGAGAAACCCAGTACTCAGTCTACACATCATGCACTACGTGCGGTGCCCAGTAGGCTCGTCGAGAATGCTCAAGAAACTCCTCCTCGGTCCCTGCTGCTGCTTGAACCGTAGGTGCAAACGTGTACAAAAGGTCGCGAGCACGCTGCATGAAAAAAACAAGAACAATTGTTAGTTTCATGCTAAGTATATTTATAATAGAGTAACGATCTAGTGGTCAAATCTTACCGCTGCGGAGTCAACTAGTCAACATAGAATAGATCAGGTGCTGGAGACCTGACTACTGAACCAGATCCTCCGCCTCAACATGACTAAACACGTAGCTACCCAGATAATCAACCGCCGATGTACGACTGTAGCAACTGATGACCCCTCGATCTCCAACCCCCGTCCAAAGCACTTAGGCAGCGTGGCCACGGAAGCTCCTAATGAGGCTAGGATTCGTAGTTCCACCAGGACACTCACCAACAAGCTCCCACGGTGGAGGACCACTCGAACGTCCTCCCCTACTCCGTCCAATCCCCGAGCTCTCTGTCTCCTCACGAGCAGGTGGTACGAATCGCCCAACTCGGTCCCTATACATAGCAGGAGGTGATGTTGTCGTACAAGACGATACTCGTCCATGTCCACGCGTAGGTGGAGGGACCTCGATATCCTCATTAGTATCGTCCTCATCAAACTCAGCCGAGACCACTCTCGATGCAGCACCCTGGTTCCTCCCATGGGAACCAGACGCCCGTGATGCCGAACGAGCAACTACAGTAGGAGCCTCTAACTCATCCTCCTCTAAATTTGCCTCTGACTGATGTCCAATATCTCGAGAGCGCTTCTTCTCCTTATTCTTCTTAGGCACCTTCCTTCGTGTTGATGCATCAACAACCCTACCATTGAATCTATAGAACTCACTCCCACCCGCATCATCCATATCTAATTATCTACAAATTTACACAATATCATACTTAGAAGCGCACTAATTAATTAAATTTCTATTAACTAATGTACTATTAAAATTAATTATTAATTAATCACGAATTAATTAATTTTCTATTAACTAATGTACTGAATATTAACATTAATTGTTAAATCAATTCATAATTAATTAATTTTCTATTAACTAATCTAACTAATTAAATATTCATACGCCTATTAAAAAAATATTTATACACCAACTTAAATAAATATTAACACTAATTGCTAATTTCTATTAACTAATTAAGTAATTTTTTATTGACTAATTAATTAACATATTAAATTAAATTAAATACAAAAACCGGCCGGGCCAGAAAAAAATGCGGCAGGTGTGCCGCCGGACCGAAAACATTTTGGGGCCGGCGCGCCACGGTGCCGAAAATGTTTGCGGCCGGTGCATCGCCGGGCCGAAAAACTTTTGCGGCCGGTGTGCCGTCGGGCCGAAAATTTTTTGCGCCCGGGGCGACCCCCAGCCGAAAATATCTTTCGGCCCGACGTCGCCCCGGCCGTAAATTTTTTTCGGCCGAGGCGCCAGCGGGCCGAAAGAATTTTTCGTCCTGGCGTCGCACCAGCCGCAAATTTTTTTCGGCTCGCCGGCGTTCGTCCGCAATTTTTTTTCCGCCCGCCGTGTTTTTCGCCAGAAAACTGGAAAACATGCTGGAAAACTAGAAAACTTGTCGGAAAAAGTAAACTTACTTGTTTTCCGACGATTGAGAGCGATGGGAGGTTGGCCGGCGACGGAGGAACGCTGCTGGCGACGGAGGCACTGGCCTCGTCAACAGAAGTTTTTGTTTGAATGTGTCAAATGTTAATGGTATCCGAATTTATTAGTGTTGTCAAAACCGGACCGGGTAACGATCCGGATTAGTGAGAGGTTTAAGGTTTATCGGATAACCGGTGATTAACCGGTATAAAATCGATCATAAAATCGGTGGCATATAATATTGTTAAATACAATAAAAATAACTTCATGATACATATAGAAGAATAAATACTAATGTTTAAATTGAGAATTTCATATCTTATTAACATATTTAATTGAAGAATTCAAGATTAAAAAATATAATTATAGTCCTTATGAATAAATAAGAATAAAGAAAGATGGTAAAATTGATTCGATATATGGGGTTTTTAGTTTTTACCTTTTCTGATTTTGAGCGGTTATGTTGGGCAATTGAGAAATTGTATGGAGAAATTTAAAATGAGAAAAGAGGGAAGGAATTAAGAGAAGAAGAGAGTGACGTAAATGAGGAAAGAGTGAATAAAAAGGATAAATATGGAGTGTAATTGTGTAAGGTGGATGGGTGCAGGAGAAACCCAAGGTTGTCAAACCGGTTTAAGTCATTGAGCCGGTCAAGCAAGGGGTTTGAGGTTTAATGGTCTGATTGGGGTCCGGCCGGTTTGAGCCGTTTTAGACGTTTTCTAAATATATAAACAAATAAAGTAGTAATTAAAAATTTAATGAGTGAAATAAAATTTATCTTACATATATCTATTAAAAACTTATTTTCAACAAAATAAATCTACCTGACCTCCATGATCCACCTACCATTTCCCTTCCTTCTTTCCTTTTCCTCTCTTCTGCCTCTCTTCTTCTCCCTGTTTAGGGGTCAGACCGGGGGGTTTTCTGGAGGCCGTTTTGAAGCCCGACTCGGGTTGAACCGGGTCCAACCGGGGGGTTCGATAGGGGTTTAACAACCTTGGAGAAACCATAAAAGTGGGAAGTGGTAAAAGAAGGAAAGTAATATTGTCCTTCTCTTTTCATTTAAACTCTCGGTTTTGAAAAGGAAAGATAAATTTCCATAACAATAATAAAAAAAGGAATGTCAACAGTGGGCTATAACAGCCGGTTCGGCTTATCCGGATTTGCCGGTTATTCGGTCGAACCGGTCAATAACCGGCCGGGAGTTTCCTTTGCGTTTTCAGACAATTGGAACCGGAAAGTTGGCCGGGTCCGGTTTACCGCGGTCGGACCATCCGGTCCGGCCCGGTTATAATAACAGTGGAATTTATAGAATGAAAGGAAGGGAAGGAAGGAAAAATTCAAAATTTGAATTCAATATTTTTTTAGTTGGCGGCAAATAGCCGTTCACTTATAGATATGTTCTGATTTTGGTTTGCATAGGAAACTAGCCAAAGTTATCCCTTGAGTCAACCAATTTATGATGTGAATCAGATGCATAATCAGCAGACAAATGACGTTGTCAATTCAGCGCCAACTTATTTGGGATTTCGGGTATATAATTTCAGCTCTTAATTAATTATCTTTTCAAGTAATAACCATGTATGATTTTGTTAATATTGAAACTAGCTTCCTTGATGTATTCCAAAAATTCTCATTTTCAGGTCCATCAAGGAGAACGGATATGGGCTAGACCAGAAAATGGAAGGAAAGCTTTTGTTCCTAGAAGAGGAACATCAAGTGCAGGCAGAAGTGGAAGAATGGAAATGTCTAATTTATGCTTTTTTAGATTGTTTCGTACTTTGTGAGTTATTTGGTGTTTTTTGTCCTACTGACTACTGTCACTTATCATGACAGTGCATTAGAATTAGTATCCAAGGAATTTAGCTTTATTTAGACTTTAGCAAGCTTCTGATTAATATTTTGCAGAAACAAATTATAGACATGCTTCACATAATACGTATTGCAGTAACTACCTAAATGAGATGAGAGTAATTATCCAGATTATGGACTTTCAACAAGCGTTTGTTCAATATTATCTAGAATCAGCTTGTAAGCGTGTTAATTAGCCAAAGTCATGAGATATCATCTTCATTCATGCACATTGGCAAATAAAAAATTGATTCAGAATGAAAATTATGGGATAGATACATGGGACGGGTTTGGGAGGGACGGGTTCTTTTTTTTTGGTGCGAAGCGATTGGGGAAATACAAGGGTGATGTGGCAAAAAGGTAAATGACTCAGCAGCCTGGTGGCTTGTAGTCAACGTTGACTTGTCAAAATGTTTTTTTCTTCTCCGTTAATGAAATAGATGGAAAATTGGAAGGATGCACATTTAATTGACTTACATGATATCCAATGCCCTAAATTGACTTTAGTGGTATCCATCCCCGAATTCTCAAAGTTTGATGGTATGGGTTGAATTTCTCCCAACCGCCGGCGGATGAACCAAATCTGCTCTTCCGACGAGAAAAGCGAAAGAAAGAAACCAGATCTGCTTCTTTTTTTAATTTATTACATAGATGTGCAGTGATAATTGTCAGAATAAAATTGTTTTCCAAAAAAAGTTCTTTAGTTTTTTATTGTATTTACGAAATCTTATTTTGTTTTAATTATTTTGCAGGTTTGGCATTAGGACTTGCAGATCAGGATTTTGGATGAGGAATTGATAGTGTTTTTTGAGCAAATCTGGAATTTTTTCATTGATGAGGTGCAGATTTGATGTTGACGAAGGAACTAGAACATGAATCGAAAAATAAATTATGACCTAAAATAAAATTAACCCAGATATAAAATGTGACCTATACTAAAATTAACCCAAAAATAAATTGTGAATAATTATAAAAAATGGTCATCTTTTTGCAACGAACTACCCGTCGCAGAATACCCTTATTTTCTACAATGGTGCAATGGGCGTCGCAAAATGATCATTTTGCGACGAAATGATCGTTGCTAAATCATTGCCCTTCAGCGACGAATTTTGTTTTTCTTGCAACGAACTGGTTTTTTCCGTTGCGGAATTTTCTGCGACGCTGTATAGGCGACGAAGGGTTTTTCTCTTTTGCGACGGAAGAATTCGTTGTAGAAGGCTTCTGCGACGAATTTTAGGCCTTTCTGCGACGAATTTTTTCATCGCAGAAAGCTAAGTTTCTTGTAGTGACCGGTACATCAAGGAGCCGGTAAACTCCATATCCCAAACAAACCTGGTCATCGCCCGGACTTCAGGATTTTGACCCTAGCGAATATCAAACTGGAACATCGATTTCCCTGGTCTCTTAACGTCTTCGGTCACAAACAAAAGGGCTCGATGATCCGATTCTCGGTAACTTTAATATACAATCTTCTGAGACAAAAGCTCAGTCCAACCTTTCTTGGACTACACGGTTTGAATCTCGTTTGTTAATGCAAGTGAAAATCGGACCTTTAAAAGGAAGCTCATGAAGGCCAAAATCATCAACAAATCCGCGAAGGTTAGCAAAGTGACTTGGACGCCACGGAAGTCCCCCTTCCTTTTTATTTGAAGCTAAGATGCCATTAAAATACCCAACGGTCATGAAGGGGACATTTAGGTATGTACAAAAGGTAGAAAGTCGTTAAAGTTGCAACGTCTTAGTAGAATAATCATAACTCATGTAAAAAAAAACACCACATAACCCAAATGATATTTATTCAAATTTAAAGCTACAAAAAAGGAATCACTACATAAAACTGAGACCGAAGTCTCGGTGGACCAACCTACTGAAAGGCCACCTACAAAGTGAGCACCATCTACGGAAAAAAAATCCGAATGATGAAAACAAAATTGCCTCATACGGCCATCTACTACTCTCCGACACGACATTGTTTCTGAAAGACAAATAACATCAGGAAAATAACTACTCTTTAAACCTATCAACTGCTGAATTGTCGAAGCCTGTCCAATTCCACGACAATTCCAAAACATCAATCTCATTTATCTTCTTGGGGCCACTCACGTCTGGATTTCTCCACCAGTTCATCACCTCACCCTTGTCCTCCTCCTACTATTTGCCCTCGTGCACTTCTTCATCCAACAAGTCATTATTGTCCAAGCCAATATCCTGCAAAGAAGCAGCATCAAAGCACAATTTCTTTGGTGGCAGCGGTTGACTCTCCGCCACAGTCATCATCTCCTGGTTGCTCCTTTTCTTCTCAAACATAATTTCTTCAAGTTCCCCAGTTCCCATCTTGAATCCTGGCTTAGGCCTAGCACCATATTCCTTCCTTGACTTTCTCTTCACAATCCTAGCAGGTCTAGCTCTAGGACAATCTGCAGTAACCATCTTGTCACTCTCCAGCAACTTACCTTTCCCTTTCACTGCCGCTGTGTACTTACGAGTCTGCTGCCCAACACCATCACTAGTATTCTAGGCCTGTCCTCTTCGAGTCTACATCTGATTTGTTCTACCAAGCCGAGCAGATTCTCCCTCCGGACCCGTTGTCATAAACTCCTGCATTATATGAGCATGTGAAGACTCCTTCCTATTCAAAATAGCTTCAACTCCAAGAAGGTCCGGGTCCACAGGAGCTGCAGCGCCAGACTGCCAACCAGAACATAAATAGACATTAACAAGCCTCATCCATATCCAAGCATAAGAGCTAAGTAAACCATAATTGTCTACGATTGAGGACAGATGATTCATAACATCCAAGATATTTAAAACAGACCAATGAAGGTAAAATTGTCTATCGGACTTCTTCAATAGGATCCATTTATCAGAAACGTACGGAAAGAAAGTCGGAACCTTATCCAGGGAATCATATACTATTTGGAAATTCAAGGATGCAAAATTCAGCTTTTAAATTTTCCCAGAGCCAAATTTCATACCAAGGGGTGGAGGCATCGTCCGGCTATGGGGGCCATGGAGACGGGTCGGCCATCGTATGGACAAGAAGGGATTTGGCCACTTAGGCCCAAAAACCCAACCCAACAAGGTCTAACTAGCTCTTTTAATTATTAATGTTGAGCTGGCCTTATAAATCCATTGAATTTCTTGTAGTTAATCGATGTGGTACAAGCTGATTTTTTTATGGGTAAACACTATTCAAAACAGCCAAATCGAACAGAAGTCATTCTAGGAACCAAGATATTCCTACACACCATATAACACCCAATGAGACCCGAATTCCCAGTATTGACCAAACAAGCAGGGATCGGTTACTATGACAACATCCCTTGTGTTGTTATTGTAACAACACTAGTCTCCAACCAATAGGAAGTTAGGGTTGTGATGACTTTTTATTAGATGAGTTGACCTAGTGTAAAATCAAAGTAGGGGTATAATTGTCATTATGAAAAATATGTTTAAATAATAATAAAAATTAAAAAAATTAAAAAAATATTTTTTTATTTTCGGTCCAAAATTTTTGTGTGCATTTTGTGGGTTGCTTTATCGTGTTTGTGGTTTGCATTAGGAGGTTTTTGGTGTGCTTTAAAATATTTGTGGTTTGCTTTGTGGTATTTCTAGTATCTTTTAGGAGATTTATGGTTTGTATTAGGAGATTTGTGGTATGCTTTTTGTGGTTTATTTTATAGTGTTTGTGGAATGAATTATGAGGTTTCTAATGTGCTTTAAAAATATTTGTGTTATACTATCCGCAGCCAAACTCATTTCAACCACGACTAAACATTTCATTCAAATCACTTCATTATACTTCAATATAATTCAATTACTATGAATTGTTTTCTCCAAACCTCATAACCAACTAGAAATTGTAGCCTAAAATGGCCAATACAAAATGCATGGGAATGAATCATTTCCCTTGGAACGTTTTTGATAGAAATAGAATGGGAGCAAAAAATATACCTATATGCTGTCTCTTTCTTTCAATTTATTCCCTTTGGAAATATTGTTGTGTAGCAGCGGTTACAAACGGGAGGAAGAGTGGCTGCTACCACCGCCTGCCGCTACTTCACTGACAGAACCTTTCCTTCACTTTCTTGTCGCAATTAATAAATCAGGCCGCCAATCACCATTAGAGATGGCAACTTTGCCATACCCATGGGTTTCTTACTATCCAACCCAATTGGGTTGGGTATGCAATCCAAATAGATGGATATGGGTAGAGTTTCATGGGTTTGTACCCATACCCATTTACTTTGGGTTGAGTTGGGTTTATATCAAATGGATTTGGGTTTGTACCCATGCCCAAATACAAATTACAGTTTGGTACCCAAAATTAATAGATATGCATATTTAGTACCTAAAATTAATTTTTTTTGCATATAAGTCCTCAAAATATCGATGGAAAATTACGTTTTGGTACATAAATTTTTTTGGTCTTACATTTTGGTACCCAAAACTTTCAATTTTTACAAATAGGTCCAATTTTTGCATGTGTAGTTAAAACACCCTCAAGTAAATGGATATCCAACCCATACCCATTTAGATTATGGAAACAATATTCATACCTTACCCAAACCCAACCCATTATCAATGGGTCTGCTTGGGTTTGGGTATAATTACCCATGGGTGGGTAATTTGCCATCCCTAATCACCATCGTCACCCTCTGCTTCCCCTGTTCCAAAGCGCTCTCCACCTCTCCTGTGGTAACTCCAATCACCATCGCCACACTCTACAACCTCCTTCGAAGCCACTATCACCACATCCCACGACTCCATCGGAAGAACTTCCTCCTTTACCTCCTTCATTGCCTCGTACAAACTTTCAAACGAGTTCCAGTTCCATCGATAAAATCGCAACCCCCATTCCCTGATTGATTAGACACTTGTCGAACCAATCTTGGGAACGAGGGAGGAAGCCGCCCTCGTCGAACCGATCTTGGGGACAAGTGAGGAAGTCGCTCACCGCCGGACACGCGGACGAAGACGTCCATCACCTGAGATGGATCGAACTTCGGCGACATGGTTACGGTGGATGCGTAGATGCAAACGACACTTTAGGGTTTGAGAGAACGGGGAAGGATTTTGGGGGCGCAGCAGCTAAATAATTTATTTTAATTTTATTATTTCTTTGTAAGTTTACAATTTTTCACTTAATGAAACTTGTTGTTATTATAACAACATAAAGGGTGTTGTTATACTATCCGCACCATTTTGTGATGGACATTGTGGGATTTTTGGTTTGTTTTAGGGGATTTGTGGTATGGATTGGGAGGTTTCTGGTATGTTTTTGTGATTTGTTTTACCATGTTTGTGGGCTACGAAAGTTTTATGATTTACTTATGAATTATGTGTGGTATGCTTTATGAAATTTGTTGAAATTTGTTGGGTGCTTTATGAAATTTGTTGGGTGCTTTCCACTAAACAATTAAGGCAAGGTAGTCCAACAATATTGATGAAAAAGCAAAAGTGGCTCTTGTTGGTGCATCGACTCAAGCTGCTTCAAGAAAGAAAAATTTCTCTCTCAAAACAAATATATGAGATACAATATCCCTGCATCTGTTTCACAATTCGATCTCCCTGACCTTCGTCCCACCACCAGATCACCGATTCACAAAGCTTCCTATTGAAGGTCAAGAAGCAGGGAACCAAAGCATGCAAATTTAGGTAGAAACAGGCAATGAGTGGCACTCGCCCTTTCCGTCATCATCACCGCCACATCGTTGACGCCTCACCGATCATTGTCATTGCCGGAGAAGGACCACTCAACTAGCGTCGACTTCACCTTCTTCGTACCTTATACTCTTATTGTGGATTCCACAGCCTCAGCAGCAAATCTGAGGGGAGACGAAATCGAATCGAGAAAGATCTGCCAATCCAGTATCTGTTCTCGTCGTCTGTTCCAGCCATTTTCGCCCATTCAAACTCTATTCCCGTCGTCGGCTCAATCGTCGACGATTGTTGGCGCTATTGGAGGGATTGTGGTCGTTGTTGATGTCGCTGGGAATTTGGCGGAGTGGAGAGTAGCGATCCCGGCGTGGAGGAGAAGCTGCCGACGGGGAATAGATCAGGATTTGGTAGGGGAGGAGGAGATCGGGGCGGCGATTTTTATCATGTTTTAGATCTCATCGAAAACTGGGAAAGCCGACCGGAGTTGGGATGTGGAGAGACAAAGAGGTGAAGAATCGTCGGTCTCCATTCTCATCAGGCGGCTGAAAATCTGGCGCGATGGCGCCGACAACAGGGGAGAAGAAGAATCGAGTGGGAAGAGAGAAGGGTATGGGATGGGCAGATGGGGTAATTACTAATTTAATTTAATTTCTTATTTATTAATTTTCGTGAGTTTCCGTTTTATCCCTGTTGTTACTATAACAACACTATTGGTGTTGTTATAGTATCCAGACCCACCACAAATATTTTGAAAGCACACCAGAAACATCATAATGGAAACCACAAACACGGTAAAGCAAACCACAATAAAGCAAACCATAAACGTCCTGATGCAGACCCCAAATCTATTAAAATAAACCAGAAACCCCTCAAAGCAAACCACAAATTTTTTTAAAGTACACTAGAAACCTTCTAATGCAAACTACAAATATATTAAAACAAACCAGAAACCTCACAATGCATACCACAAATCTCCTAAAACAAACCACAAACGTCACAAAGTAAACCACAACATTTGCGAAAGCACAACGCAAACCTCCTAATACAAACCACAAGTCTCCTAAAACATGCTAGAAACCCCGCAAAGCAAACCACAAAATATGTCATAAGCACACCAGTAACCTCCTAATGCAAACCACAAACATAGTAAATCAAACGACAAACAAGCAAACCATAAACTTCCTAATGCAAACCACAAATATATTAAAACAAACCAGAAACCCCTCAATGCAAACCACAAAATTTTTGAAAGCAAACCAGAAGCTTCTCAATGCAAACCACAAACACGGTAAAGCAAACCACAAAAGGCATACAAAAATATGAGAAACCAAACCATCAATCTCACAATGCAGACCATAACATTCAGTGGTCGTTGACCGTTGACCAGTCAACGATGACCGTTGACCAAACTCCGATGACCGTCAGTGACTGAATTCCTGCGCTGATAGGCATATTCTGGTCCTGATGACTAGATTCCAACGCCGGTAAGCATATTCCGACCACAGTGAGCATATCCCGGCGGCGGTGGCATATTCCGATGACAAAATAGCATATTCCGGTGACCATCGACCAGATTCCGGAGACCGGTGGCCGAATTCCGGCGACCAAAATTTGGGCAGAAAATTAAAAAAATATATTTTTTATTTTTTATTATTATTTAAAAATCTTTTTCATAATGACAATTATACCCCTGCTTTGATTTTACACTAGGTCAACTCATCTAATAAAAAGTCATCAGAACCCTAGCTTCCTATTGGTTGGAGACTAGTGTCGTTACAATAACAACACAAGGGGTATTGTCACACTATCTAGTCCCAAACAAGTGTATTGCAAATAATAAATGTTTTTTTTTTCTTCTTTTGTACCCATCCATTTTGATCTCGAATATATAAAAATCTAAGTCCCTTTTGCTACATCCGAATATACAAAAAATCAAAATGTAAAAATGATTGTAATGCAAAATAGAAACTATACCTAAATTCTAATAGAACGGACGTATTTGTTCAACTGTGTCCCTCTCAAGAAGGTTGCTAAGTAAGTCGACCCTCCACTTGTCTTCGTGAGGTGAGATCAAAGAATAAATCGTTCCTTGAGCCCCCACCATCTCTGTAAGCAAACGAGAAGGGTTCGGATGACAACCAGGGACCCAATTCGAATTTGCAAATGAAATATTCTTCCCAATCCCAAATTGTCACCAAACAATGAAGGAGTAGCTCCCGACCATGTAAAATACCACACCATCCCCATGATGGAAGAGATCTCGTAGTAGCCTCCAAAAAAAAAAGTCTGGGGAGAGTACTTGCCTTTATAAATGCAAGCTAGCATGCAATCAGGATCTATCAGTAAGCGACATCCCAACATAGCCAATAATGTCTGATTGAAATCCTCAAACCGACGGAATCCCATCCAACCCTCAGCTTTACTCAAACATAGCGTCTTTCATGAAACCCAATGAATTTTATGTTCGCCTGCTTTACCTCCCCACCAGAAGTGAGCCATACGTCTATCCAGATCTCTGCACAAAGAGGCAGGTAAACAAAAGCATGACTTTGCATGAATAGACAAAGCATTCACTACCTCCTTCAATAGAACCTCCCTTGCCGACCACGAGAGACAGCATCGCTTCCACCCTTGTAGCCAGCTTAAAACTCTCTCCTCAATGTAGCAAAATGTCTCTATCTTTGATCGGCCCACTAGGATAGGTAAACCCTAATACTGATACGTGACTCCAATAACACCGAAGCCAAGGATAGTACCAAGTTGCTCCCTGTCCTGCGGCTTCACGTTCCGACTAAAGTAGACAACCGATTTATCCAAGTTAACCTTCTATCCACTCAATATCTCATATCTAGCCAAGATCGTCCTTAAACTAGAGCACTCTGGCCCTGAAACCCACAGAAACATATACGAATCATCTGCAAAAAATAAATGAGACATCATGAAACATCGAATGAGACCTGAATTCCCATTATTGACTAAACAAGTATATTGCAAATAATAAATGCTTTTATTCTTTTGTACCCATCCGTTTTGCTCTGGAATATATAGAAATCTAAGTTCCTTTTGCTACATCCGAATATACAAAAAATCAAAATATAAAAATGATTGTACTGCAAAATAGAAACTATACCTAAATGCTAATAGAACCGATATATATATATATATTGATTGGAATGAGGCACAAAAACGCCAAGAAAAAGAAAAGAGGGGTTACAGGGGAGGAGTTACAAAGGAAGTGACAATATTCCGGGGTAAGGTCAACCCACATTCACCATCCTTAAGCGTTTCTATAAGTTGGTCTGGAGGGTTTTCTAGTTCATGCATACCGTAGGGATAGACGAGACCATGCTTCGAGAGCCAGTCCGCGACTCTATTTCCTTCCCGATATGTATGCAGTAGGTTAACCAGCCATTCCTATGCCAAAAGTCTTCGAATCGTGTTGAGAAGCGAGGCAAAAGGGTGCGCCTGATCGGACCTCTTCTGGATGAGGTCGATCTCGAGTTGGGAATCCGTTTCTGCAATAACGAGCCGAAGCCCCTTGCGCCAAGCCAGCTCGAGGCCTTGCTTCAGTGCCCAAAGCTCCGCATGAGCAGCTGTACAAATACCAATGTTGTAGCAAAAGCCACCAATCCACCGTCTTCGATCATCTCGAATCACTCCTTCGGGGCCAGCCTTGCCTGGGTTTCCTTGGGAAGCTCCATCCACATTCAACTTATACCAACCCGTAGAAGGCGCTGACCAACCAATATCTACCACTAACCTATTTGGCTTCTGCATATTCTTCAATAGCAGAGGTGATGGGGCAGTCCAAGCTGAGTACCACAACTTAGTCTTCAGGCGGATTGCGTGCAAGAGGGAGGGAGGGGAGAGTGATTTGATGCCTCCGCTGAACGCTCCATCGTTACGGTTCTTCCATATCGTCCAAAGGGCAATGGTGAATTTAGTTTCCTAAGGGTGTTGTTATACTATCCACACCCAAATAAGTATATTGCAAATAATAAATGTTTTTTTTTCCTTTCTTTTGTACCCATCCGTTTTGCTCTCGAATATATAGAAATCTAAGTCCCTTTTGCTACATCCGAATATACAAAAAATCAAAATGTAAAAATGATTGTACTACAAAATAGAAACTATACCTAAATGCTAATAGAACAGATATATATATTAATCCCAAGTACTAAAAAAACAATTAATTAGGTCCGTCAATGGAGGCAGCGGCGATATGGTGACGCCATCTTTGGCACTAACTCATGGATTACCTATACTCATAATTATATAAACAGTTCTAACAAAATATTCAAATTAGTTTAGTTGGGTCCCTCCCTAACCGTTTATTCAAATGAACCGAAACGTCAATGTATTAATTTAGTTGTTCTACTGGCCCAATCGTTGATCTGATTCGATTCGACTAATTGATTTTCAGCAACTTTCTTTATTGAATTAGCCCTCTTTTTTAATAAATTTCTATGCTTATTGTTGATGTGACTTGAATCGGACTATCAGCCGCTACGACTGGTAATCGGTGTATGCTCAATGTTTTTTGGGTTCGGGTTCTGGGCCTGGTCTGTAACCGTTTCCTTTACCAGATTGGATTAGGTTTAGACCCACATGGAGAAGTACTATATATACTTCTCATACTCCTCTGTAATCTGTAATCTCCTCGATATAGTGAAACTGACTCTCTCTCGCCCGTGGACGTAGCTAACACACATCGTGTTAGTGAACCACGTAAATCGTGTGTCTGTGTTTTTTCGATTCTCGCTTTCGTATTCTTGCTTTATCGATTCCGGCAATTTCCCGATCCGTAGCAGCGCGCTTATAACAAGTGGTATCAGAGTCGCGGCTGGAAATCAGGTTAGGGTTTTCGATTCAGAAGAATGACGTCAGTGAACATGAAGATCGAAAAGTTCACGGGGAAGAACAACTTCGCTATATGGCAGATCATGATGCAGGCTTTATTAAAACAGCAAGGCCTACTCGACCATAATGCTATCGTTGTCTGATAATGTCATCATTGAAGTCGCTGCTAAGAAGACTGCCGCGGGCTTGTGGGTAAAGTTGGAGAGTCTGTATATGATGAAATCCTTAACCAACAAGCTGCATCTTAAGCAGCGGTTGTTCAGCTTGAGGATGCAAGAAGGTACGCCTTTGAGGGAACATCTCGAACAGCTTAACTCTTTTTTGCTGGATCTGCGTAATATAGATGTTCAAGTTGATGATGAGGATGCTGCCCTAATCCTGCTGGTTTCTTTGCCGAGTTCATATGAGAATTTCGTTGAATCTTTTATTGCCGGTAAAGAAAGCGTGTCGTTGGAAGATGTCAGGTCTGCTCTTCATACGAGAGAGATCAGGCATAAGGCGTCTGGATCTAGTACAGGTGGTGAGGCATCGGGTTTGGCTGTTATAGGTGGAAAGGGAAAGAAGAAATCGGGTAAAGGGAATTCGAACAAGAATTCCAAGGGTCCCGGTCCACAGCCAGGTGATGCTTGTCACAACTGTAAGGAAGTGGGGCATTGGAAGTACAATTGTCCCAAGAGAAGAGGGCAACAGAAGAAACAAGGTTCAGTTGCCGTGGCAGAAGTGGACAACAGTTCTGAAGACGATCTCGCCTTGGCTGTAGATGAGAAGGCACATCGTGGGGATGTGTGGTTTCTGGATACTGCAGCCTCATACCATATGTCTCCGAACAGGGATTGCTTCACAACCTACAAGCAGATAGATGGTGGTAATGTGGTCATAGCAAATGGAGCTGTCTGCAAGGTTGTTGGAATCGGGTCCATAAAAGTTCGGGCACATGATGGTTCGTTCTGTACCGTGAATGATGTCAGACATGTTCCACGAATGACAAAGAACCTGATCTCCTTAAGTCTACTCGACAGCAAGGGTTTCAGTTTCAAAGGAAAAGGTGGAGTTGTGTATGTCTGCAAAGGTTCAAGGAAGGTGCTGAAGGGCGTGAAGCGTGGGACCTTGTATGCATTACAAGGGTCTGTGTTGTCTGGGTCTGCTGCAGTTGCATCGTCTCAGGTTCATCAGGAAGATATGACCACTCTCTGGCACATGAGACTGGGGCATATGAGTGAACGGGGGATGCAAGTTCTGTCAAAGAGGGATCTTCTTCGCGGGCACAAGGTGCAGAATTTGGAATTCTGCGAGCATTGTGTGTTTGGGAAACTACATCGCAGCAAGTTTCCCAAGAAGGGTATCCACCGGACGAAGGGGATACTAGATTACCTCCACTCCAACTGTTGGGGTCCTTCACGAGTTGAATCCATTGGAGGCAGCAGGTATTTTTTGTCTATTATTGATGATTATTCAAGATTTACTTGGATTTTCATGATGAAGCAGAAAAGTGAGGCTTTCACGAAGTTTAAGCAGTGGAAGACATTGGTGGAGAATCTGACCGAGAAGAAGATCAAGAAGCTGCGAACGGACAATGGTCTGGAGTTCTGTCTATAATTGATGATTATTCAAGATTTACTTGGATTTTCATGATGAAGCAGACTAGTGAGGCTTTCACGAAGTTCAAGCAGTGGAAGACATTGGTGGAGAATCTGACCGGGAAGAAGATCAAGAAGCTGCGAACGGACAATGGTCTGGAGTTCTGTAATTCTGAGTTCAACGAATTCTACAATGATGAAGGGATTGCCCGTCATCGGATTGTGAGAGATACACCCCAGTAGAATAGCGTTGCAGAAAGGATGAACCAGACGTTGTTGGAGAGAGCACGGTGCATGCTCTCTAATAATGGACTAGAGAGAAGATTCTGGGCAGAAGCAGTGAACATGACGTGCTTCCTGATCAACCGTGGACCTCACACAGGTATTGAGTTGAAGACTCCTTATGAGGTGTGGTATGGTAAGCCTGCTAATTACTCATCACTGAAAGTTTTTGGGTGTCCCGTTTATTATCATGTGGATGAGGGTAAACTGAACCCAAGGGCAAAGAAGGGTGTATTTGTGGGTTACGGAGATGGAGTTAAGGGATTTCGAGTCTGGTCACCTTCTGAGCATCGAGTTATACTTAGTAGAAATGTGATATTTGATGAGAAGTCTACGTTTAACCCCATGTTGAAGGTTACTGTTGTTGAAGGTAGCAGAAATGTTGATAAGCAGGTGGAGCTGCAAACTCTCAATGAGAGTGAGTTTGAGCACCAAGGTGGAAAAGATCAACATGAAGATATTTCTATAGAGCCAGAAACTTCAAAGTCCGGTGCAGAAGCTCAACAGTCTATAGCTTCCGGTAGACCAAAGAGAGCGACTGCAGGAGTACCTCCGGAGAGGTATGGTTTCGAGGACATGGTGGCGTATCCATTTTAGGTTGCTGAAGAAGTGGATGCAGATGAGCCACAGTCGTACAGAGAAGCCGTTTCGGGTGGCGAAGATGATCAATGGCTTGCCGCAATGGGAGATGAGATGGAATCCCATGACAGGAATCAGACTTGGGAGCTAGTCAAACGACCACAGGAGGAAAGATTGTTACAAACAAGTGGATCTACAAGAAGAAGGAAGGAATCACTTCTAAAGAGGGCATGAAATTTAAAGCTCGGGTGGTTGCATGAGGCTTCTCGCAGAGGGAAGGAGTTGACTACAATGAGATTTTCTCATCGGTGGTCAGACATACTTCGATCAGAGTGCTACTAGCAATAGTGGCACATTATGACTTGGAGCTCGAGCAGCTAGACGTGAAGACAGGTTTCCTACATGGAGAGTTGGAGGAAGAAATTTACATGACTCAGCCAGAAGGATTTGAGGTTCCGGGAAAAGAAGACTATGTTTGTAAGCTGAAGAAGTCCTTGTATGGACTTAAGCAGTCTCCGAGGCAGTGGTACAAGGGATTTGACAGTTACATGCTTGAGCTGGGCTACAACAGAAGTTCATATGATTGTTGTGTGTATCACAACAAGCTGGAGGATGGTTCGATGATCTATCTTGTTCTTTATGTGGATGATATGCTCATAGCCACGAGGTCGAAGTCTGATATCCAGAAGTTAAAGGGGCTTCTCAGTGCTGAGTTTGAGATGAAAGATTTGGGAGCTGCTCAGAAGATCTTGGGTATGGAGATTTACAGGGACAGGTCAAAGAAAAAGCTTTTCTTGTCACAGAAGAGCTACATCCAGAAGATACTGTCGAGGTTTGGCATGTCTTCAGCAAAGCCCTTAAATACTCCTAGTGCTTCAAATGTTCATCTATCCTCAGTTTATGCACCGCAGTCAGAGGCTGAGAAGGAGTACATGTCGAGAGTCCCATATGCTAGTGCAGTAGGTAGCTTGATGTACGCTATGGTATGCACTAGACCTGATCTTGCACATGCTGTTAGTGTTGTCAGCAGGTTTATGATACAACCTGGGAAGGAGCATTGGCAGGCTGTGAAGAGGATCTTCCGGTACCTTAAGGGTACACCTGATGTAGGGATTAGCTTCGGAAGTGATACAGAGTGCTTGGTGTCTGGGTATTCTGACTCGGACTATGCTGGAGATGTTGGCACGAGGAGATCGATGACCAGTTAATAGAAGCTGGAAGGCAACTTTGCAGTCGGAGGTGACATTGTCTACTACTGAGGCAGATTATATGGCGTTGATAGAAGCTGCTAAGGAGGGAATATGGTTGAAGGGACTGGTTGGTGATCTTGGTCTACATCATGATCAGACAGTGGTGTATTGCGACAGTTTGAGTGCAATATGCTTGGCCAAGGATCAAGTCCACCATGAGAGGACTAAGCACATCGACGTGAGGTATCATTTCTTGAGGACAGAGAAGAGGATTAAGGTGAAGAAGGTTGGCACCACGGATAATCCTGCTGATATGTTCACGAAGCCGGTTCCACATGGCAAGTTCCAACACTGCTTGGACTTGCTGAATGTCTTGAGTGGGTGACTCCGCCCTACAGGGCATTGATGGCGGGAGAGAGAGAGAAGGAGCACAGTACATCAGAGATTTTCAGAGGAAGAGGATTCAAGTCAAGGTGGAGATTTGTTGATGTGACTTGAATCAGACTATCAGCCGCTACGACTGGTAAGCAGTGTTTGATCTTCTACCCAAACTCCCTCACCATTCTTTAAAGATGAAACTCTGTTTTGGCGCCTTCTAGCCACAATCCTAGTGTGAAAATACTTGGTGTTCCTGTTCCCCAAGATCACCCACTCTAATCTCGACTTCTGAGCCCATAAGAGCTCCTCTTGTAATAGAATGACTTCAAGCCATTGTCCATGAAACCGTACCGTACCGTACCGGCGGTTCAACCACGAAATATCAGTCTTGAAGACTAAATCGGTAGGCGGTATTTAACGGTTTAACGGTTGAACTACGATTAAACCACGGTTTTACCATAAAATACCCTAACGCTGACTCTCCCGGTACGTTCTCCGGTACGGTTTCACGGACCATGCTTCAAGCTCATTCCTAGCTTGCTGCAATGCAGCAGGCTCCATCCCACTCGTAACCCGCATTTCCAGGCGTTCAATGCGCGCAAGAAGGAGGTTCTTCTTCCTCAAGATATGCCCAAAGGTGTGAAAGTTCCAACTCTGTGCTTCTTTAGCAAATTCAGAAATAGCACTGCAAAGGTCGACCCCTCGAGTCCAGATAAATATATTAAGCCCAATTACTAAAAAACAATTAATTAGGTCCGTCAATGGAGGCAGCGACGATATGGTGACACCATCTTTGGCAATTAGCATGACGACATCATGGATTACCTATACTCATAATTATTACAACGACTTTTTTTACATGGAGAAAATAATAGAGTCAACGTTTGGCACTAACTCATGGATTACCTATACTCATAAATATATCACAAAAACAGTTCTAACAAAATATTCAAATTAGTTTAGTTGGGTCCCTCCCTAACCGTTTATTCAAATGAACCGAAACGCCAATGTATTAATTTAGTTGTTCTACTGGCCCAATCTTTGATCTGATTCGATTCGACTAATCGATTTTCAGCAACTTTCTTTATTGAATTAGCCCTCGTTTTTAACAAATTTCTATGCTTATGTTACCCAAAATAATGAGGTGATGGAATTGACTTCAAAAGAGTACACAAGGAGCTTGAGTCTTTTCATTTTTTATTTTCCATAAATTTACTTAAAAAGTCATTTTAAATTTGGAGGTCTCCAACATTATTTTAGTGAAGCTACCCACGTTGGGGTCAACTTGCTAAAACAGTTGAGAACTAATAGAAGTTATTTTTATCTTTTGTGGACAGTGGACTTTTAAATATACAAATACATATATGGTAATTATTGAAGTATTCTTTGAATAAAACATAGTCCAAATGATTTGATGATTGAATCACTACAACAAATTCGGCCTATTAGGACAAAAAAATTATTTTTTCATTTTTTGTTTGTCACAATAGGTACGGTAATATGACAAAAATAATATATGTCCTATTTGGTATGCCTAATGTGACAAAATAATTGTTGTCAGAATAAGTCGTCATTTAAAGTGAGTAATGTGACAAATATTTCGTGTCACAATTAAGTTTATCACAATAGGTATCTCATAACAGGATGTAAGAGACACAAAAGTGACAAATTATATTGTCAAAGTAGATTTGGTCATATGATGCCTTCCTGAATTGTTTATATGACAAAGTATTTTGTCACGCTAGATATCAATAATCCTACGACGAGCTGAAAAAATGGCATGTTCGTCATAATATAGTGGTTTCGGCTTTGACAAAAGGCATGTTCGTCACAATATAGTGATTTCGTTTTTGGCTCCAAATTGAAAATTTTCAATTTTTGAGTGGGCGCCCGAATTACCTCTCCCCACCCGCTCAATCCCTCCCCAAAATAAATCACGCTCACCTTCCCCACTCCTTGCCTCCCATCTCTCTCTCTTTCTCTTCCTTCTTCTCCTTCTGCCAACAATTAAATCCCCCTTCCTACTGCAGAAAAATAAAACCCTAGCTCACTCTTGGTCTTCCTCCTTTTTCTTCTTCCAACCAGGCCAAAAGAGACAACGTGCGAACGACGGCGATGATGACGAGGCCGGCCACCTTAATTTTCTCGTCTTCCGATCTCTCTCGACCTCTTTGACCTTTCTTCTCCGTCGCCGACAGGAAGCTCAGATCCGACTACATAGGTCATTGTCCCGGTAAGATTTCCTTATGCATATAAGGTTTATTTGTTTGATTTTGTTTTTATTGATGTTTATTATGTTTTTTTTTTCATTTTAGGGTGCTGATCGCAAGGATGGAAAGAGAATAGAGGCGGCGGCCGGATCTGGTTCAACGCCGGAGTCGGGGGGAGGAGCTGTAGCAGGCTGTCTAGGCGGCAATGATGGCGAGTTGTTGCGTGGTAGTGTCGTTGTCCCTGTCCGTCCGAAGGCGTCTTCTTCCTCTTCCATTCCTCCGCTACTTCCAGATCTGGAATTGAGCTCTCTGCACGAGCTTTTCCTTTCATCCTTTGCTATGGCGAGCAAATCGAGAATACTTTTGGGTTCGGGGTTTTTTTGGGGACTTTCTTCAATTATTCCGCATCTGAATGTCATCGCATCGAGCTCTCGCCGTTTGTACTTTTCTTTGTCGTTTGTACCCCCTTGCAGATCTGAGTTTTTTTTTTTATTTAGTGGTTGTTGCTTGAACGCAATTAATTGAATGAGTGTGGTACTACTTAGCAGAATCCAAAACTTGAAATATATCTTCTTTGGCAAAGATCCAGGCCATGATCTGGGTACGTTGGAAGTTTTTTTTTTAATTTATAATGTGTCGGTTTTTCCGAAAACTAGTCTCAAAATTACTAGATTATGACAACCGCAATGACAATATATGTCGTCATAACATATATGTTTGTCACAATAGACTACCCAGAACCTCAACTATACTGAAAGCAAATGTGACAACCTTGTTTTAAAATTTTGTCACATTTGATTTATCCTGACGGCGATAAAATGACAAACCTTTGTGACAAAATTGGTATCTAATATGACAAAATCGCCTCGTCATAATAGGCCGAATTTGTTGTAGTGAATGTACAATTTGTTGTAATTCAGCAAATTATAATCGTAGATTATTATTTTTTATTGTATTGATATTTGTATTTAGATTTAGAGAATTAGGCAAGAGGCCGGGGTATCGATCAAAGATTAATGTATAATATTATACGTCAATTTTTTTAATTCATAATTCAGATAAAAGATATCTTAATTACTAATTGTTTACAGAATATGGTATACATGCATTCACGATCATCTATTGCGATTTTCCGGTCGAACAGCGTAAACGATAAAGTTTTTGGGAAACTTAATTAGAAACTTCTCTTTAGCCGATTAATTAATGAATAATTAGCTGGAATTGAAGCAATAATTAAGGATGTATAGTTGGGATGGAAAAAGAAAGTGGAAGGAAGGTGGAAGTGAAGCAAGCACTATATATACCCCTGGTATGAAACACGAAATGTTCATCCCAGAGCTGATCCAATACATCAACTTAATTAATTAACTTCCCTCTACCCTTACATCGATCTGTTGCTTTTTGCCTGGAAATTGAAGGAAGAAAAAAATGCCTATAGTTACCGAGACTGTGACATTTAGGATGTTCTCCTCCGCCAGCGACGTTTGGAGCGCCGTCACCGCGGCCCAAGCTGTTTTCCCGATGGCTATGCCAAACCTCTACGCCGACATCAAGCGCAACAGGCGCGACGGCTTCACCGAAGGCTCGATCCGCGACATCACTTTCGGTCCTGGTAATTAAGCCTTCATTAATTAATTATCTTCACAAGTTCAGTTATTATATATCTCTGGCTCGTCATCTTTTGTTTGCTTCGTTAATTAATTTGGTGTGCGTAATCGCCGGCCCCATGCAGCTTACAGCAGGGTAGTGAGATCGGCGAGGGAAGAGATCGTTGAAGTTGACCATTCCAACATGACGGTGAAGACGACGATGAATGACGACGGCGCATTCGTGCCGCAGCTCTTCGACAGCGTTGACATCACCACGGCCGTGGTGCCTTCGTCCCGCACCAACCTTAGGGCCACAGGCTGCACACTTACTTGGTCCTTCACCTACGACAGTGCTAAGGGCAACGCCGACATTAACAACCTCAAGAATGTGATGCAGACTGCGTTTCAGGATTTGGACGACTACCTCAGGAGGGGACGTGGCAATCGCCGATGAACAAGACTGCCTTTCATTGTCGACCAGGCCATCGATGGATAATGTTGTTGCCTTGCTCTTCCATATCGTTCCCCTCCTACTATAATAAGACGGTCTACTCCATTGATCCTCTTGTGTTGTAGACCGTCTTTTGTTTCGTATTGTGTTGGTTTTTTTTTTATCTTATTGTATCCATGTTGTTTAATTTCTGTATGTCTTTCATTTCGTTCGATTCCCTGTGTTTCTTTCCTGAGTTTTAATTGTCCATGCTTGAAATAAAGTTTTCCCGTGTTGTGTTGTGTCGTGTCGTGCAAGCTCCGGCCATTCCCTCCTAATTGTTCCGTATGTTGTCAAAACCGTATTCGAATTTCATTACGTTCGGATTGTGTAGACCGCGCATCTTTTGTTTCCCATTGTGTTGGTCTAGATTTGATTGATTGTTCTTGTTTCCCTATGTGTTTCGTTTGGATTCATTCCATGTATTTCTTTCTTGAGTACTATTGTCTAAGATCCTTTTAAATTTTGTCCTAGTTTAGGCATTGTCCAGCTTGGGTTGAGAAATGTCATCCTTATATGGTCTGTAAACTTTGACACTCATTCTATGGTCTCAAATATGCTCGTCGAGCTTTGGTTGAGAAGTTTCATGGTACTTTCATTATTTCATATAGGATTTCGTCAGAGTAGGAATGATTTGTCTTTATTTCTTCGATCCACTTCAAGTGGTCGGACATGGTTGTTTCAGTAAATGTATGTTAGGTTTCGGTACAAGGCAACTACCGATTATGCCAAGTTTAAGGACACGTCCAATGTAGTCAAAATCCCGATTTTTATCTTAAAATCTTATGATTTTACGATCTTACCTATGGGTTCCGATCCTGATTTTACTGTAAAATCTTTGAACCTTAAAATCCCGTAAAATCCCGATTTAAAACTCTAAAATCCATAAAATCTATGATTTCTACGATTTTGTACGATTTCAAGGTTCATATCAATTGAATCAAAATTAGGCCGGTCAAGTTGGGTTATGCCCATGAACCGAGTCAAATTTACTTTTCCCAACCCAACATAATGAACAACACAACCCCAACCTGATAGTTAACCCTCAATTTATTTCATTCTCTTCCTCGTATCTTCCTCTTTCGCACGTCGGCGCCCAACTCCTTCCATCAACGATATCTTCCACCCTCCCAATTAGCTTGTAGTTTGTTCCCACCACCCTCACAATAATCCAAATCTCCATTACATTAAAAGCTTTTGTTCATCTCCCAATCCTTCGGCACCACTAACCCGACCTTTTATCAATTAAGAAGGGAATGCATCAATCAATGAGTTATCTTTTCAAGATGATGGTAATCAAGGAAATATGGTTAATAGTGAAAGTACTTCAAGTGATCATAAGAGTAATGATATTAGTCCTTAAACAAATAAAAACGATGAGAGTGAGGGTGAGGATGATGACGATGATGTGTAAGTGATGTTAATGTTGATCCTAACGATCTTATGTGATTTTCTACTATTAACAATTAATAAACAGTGATATCTATAATGTTTCAGGTTTTTTATTTGTGTGTTTCTATTATGTACAAGAAATATATATGGATTAGTTGTGTTTATTTAGCAAACAAACTTATCTTGGGAAGTAATTATGCTTTATATGGTTGATTGTTATTCAAGATATGCATTTTTATTACTATCTAGTGTTTTAAGTATTTATTTTAATATGAACCTTAAAATCTTACGATTTTACGATTTTAATCTATGATTTCGATTCTACCTCAGTTTTCGATTTTACTTAAAATCTAGATTTTGACTGCATTGGACACGTCAACCATGTCCGAGGAAGAAGGGGAGCAATTCTTTTTGGAAGTTACTTTCAGACGGTTTTTCTACGGCGGTTACCACTTGAAAGCTATAAATAAGAGGAGGAATTGACAGAGAAGGGGTTCGCCAAATTCACACCAGACAACCCAATGTCAAATTTTATCCTTTTACCATTTTCTTTGCAATTTTAGCGGTAGTCGTAGATCTGGAGCTCTCACTGAACCTCCATAGGATTAGGAGTAATTTAATCTAGATTTGTCACTTGAGTCGTGTAAACATCGAACACCCTCGTTCGAACTTTGTTTAAGGAGGTGTCAAACGTGTAAAGTTAATCGTTGTTCAAGAATTCAAGTTGCAATCAATTTGATTTCAACGCAAATTTTCTCGCCGAAAAACACAACCTAATTGTTTTGTATGTTGTCAAAGCCAGATCGAGATTGGCTATCCTGTTGTGTATGAATATCCATACAATTACCTTGTCCTCTGGTGTACAAAGAGACTTCCAAACCAATTTATTCCAATTTACCTTCCTACTCTTATGTCGAATGACCTCCCAAACTATTGTCACATAAAACTTCTCCATGATTTTACCATTCCAGTATACACCATCAGATCTAACCTGAAAATGAGTTGCAGCCAGACTTTTGGTTTTTAACACCTTTCTCCAAGCTCAAGAGCAGTTGATTGTTGAGGAGATATCTCATATCGAGGTAAATGTCAGTTGGTAGTTACAGACCCAATTAATTAGCCACAGAGAAGAGGAGTTCGAGATAACCAATTAACCAGAGCTATTACACAAGAATTCATTAACAGCGAGCAATCAGAGCTATTACCAACATAAAAAAAAATCATTAATGAGGCCCTAGAGATATGGTAGTAACGACGACATTATGGATTACTATACTGATTATTGCAACAAACTTTTCAGATGGAAGAAATAATAATGTTATCTTTGTTTTTTTTTTTACCGAATGAATGATATTGAATTTTAGGTATTTTAGCACAATTAAGCATATCACCCACGATAGGGGTTATCATCCCTTTTTTAGTCATTACCAACTCTCTTTATTCAATTTTTCCTGTCTTTGACAACTTTCTGTACCTACCCAAATAATGGAATGTTGCAATATATCTAAAAAGGTAAACAAGGCATTTGGAGTCTTTTCATTGACTGACTTTAAAGTCATTTTAAATTCGGAGGTCGCTAACATTATTATTTATTTTAGAGAAGCTAACCCACGTTTGGATCAACTTGCTAAGATAGTTGGGAACTTATAGAATTTATTTTTTTCTTTCGTGAACAGTGGACTTTCATACATACAAATTCATATTAACTGATTAATATACATATAACTAAGGCAAAATACAGCTGTATATCCACAACTATCAGGTTTGTGACAAATATATCCACAACTATCGAAATACACGAAATATCCAAAAATCGGAAGGTTGTGTGACAAATCTATCCACTTCCATCTGAAACTATAACGGCGTGTCAGACGACGTTAAATTGACTAACAGAATGCTGAATCGATGCCACCTCACCTGACACATAAGCCAAAAAGCAACCAAACTTTACACGTAGATACCAAATAGGCTAGTTGAATAAAGGCAAAATACAGTTGTATATCCACAACTATCAGGTTTGTGACAAATATATCCACCACTATAAAGTTTGTGACAAATATATCCACAACTATCGAAATAGATGAAATATCCTTTTTCGTCCACTCCGTTAATTAATTTTGTGTGCGTAATCGCCTGCCGCAGCTTACAGCAGTGTAGTGGGATCGGCGAGGGAAGAGATCGTTGAAGTTGACCATTAAAATATGACGGTGAAGACGACGATGAATGACGACGGCGCATTCGTGCCGCGGCTCTTCGACGGCGTTGACAGCACCACGGCCGTGGTGCCTTCGTCCCGCACCATCCTTAGGGCCACAGGCTGCTCACTTACTTGGTCCTTCACCTACGACAGCGCTAAGGGCAACGCCGACATTAACAACCTCAAGAATGTGATGCAGACTGCGTTTCAGGATTTGGACGACTACCTCAGGAGGGGACGTGGCAATCGCCGATGAACAAGACTGCCTTTCATTGTCGACCAGGCCATCGATGGATAATGTTGTTGCCTTGCTCTCTCATCGTTCCCCTCCTACTATAATAAGACGGTCTACTCCATTGATCCTCTTGTGTTGTAGACCGTCTTTTGTTTCGTATTGTGTTGGGTTTTTTTTATCTTATTGTATCCATGTTGTTTAATTTCTCTATGTCTTTCATTTCGTTCGATTCCCTGTGTTTCTTTCCTGAGTTTTAATTGTCTATGCTTGAAATAAAGTTTTCCCGTGTTGTGTTGTGTCGTGTCGTGCAAGCTCCGGCCAATCCCTCCTAATTGTTCCGTATGTTTTCAAAACCGTATTAGTCGAAGCACGAGAGCAATATGAGTTAGCTGGCCAATTGAACTTTTGAGCAGAGTGTAAAAGGGGTAAATTCTACGCCTTACGGTATTTAAGTTTTTGAGATTGACCGCTATGTATAATACTTGCCTTTGTATGTGTATATGATGCATTGTGATTTCATATTATGCTTTCAGTTCTGTATTATTGCATGCTTTACTTACAAGTAACTTCAAGTTTAAGAAACAAGTGTTCTTTAAAGAAGTACTTCACCTTCAGTGAAGGTGAAGTAAGTTTAAGAGCTTTTAGTCCCTGACGCCAGTTCATTTCCGTTTGAGACTTTTAAGACAAGCAGCAATTATGCTCGTGATATTTTTAAAATGAGCAACAGTAATCCTCTTGAGAATCGTGGTGAAGAGCCACCACAATAAGTTTAAGTTTAAGGAAAGCCTGGATGGGTTCTCATACCTATGAGTTGGGAAACCAGACTAGCTAATCCACGTGTCAGTCAAGAATTTAAGTTGAAATTTGAGTTTTAAGAACACAGTTTTAAGAGCTAAGTTTTTTAATAGTGGAAGTAAAAAACAACTTCCAACGAGTTAAGTAAAGTGATTAAGTATTAATAAAATTTTAAATGTAAGGGTATAAACTTACCCCAACTCACTCACCAGTTTGAAGAGGAGGAGAAACTAGAGGAACCATTAGAGAGCAGCGAGATCGAGAGTAACGGTTCGAGCGAAGCCAGCTAAAGGGGGATGGTACGATGCGTCACGTAGGATGCCTCGTCAAGGTTTTCATTAAGCAACGACAACGTTAGAGAACTTTTAGTTATTTCAATTTATGATTATGAGTATAGACTAGAGACTCTTATTAACTTTTTATGGTTGAGTATGGCCCAAGTGTTAGGGCTTTGTTTTAAGAAATTACAGTTTATTCTCAGTATTTGTTAAAGTTATTTATGAAATATTTTTTGCTATTTTTTCCAAGTATTTTCAGTTCTGATTTGTTTCACAGTTTGAAAAGGGTATTTTAGTAAAATTTAGTACCTGGTCGGGTTAGGGTGTGACATACTCTCTCCTCAATCGGCAAATTCAGAACTTGTTCCCAGACAAACTGGACATCCATCCCATCAGTGGAAAATAATGAGGAATAGAAGTCACTGGCAATGGTGGCCTTTCCATCCTCCTCCATCACCCATAAACCATCCGGAGCATATAATCCAGAGATAAAGTTTCTCTTTCGGCGTGTCCGAGTCACCAGATGGAGGTAGGACGAGTTTTTATCACCACCCTGTCACCAATCCACCCTGGATTTCTGTTTCCAATATATTCTCCAGAGTGCGAATATGTCTGGCTGAGTTTGAGGTCCCGCCTTTTGCCTAGTCATATAGCGAATGATGCAACTTTTTCAACTTACACCACAACCCACTACAAGAAACTGCACTTTTTGCGACGAATTCTACAGCGATGCAAGAAAATTCGTCGCAGAAAACGTACAATTTGCAATAAATTTCACTACTTGTTGCAAATGGTGTGAAATCTTTTTGTGACGGTAGTCTATCGTCGCAGAATGTATGTATAGTTTCTGCGACGTAGGGCTACCGTCGCAGAATGTTCGGGAGTTTTCTGCGATGGTTATCTATCATCGTAGAATGTTTGTATACTTTCTGCGACGATTGCCTGTCGCCGCATAATGTATGTAGATTTTCTGCGGCGATAACCATCGTCGCAGAATGTTCGAGAGCTTTTTGCGATGATAGTTAACCAAAGGATTTGAAGTGCTTTGATGAATTTTATGATTTGGGTAAATACTATTTTTTAGCCAAACATTTTCCCCATTCCAAATTAATAGCCAAGCCTTTCGAAATCTTAATAATTAGCCAATCATTAAGTCTCTGTTAATAATTTTGTTAAATGACGATGAGCTGGCGAATATTGTGCTGACTTGAATCTTAGTTGGCCAACTAAAGTGTAGGAAAGATGGCAGTGATTGACTGGTGGTGATGATTATCCGCATCTACACAAGTTTGGTTATTATTATTTCTTTTATTTTTTTTATTTAAATGATAAGTAAAAATATACTAATGTGGATGCTGAGGTGGATTGTTGGTTAACGGTGTTATTAACGGTTACATATGAGTGGCTAAAATTTTAGACAGGTATAAAAGGTTTAGCTATTATTTTGTATTACCAAAGTTTGGCTATTATTTTGAAATTATTTGATTTTCCTATTAAGATTGATTAAGGATTAAATACAGCTGAACAATAATAGATGATAAATGCTTTGTTTTTAGCCGGATTGGTTCAACTATTAGTGATAAGTTTGTTATGGGCAACAGGTCGGCAGTTCAAATCCATAAGGAGCATTTTTTGTAAAGGGTTTGGAAGGATATTTTAGTCAATAAAGAGAGGGTTAGTATATAAAGGAAGAGGGAGAGTGCTAGAAAACCCTAGCCGCCCAAACTCATTCTATTCCTTCTATCTTTTTCCTCTCTCTCGTATTCTCTATTTCTCTCCCAAATCGACAGCCCGACTATGTTCCTCTCAGCGGCAGTAGAAGAAAGATACGGTGGGAGAAATAATGAAAGGGGTCGCCGGTGCTTATGTTACCCAAAATAATGAGGTGGTGGAATTGACTTCAAAATAGTACACAAGGAACTTGAGTCTTTTCCTTTTTTATTTTCCATAAATTTACTTAAAAATACATTTTAAATTTGGAGGTCTCCAACATTATTTTAGTGAAGCTACCCACGTTGGGGTCAACTTGCTAAAACAGTTGAGAACTAATAGAAGTTATTTTTATCTTTTGTGGACAGTGGATTTTTATATATACAAATACATATATGGTGATTATTGAAGTATTCTTTGAATAAAACATAGTCCAAATGATTTGATGATTGAATGTACAATTTGTTGTAATTCAGCAAATTATAATCGTTGATTATTATTTTTTATTGTATTGATATTTTTATTTAGATTTAGAGAATTAGGCAAGAGGCCGAGGTATCGACCAAAGATTAATGTATAATATTATACGTCAATTTTTTTTAATTCATGCATACAGATAAAAGATATCTTAATTACTAATCGTTTACAGAATATGGTATACATGCATTCACGATCATCTATTGCGGTTTTCTTGTCGAACAACGGATAAGATAAAGTTTTTGGGAAACTTAGTTAGAAACTTCTCTTTAGCCGATTAATTAATTAATAATTAGCTGGAATTGAAGCAATAATTAAGGATGTATAGTTGGGATGGAAAAAGAAAGTGGAAGGAAGGTGGAAGTGAAGCAAGCACTATATATACCCCTGGTATGAAACACGAAATGTTCATCCCAGAGCTGATCCAATACATCAACTTAATTAATTAACTTCCCTCTACCCTTACATCGATCTGTTGCTTTTTGCCTGGAAATTGAAGGAAGAAAAAAATGCCTATAGTTACCGAGACTGTGACATTTAGGATGTTCTCCTCCGCCAGCGACGTTTGGAGCGCCGTCACCGCGGCCCAAGCTGTTTTCCCGATGGCTATGCCAAACCTCTACGCCGACATCAAGCGCAACAGGCGCGACGGCTTCACCGAAGGCTCGATCCGCGACATCACTTTCGGTCCTGGTAATTAAGCCTTCATTAATTAATTATCTTCACAAGTTCAGTTATTATATATCTCTGGCTCGTCATCTTTTGTTTGCTTCGTTAATTAATTTGGTGTGCGTAATCGCCGGCACCATGCAGCTTACAGCAGGGTAGTGGGATCGGCGAGGGAAGAGATCGTTGAAGTTGACCATTCCAACATGACGGTGAAGACGACGATGGATGATGACGGCGCATTCGTGCCGCGGCTCTTCGACAGCGTTGACATCACCACGGCCGTGGTGCCTTCGTCCCGCACCAACCTTAGGGCCATAGGCTGCACACTTACTTGGTCCTTCACCTACGACAGCGCTAAGGGCAACGCCGACATTAACAACCTCAAGAATGTGATGCAGACTGCATTTCAGGATTTGGACGACTACCTCAGGAGGGGACGTGGCAATCGCCGATGAACAAGACTGCCTTTCATTGTCGACCAGGCCATCGATGGATAATGTTGTTGCCTTGCTCTCCCATCGTTCCCCTCCTACTATAATAAGACGGTCTACTCCATTGATCCTCTTGTGTTGTAGACCGTCTTTTGTTTCGTATTGTGTTGGGTTTTTTTTATCTTATTGTATCCATGTTGTTTAATTTCTCTATATATGTCTTTCAGTTCGTTCGATTCCCTGTGTTTCTTTCCTGAGTTTTAATTGTCTGTGCTTGAAATAAAGTTTTCCCGTGTTGTGTCGTGTCGTGCAAGCTCCTGCCAATCCCTCCTAATTGTTCCGTATGTTGTCAAAACCGGATCGAATTTCATTACGTTCGGATTGTGTAGACCGCGGGTCTTTTGTTTCCCATTGTGTTGCTCTAGATTTGATTGATTGATTGTTGTTTCCCTATGTGTTTCATTTTGGTTCATTCCATGTATTTCTTTCTTGAGTACTATTGTCTATGCCTGAAATAAAGTTTTACGTGTTGTGTGGTGTAAGTTCTAAGATCGTTTGAAGTTTCGTCCTAGTTTGGCATTGTCAAACTTGGGTTGAGAAATGTCGTCCTTATATGGTCTGTAAATTTCGACGTTGATTCTACGGTCCCAAATAAGCTCGTCGAGCTTTGTTGATAAATTTCATGCTACTGTCATTAATTCATATCGCATTTCGTCATAATAGGAATGATTGGTCTTTATTTCTTTGATCCACTTCAAGTGGTCATACATGGTTGTTTCAGTAAATGTATATTAGCCGAGGCTGTGATTTTCGTGAGTGCAATCTGGCTTGGGACTTGTCCAGATCCTTGTTTGGCCTCTAAATGTTGAATGTTGTGGATTTTCAGCTTCTGGCTTTCTCTCTAAAATGATGAGTACCTTGGATGATGCGATTTTGGTTATAACGACTTTCTTATCATTGAATTTCTTACTCGAATGTCCTCATTGTTGTATCTTGAGGTTGATCGACCAAGATCTTGGCTTGGTACAGATAGTTGGTACTTCAAATGCTAAACCGGGGGCATCCAGATTGTAAGTCCCACATCATTTTGTTTGTTTTTCTTTTGTCTTTTCTTTTTTGTTTATTTTTTTTTTTTTTTTTTTTTTTTTTTGCTTTTTGCTTTTTTTTTTTTTTTGCGTGGGACTTACTTGACTTTGTCATGCAAGGGACTTACTTGACTTTGCCTAGAGCTAACATCTCAAGTTCTTGTAATTGGTAATCTTTAATTTGACAAATTTGAGATTAAGAGACGACTAATACTAGTGTGAAATAGTGATGTAATGATCTTTGTATAATTAAATGACACTTTTGGTGGTTGAGGGTCACATAGTAGTGAATGAGAGAGTCTAGTTGAGAGGATAAAATACACACCAGCTTATATTTCGGTATTGATCGGTATTTCGGTATATACCGATCCCAATCCCGTAATCCCTAATACCGAATAACAATTGAAATTCAATCCCAATCCCAAGAAATAATGCGTGTATTCGGTAATACCAAATATAGACAATTTCGGTACGGTATTCGGTATATCCCAAATACCGGTACCAAACTTTCAGTCCTACCCTTGACCGTTGAATATGCAAGTAACATGTATTATTGTCATTCTTGGTGGCTTTGCAGGAGTAGGCATAAAAGACTTATCTTTTTCTTTATCACTTTATCTCCATTACATGTAGCATGCTAGAACTTTGTCAGAAGTAGTGTATAGAGACACCCATTTTATCACTTTAAAATTAAGATAAAAGTAAGAAATAATAAAAGTGCACTTTTCATCAATAAATTGTACTCATATATTCATTATTGTAGTTTCATTCTTCTCACCATTCTCAAAAGATAACTCATTCAGAGATGGATTCTTCTTCATCCTCATCTTCTTCTAGTTCAGAGAATCCATTTTAGGAAATCATTGTCCAGTGGGCAACAGATGATTCAAACTTATGCAACAATATGTTCAAATCAAACGGCAACAAATAGAAGATGAAGCCTCGTCTTCAAGACGTCCAAGGAGATACATTGAGAGGGGTCGTGAAGATGCACATCAGCGCCTATACCAAGACTACTTCTCTGAGACTCCCACATACACTGATGATATGTTTCGACGTAGATTTCGAATGCAGAAACATTTAATTCTTCGCATAGTCGAAGGTGTGATGAAGTATGATCCTTACTTCTAGAACAGTATTGATGTTGTTGGCAGAGCAAGTCTATCTCACCTAGTGAAGTGTGCTGCAGCAATGCGCATGTTAGCACATGGTGTTGTGGCAGACAACGTTTCTCTTAACCTAGCTATGTTAGGTTCTTTAACCATTGTTGTAGCTCACCATATGTATTACATGCCCCCTTATCCATATCTAGCTATTGACTATGGTACACAACTGTCATTGTTCACGCATCACATGTGGATTGGTGTTGATGAGTATTTACGGATCGGGGAGACCACTACAACAAAATGTGTCAAAATATTTGTAAAATTTGTCATTGCTAATTTTGGAGATGAATACTTGAGGAGGCCAAATGCTGAAGATATCGAAAAATTGCTTCATGTAGGTCAGCAGCGAGGTTTTCCTGGTATGATAGGCAGTATTGACTGTATGCACTGGGAATGGAAAAATTGTCCTGTAGCATGGCAATGTCAATATGCTCGAGGAGATCATAAAACTCCTACTATTATGCTGGAAGTTGTAGCTTCACAAGATCTATGGATATGTCATGCTTTTTTTGGTCTTCCAGGTACATTGAATGATATCAACGTATTAGATCGCTCCTTAGTTTTTCATGAAGTATTAGAAGGGAGAGCACTAGAAGTGAACTATTATGTCAATAATAAAAAGTCACAACTTGGGCTACTACCTCACTAATGGAATCTATCCAAACTGGGCAACCTTTGTTAAGTCAATCACGCTGCCACAAGGACCGAAACATAAACTATTTGCTAAGAAGCAAGAGTCTGCCAGAAAAGATGTCGAGAGAGCATTTGGGGTCCTGCAATCACGATTCGCCATCGTTATTAACCCGACACAGGTATGGTGCAAGAAGACAATCGGGGAAATAATGAAAGCATGTGTAATCATGAATAACATGATTGTAGAAGATGAGCGAGATTTATATATCCGACATTTTGATTATACAAATGATGGGGTGAATTTCAATGTATCCATGCCTACAGTTTCTCAAACTCGGCTGCCAGAGTATGAAGAGTATCTCTGAAATAATTTGAGAATTCGTGATAGGTTCAAAATTCATCAACTTCAAGCAGATTTAGTTGAAGAGATTTGAATCGTTTTGGAGGAGAGGAAGATGACGAGTAATTTAGTATTTTTTATTTCATTTTTAATTTTTGTATTTTGTTTTTTATTTTTGTATTTCTTTATTTCTTTTTGGTGTATGCTATATATTGTTTTTATTGAATTTTCAAAATTCTATTATCTATTATGCAAAAGTATTGTTAAAGAAAATAATATGTAGTAGGTCTCAGTAATTGCAATTGCTAATCTATTGCAGGGATGGAGGTGGTTTGAAATGGTTGAAGTGAATAATTGCTAAAGTTGCTAATGTAGCTGTGGGGTCCATTTATGAAATTGCTATTCTATTGCAGGGATGGAGTTGGTCTCACAATCTCTGCAGCCAAAGTAATAAATCAACAACTGGTCTCCATCAGCAACCCACTGTCCTCTCCCAATCTCTGCCGCATAGTCTCTCACCTGCCGTCGAATCACCCAGAAAGCAAATGATGCTGGAAAGTCTACCTGTGACCAACGCAAATAGAACTGAGCTCCAATGCATGGCAATTCTTTTTCTCTCAGCCCTCCAATCGCCTCAAACAACCCATCACTGTTCCAAGAATGGCTCACAGTTCTTTCAAGAGTCTCTATGGATAACACAGAGAGACAAACCAGCCCCATAAAGCTTCTCTGGCACCGCACAGTAAAGCGTCAGATAAACAGGAAAATAAGGTCTAGATGAGCAGTAAAACGTATCTAGGTCCACAGTAAATTGTATCTGCGTCTACAGTGTTTGGTGTTTTAAGCTATTATAATTTCAATTGTAAAACCGTAACATTGTACTTGAAAAGTAATAAAATATTTTGTGCTTAAATAATTTTGATTTAATGCTACTTTTTTCGTTAGAGGTGGATCCAGAAATTCTGTATAGGTATCCTCTTACAAAAATTAAACAAAAAATTAATAATTAATAAACATAAATTATCCGACTACTACAAATTATAAAAAAGCAGTGGCGTGTTTTTATAATCGGTATTAAAAAAGCCATGACGTGTTCTTATAATCGGAAAAAATATAAAATAAACTCGGTGTCCATACTGCTTAACAAATCTGTATATTGTACTAGACAATAATTTGTGAATTGATTGCATATCTGATTTCTAACCTTGTTAATGATCTAACTCAAAACTGAAAAGACTCTTCAAACCCTAGCCGTGCAACAAAAAAAAAATACAATTTAAGGATAGCTCGTAATCAGTTTAATTATTAGGATTTTGAAAATAGCTCGTAATCAATTTAATTATCAAAGTAATTCAGCAACCGTTGTAGAGATGGGAACCACCACCGCTGGGTTTCTTCAAGCTTAATACTGATGTTGCATTCTGCTTGAGGGAGGAACGGGGTACGGCCTCGTCATAAGGGATGAGCGCGGGGATTTCCACATGGTGGCCGCCCACCGAACCCGAACGACATAGTCACCAGAGATGGCGGAAGCTCAGGCGATGATGTGGGGTTTGAAGCTGGCGATGGCGAATCATTTCCACCCGATGCTGATTGAGAGTGACTGTCAATCTCTAATTCATAAGCTGGAGAGACCGGACACTATGAATTTGGAAATTCAGGGCAACTGTGAAGAAATTTTTGACTGGGCAAGACGAAGAGGAGAAATTGAATGGCAGTTTTGGGGAAGGAAGGGGAATGAAGGTGCCCATGTTATGGCGAGAACGAAGTGTCGATGGGAGGAGACAGAAGCATGGCTTTCTCGACCTCCTATCTCTTTAGTACCTCAACTTTTTGAAGATGACTAGTAACTCCAGAAGTTTGATTTTTAATAATATACAGGCCAGTTGTCAAAAAAAAAAAAGCTAGTTGGGGATAAGTAATAAACATTTTACTACTACATCGTGTTTAAAATATAAAATCAAATGAGTTGAAACCTAATTGGGATTATGTGTAATAATAGTAGTCAGGGTGGAAATGCGGTACGGGTCACAGAGCTGACAAGGAGGCTAGAAAATAAAGCATAAATAAAATCATTCATTGAGTTTGGATTATCTTGGTTTGCATTAAGTATTTTTCTTGATTTTGTGTGGTTAAAATTAAGATCCAGTGTAAAAGGCAAATCAAAGTGGTTCATCTGATTTTATGACAAATCGTCAAAGACATTGGATCCCTCCCTAACCGTTCATTCAAATGAACCGAATCGTCAATTTACTAGTTTAGTTGTTCTACTGGCCCAATTTTTGATCTGGTTCGATTCGATTTTCAGCAACTCTCTTTATTGAATTTGCCCTTTTTTAACAACTTTATATGCTGACCCAAAATAATGAAATGGTGGAATTGACTTCAAAAGAGTACACAAGGAACTTGAGTCTGTCCATTTTTTAGATATGCCAAGAAGGCGGTAACCAAACAGACACAATTACAAGACCGATTTTAACCACACGCGGTAGTCCGTAAGAAACCGAATTGCCGATTTTATTCAATAATTTACCATTAGATGGTGTGATATTTCGTTATGTTGGGACAGGGTTACATGGTGATGCCAGTATGATCTGATACTTGGTGAATACATATTTATACAATGAGTTATCAAGAGACTGTTTGATGGTCCATATGTTGTGAATATATGAATTCCTTGAGTTTGAGATGATGCATGTTTCTGGCATGTGGTGATGAATGGATGTTTATTTGACTGAATGATATATAGCATATCGGGTGTATCTTATGAGTGGGGTTATCCTGCGAGTATAACTGGTTACCAAAATAGTAATAGTAATGGGCGGTTCTATCGTACCTTGGGTAAAATCAAAAGTATGACATACCTTGAGTAGTAAGAAATGATATCTAGACCTTGAATTGACCGGAGTTAGGCATCAGGTACTATTCCCAAAACGCTAAAGATTAAAATCTAGGTCTTGATTCTATAAAAATCTCATACACTAAGATCAATTTAATTACAAACAAAATTCGTCGGTCATGATTCGTCAAAATATATGCAAAAATTACGTGCACAATCTTAGGGGTTAGGCTCTATAATTTAGGTATCTAAGACCTAGGGTTCACTCATCAAGGATTAGAGTATAGTATCAAGCCGAAAAATCTGATTAGTTCGAGATATAATAGTATTTTCTTACTCAGGGTAAGTCCTAGATTATAACCAAGGTACGGCTCTGGATACTATAACAACACCCATAGTGTTGTTATAGTAACAACAGAATTCATTAAGGGAAAAATTGTAAACTGACAATAAATAACAAATTAAATTTATATTAATTATCTGAAACCCTTCTTCTCCTTCGTTCCCTTCTCCTTCGTTCCTTCCCACTCGCATCTGCTTTCTTCCATCCCTCACCATTGTGAGTTCATCACCGCCGGTGCCGATCCGAACGCTCCTCCTCCGCCATCCCTCAATCTCCTCCAGTCTCTATCCAAGTGGTTTCTCCTCCTTCCGGCGTCGACGACGACGCCAATCCATCGATTTCAAAGGCGCTATCATCATCAGATCTGCTGAGGGTTCGGAATCGACGATGATTGTGCCGGCGAGGGGAATAGAGACTCGATCGACGAAAATGGCTAGAACAGAGTCTTCTCAGGCGAGGGCGACGTCCAGATCCATTATTCGGCCATTATGCTCAGTTTGGCGGTGAATCAGTCGCCTTTCCACTGTCCGTAGCCGGGATTGTTCCTCTGGTTTGCTTGGTTTTGCAGGTAGATCTCGGAGCTGGTTCTTGGTACAGTTCCCCCCGGCAGACCTGATGCTTTCTGCCTTGTCGGCACATCATCCTTCAGTTGGAGCGGCTGGTGATTCACCCATCGTTTCCCCGGCGAAGGTCTTGGTGTGGACGGAGCAGTTATGGCGGCGCTGCCCTGGCGGTGGGGAATGCTGATGGTTGCCACTTTTTGGGTATTTGGGCCGCTGGATTAGGGTTACTAAGGGGGTGGGCTTGTCCATTTGTTTGGATTGGGTTTGGGCTCTTCGGGTTTGGGCCTTTTCTATCCACTTTAGTACTCTTTTCTGTTGGTTTTTTCCTTCCTCTCAGTGTTTTTTTAACTCTGTACACTGTGTTTCGTATTAATGAAATAACCAACCAACGTTCAAAAAAAAACCATAAAATTTTCGAAAGCACACCATAAACTTCTTAATGCAAACCACAAAAAACATACCAAAAACCTTCTAATGCAAACCACAAATTCTCTAAAACATACCAAAAACCGCACAAAGCAAACCACAAATATTTTGAAAAAACACCAGAAACCTCATAATACAAACCATGAACACTGCAAAGCAAACCACAAAAAACAAACTATAAACGTCCTAATGCAGACCACAAATATATTAAAACAAATTAGAAACCTCACAATGCAAACCACAACATTTTCGAAAGCACGTCAGAAACTTATTAATGCAAATCAGAAACCTCCTAATGCATGCCACAAATCTCTTAAAACAAACCACAAACCTCACAAAGCAAACCACAACATTTGCGAAAGCACACCAGAAACCTCCTAATGCAAACCACAAACACAGTAAATCAAACCACAAAAAAGCAAACCATAAACGTCCTAATGCAGACCACAAATATATTAAAACAAACCAGAAACCTCACAATGCAAACCACAAAGTTTTTGAAAGCAAACCAGAAACTTCTCAATGCAAACCACAAACACGATAAAGCAAACCATAAAAGGCATAAAAAATATGAGAAACCAAACCATAAATCTCACAATGCTAACCATAACATCCGGTGATCGTTGACTGTTGACCGGTCAACGAAGATCGTTGACCGAACTTCGGTGACCGTCAGTGAGCAGATTCCGACGCCGATAGGCATATTCCGGCCCCGATGAATAGATTCCGACGTCGGTAAGCATATTCCGACGCCGGTAAGCATATTCCGGCCACAAATAGCATATTCCGGTGACCGGCTACCATTTTTCGGCGACCGCTGGCAGAATTCCGGCGACCAAATTTTTGGGCAGAAAATAAAAAATATTTTTTTATTTTATTTTTTTATTTAAATAGATTTTTCATAATGACAATTATACCCCTGCTTTGATTTTACACTAGGTCAACTCATCTAATAAAAAGTCATCACAATCCTAGCTTCCTATTGGTTGGAGACTAGTGTTGTTATAGTAACCGGTCCCCCAAGGTACGATGGAAGCCACCAATAGTAATATATGTATTAGGGTGTCACATTAAGTAAGGATTAAAATAGTTATTTACATCTCAACCATTATATATATCCAATAGCTTAAGATTCGTTTAAAATCTTGCTTAATTTAGGTGCTATGCACCTGAACATGTCTCAAAGTTGCACATCTACACTCATGCAGGAAAAAGAAAGGAGCTTATGTCAACCAATAAAAAGAGAAAAGAAATGAATTATAAGTACATTAGGAAAAAAGTAAAGACAATGTGTTTTATAATTGAGCAAGGAAGAAAATCTAATCACGTATAAAAATAAAATAGAAAGAAATTGTAATAGTATAAAAGAAAAGATAATGATATCATTTTAATATGCATGAAATATACCGATTGGGCAAGGACATATTTAAGCCATATAACCATAATTCGGTAGATACAAAAAAAAAATTTGATGACCATTGGTGTCTCGTGATATTCTTAAACACATGAAATTGTTGTGAATCAGTGTAGCATATGAATAAATTATGTTGATATATTTCATTAATCATAAAGTATAGGAACATCTTACATGAATAGGTTATTATGACTATGGTTTTGACTTAACAAACCACCATTTTTACGACTAATCTAATAAGCACAATTTTTTTATTTTATTTTTTGTTCATCATGATAAGAGTGTATTAGTTCAAATATTTATAGTAGTTATTTTCTAACAAATTGCAACATAACTGTATTGGTTCACATGTGTATAGTAGTTCGTATAAACAAAATATTAAATTCTTTGTGTTCTAGAATACGAAAGAAGATTATTCTTTGCTTTTTCATTTTTCAATTTAAAAAAAATCACATGTCAAATTATGTAAGAGTTTATAAATGTGTACCAACTAAATCATGCTTTTTGAATTTTGTATTATTTAAAAAAAAAAGATTATCAAACATATTATAAACTAAAAATTAAAATTGGTCATTTGTAGTTGTTAATGGTTTCTATCATTGCTGAAAATAGAATACAAAATTTTAACCGTGATAGTATTTGTTGTGTAATATACAGAAGTCAACCATTAAATAAAAATAGAATGGTATGTGTTGTAGATATTTTTATAATATGAGTATTAATCTTGTGATTACTTGCATCAAAGAGATTTTATTATATTTGTTAAACAATTCAAATGATTACAATCTTAGGTTGCATGATGAAATATTAGTTCTGGTTAGAGGTGGCAAATGGATTGGTGGATTGTGATTGATAGATCCATAAATCAAGTGGATTGGACTAAATGGATTGGCGGATTCATGGATTGGAGCATATGGTATTATGGATTAGGATTAGTGAATTGATCCATGGGTCCAAATAACATCCAACCCATGGACCAAAATGTAAATTTTGAAAAGTTTAGGTACTAAAATGTCATAATTAAAAAATTTAGATACCAAAATATAATTTTCTAATGACATTTTTTGCATAAAAATAAATTTTAGGTACCAAAATGTAAAATATAAAAAGATTAGGTACTAAAACGTAATTTGTCATTTGGATCCATGGATCAATCCATGAATCCACCCATCCAATTGGATTAGGATGAAATGAATTGGATTTAAATGGATTGGATTAGTTTGATATTTAAGTGGATGGATTGGATTGGTGGATTGGATTGAGAATTGCTATCTCTAATTCAGGTGATTGATATACATGTTTGTCGTAATTAATAGCATCAAATATACTTTATCCTAGTGGTTGAACACTTGAAATGATAATAGTTTGAACTCATTAGTCATAGGTTCAAATCTAGGCTACGATGATTGGTATACATGTTTATTTAATTTAATTTTAATGTAATTAATAACTTAAAATGTTAAAATCATAAATGACATGGAAAATTGTGGAGCTTTATTTGTCCTACGTGGCAAAAATTTTCTCCACAACTGCCATAATATAAGTTAAGATAACTGTATGGATTTTTATATATAGTTTTAATACAATCTTACTAGCATGTTTGCTTCCAAAATCCATAGTAAAGATATTTTTGCGTCAATATCATCGTTAGTGACAAATATTAGTGAATTAAGAAATATTTTTAATGGCTAATATAATAGTACTCAAAATCTAATATTATTGCAAACAAAAATATATGTCACTAAAAGAAGTATTACCGGCAAACATTTATGTCTCTGTAGTGGAAAAACAAGGCAATAAATTAATCCAACAAAGGTAATTAGCAACTAAAATATTTGTCACGAAATCTTAAGTAGTAGCATATAATATTTGATATTAACATCTTCCGGTAAAGAGATTTAAGGGCACAGTATTAACAACGTGAGTCTACTAGATCAGGCTCGTCGCGAGTTGGGTAGCCCAAGGTGGTCGCGAGATCTTGACCACGTTGGCGTCGAGTTCAATAGACTAAGGTGGTCGCGAGATCTAGACCACGTTGGCGTCGAGTCCAATAGACCAAGGTGGTCGCGAGATCTAGACCACGTTGGCGTCAAGTCTAATAGACCATGGTGGTCACGAGATCTAGACCACGTTGGCGTCAAGTCTAATAGACCTAGGTGGTCGCGAGATATAGACCACATCGCGAGATCTAGACCCCATGTCAGTCGTGAGATGTTGAAGGCCCTAGCCTTGAGATCTGGAATGGCCATGGTAAAAGGGGTGGCAAGTAACAAGACATCAGTTACAAGAGAGAAAGCAGGCGGTTAACAGGGCAACTACCGATTATCCCAAGTTCAAGGACACGTCAACCACGTCCGAGGAAGAAATGGAGCTGTTCTTTTTGGAAGTTACTTTCAGACGGTTTTTTACGACGGTTACCACTTCAAAGTTATAAATAGGAGGAGGAATTGACAGAGGAGGAGTTCGCCAAATTCACACCAGACAACCCAATGTCAAATTTTATCCTTTTATCATTTTCTTTGCAATTTTAGCGGTAGTCGTAGATCTGGAGCTCTCACTGACCTCCATAGGATTAGGAGTAATTTAATGTAGAACTGTCACTTGAGTCGTGTCACGTGTGAACATCGAACACCCTCGTTCGATCTTTGTTTAAAGAGGTGTGAACCGTGTAAAGTTAATCGTTGTTCAAAAATTCAAGGTACAATCAATTTGATTTCAACGCAAATTTTCTCGCCGAAAAACACCTCCTAATTGTTTTGTATGTTGTCAAAGCCGGATCTATCCTCTTGTGTATTAATAGCCATACAATTACCTTGTCCCTTGGTGTACAAAGAGACTTCCAAACCAATTTACTCCAATTCACCTTCCTACTCTTATGTCGAATGACCTCCCAAGCTATTGTCACATAAAAATTCTCCATGATTTTACCATTCCAGTATACACCATCAGATCTAACCTGAAAATGAGTTGCAGCCAGACTTCTGGTTTTTAACACCTTTCTCCAAGCCCAAGAGCAGTTGATTGTTGAGGAGATATCTCATACCGAGGTAAATGTCAGTTCGTAGTTACGAACCCAATTAATTAGCCACAGAGAAGAGGAGTTCGAGATAACCAGAGCTATTACACAAGAATTCTTTAAGAGCGAGCAATCAGAGCTATTACACAAGAATTCATTAATGAGGCCCTAGAGATATGGTAGTAACGACGACATTATGGATTGTGATACTGATTATTGCAACAAACTTTTCAGATGGAAGAAATAATAATGTTATCTCTCTTTTTTTTTTTTTACCGAATGAATGATATTGAATTTTAGGTATTTTAGCACAATTAAGCATATCACCCACGATAGGGGTTATCATCCTTTTTTAGTCATTACCAACTCTCTTTATTCATATTTTCCTGTCTTTAACAACTTTCTGTACTTACCCAAATAATGGAATGTTGCGAAATATCTAAAATAGTAAACAAGGCATTTGGAGTATTTTCATTGACTGACTTTAAAGTCATTTTAAATTCGGAGGTCGCTAACATTATTATTTATTTTAGAGAAGCTACCCCACGTTTGGATCAGCTTGCTAAGACATTTGGGAACTTATAGAATTTGTTTTTTTCTTTCGTGAACAGTGGACTTTCATACATTCAAATTCATATTAACTGATTAATATACATATAACTAAATACATGTTACGTTTCTCTAAGGGGCTATTATGGTTGGATGGTTTTTAGCTTATCTTCTTTGATTAGGTTCAAGTCCACGAGAGATGACCAATTCGATTGCGATGGGCCTCTCTATTTCTCTAATAGTAAGCCGAAAACCAAAACGAAATCAAGAGAAACCATTTGATGATGTTGACGCAAGAAACAACATCGGGAATAGCTTTCTCAAGCTTGCCTTTGTATCGCCAACGTGCCATATGAATGGGAAGGATCGATTTTGCTGATGTAACTAACAGAATCGTCAATTCAGTTTAATTTAACCTAAAAAGGTGGATATCCAACCCGCCATTTCGTTAGAAATCCTTATTATCAAATTGTTCCAACCCAACCCAACTCGTGGCCAGCTCTTTCTTCCCCCGCCTATCCTCTCCCCTCCCATCGCCGGTGAAGACGACGAACATAACCCACATTTTTCTGCTACGGACAATGACAATATTTTAGTGAGCGAATCACATTGACAATGGCCGGCGACAATTAGGATCGCCGACGATGAGCTGGATCGACAATTAGAATCAAAGTGAGTGCACCGAAATAGCAACTATATATATATATATATGGTGGCTTCTATGGTACCCCGGGTGAAATCTGGGGTACCGCATACTTCGAGTATGGAAACTCTATCTAGACCTCGAATTACCAGGATTTTTGTGTCTGATATTATACCCTAACCCTTAATGAGTGAACCCTAGGTCATAATTATCTAAATCATAATCTATAAACCCTAAGATGGTGCATTCCTTTTTGTGCCTATATTTGGATGAATCATAACCGTCGATTATTATTTCTAATTAAATTGATATTGGAGTATAATATTGGGAGAGTTAACACCTAGATTTTGATCTTTAAGTGTTAGAGTATAGTATCATGAACGAAAGATTGGTCAATTCAAGGTCTAGATAGTGTTTTCATACTCAAAGTATGCGGTACCCCGGTTTTCACCCACGGTACCGTAGAACTCGCCATATATATATATCCATATTTCACAAAAGAAAAAACAACTTCTATGAGTTGACAACTGTCCGAGCAAGTTGACCCAAACGTGAGGCAGCTTCTTTAAAATGATGCTGTATACCTCCAAATTTAAAATGACTTGAGTCTATGGAAAGATTCCAAATTCTTTGTTTAGTCTTTTTAAAGACGCTGCAGAAATTGACTAAAGTGAGTTGGTGATGTGCTTAATCGTGCTTAAATTCATAGACGGATAGGATTAACGAGGAAAAAATATTCATATATTAATATCTATTTTTTATTCAAATTTTTTTGGCAAAATACATTTGTAAAGTCAAAACTTTCCTGTTTGCGTCAATAATAGCCAAATTTGAAGGAATACCACTTATAGACCACTTCCATCCAATTCTTAAATGATGTTAGCATTAAGTGTGACTGGACAAACGAAGATGCTTACATGGCGAGCTTTTATTTCCCTTTTACTCTGTAATTATCCACGTGGATAATGATTAATTAAAAATTTTTATTTGACCAGAAATTAAAAACCCCCTCAAATTGGAAATGAACACGTTAGCCACATAAAATCTAAACAAAAAAAACCAAAAAACCCCAAAAAGTTAACATGTTGTCTTTTGATTTGTGAATAATAAAAACAAAATAAATAATAAATAAAACAAAATAAACAAACAGTGGGAAAATCAAAGAACATCAATCTTCCCGCACAAATCCTAATACCAACCGACCCCCAAATCATCTGTTTCAAATTTGAGTTTTCGTTTCTGCATCTTGACCCACAAATCGCCTTAACAGTCTATCCCGATGAAGGCTAGTCGCCTGCCAAGTATTCTGTCTAAGAGGGCTTGGTCAGCTTAAGAGATTCCAAGCTAATTTAGGATCTTCCACAGTTTAATCAACAGTAAAACAACCAAAAGGAATTACAACTTGGATCTAATTGAGGAGCTAGGGGGAATCATACCTAAGTGAGTTCCCAACCTGTAATTAGTAGTTTTACTTAGTTTAGTTAGTAGAGTAGTTTAGTTAATCAATCTTTTATCTGATTTGCTAGATAATGAACTGAAGCTTATTAATAGTACATCTAGAGACCCGAGGATTCGATATTTATTACTTGCACCACTATACCGCAGTCCCTTTCATTGGTTACACTTGGTCATTGTTAAGTGTAGTATTTAGCGTGTCACATACAACAACTTTAAAAGTTGGCTATAAGTGACATTTCTCCAAATCTGGCTATTATTGGCACAAACGTGAAAGTTTTGGCTATACAAGTGTATTTTGCCAATCCATTCCAGATTCTTTTATATTATAGAAACCGTTTAAAATGCTATTAATTAGCCAAATCTTTCGTAATGCATCAAAATATTAGACATTTTTAAGTTATCGCTAATAATTTTGTAACCCTTTTCTTAGTTAAAATACTGAAATTTTGGAATGTTGGCTTTCATGTGTCTCTTCTATGTCAGTATCATGTTGCCAAGTCAATATTACTAACAAAATTGCTAACGGGAAGTTAACATTTGGCTAGTTCGTATTATTTCGATAGATTGGGCTAATATAAAAGAATCAGAAAAAAGTTTGGATAAATAAATAGAAATTATCCTATATTTAATTCGAATGATACATGACAGCTAGTTATTCTTCTTCTCGTTCCTTGAGTCTCCAAAAAAGTTATTCTTCTTCTCATTCCTTGAGTCTTCTTTATACTGATGACAACTAGTCGTTGATCTTCTAATAAGGTAAACTTCCTCTTATTTGAATTTCTTTCTATCTTGATCAGCTACGTAAAAAGGTAAGTCTTCTCTCAATTTGCTAGCCTTGCACTTGATCCGTCTTCCCTGTTTTGAACCTCGAAGAATCATTCTCGTTTGATCTGTTATAGTCCACCTATGACCATTGACAGACTTGCTTTCAACAATCTCCCCCTAAGCCGGTCAATTGTTCCTTCTGCTGCACATGTAGTTCCTGCGCACACTTACACAAATGGTTACTTGCAGACTGCTCCAAGCAAGTTTTCAGGACTTGTTAAGACACAAAGGGGAGTTCTTTTATTCATCGAGAAAAATAAAACAAACTCAGACTACAAACAACTCAGACATTACGACTCAATACTTATTTTACCACAAACGAGACTCTACTAGATGATGCTCCGCCCTAGCATAACATTATTTTAAAACTAAAAACACAGAACTCAACACAACCACAAGACTCAACCAAGACTTGAATGACTCCCCTACAGATGCTCCTCCTCTAAGACACTATCATGCTTAAAAAAGATAGGTTGACGAAGGTATGCAATCTGAAATCTCCCCCGCATCTTCACCAAAGTCTTCAGGTTGCACTCCACTGGAACTGGCTCTATCATCTTGCTTGAAGGAAGCTTGAATAGACTCCAAATGATGTAAGACCAGTTGTTTGCCTTTGGCAGTTGATTCCTCACTAGATCAGCAAGACTCAGACAGTCTTCAACTTCTGCCAATGGAACTACATTGGCGGGATTGTCTACCCCTGAAGCATTGACGCGGGGACGATGGTGCCTGAGATGCATTGACCATGCGAAGAACAAATTGTGGTCATCGCTCGACAGAAGCAGAGACCTTGTAACGTAGGTCAATGCCCAAATAACAAAGTAGCAAGGTGATTTGAGGCCCAAAGGGAAGTTCACCGTCATAGTTATCATCATAATACTGCAGTATATGATTGAACATAAGGTGGGGATAGCTAATAACTCGATCTTTCTTGGTGCTAGCCAGGATCCATAGATCATAAGGGTATATGAGGGACAGGCCATGGGAGCGAGGAAGAAAAAACTTGGGAGACATAGAAATGTAGGACTTTGAGATCGCATGGAAGACATCCAGCAGACAGAATGAATGGATAATACTTGCTAGTATCATGAGTATACAAACATATGGCCTAGAGGTCATTGAACCCGACATACTGAAAATCACTTTCATCCATAACCTCTGCTCCGAGGATAGGCATCCCGAGCAAGTGGGACAAAAGGTTGACGGAGATGGTGAGCAGATAATTGAACACGATAATGGTGAAGGTAGGAGGATCTGTGTTATAACATGGTTTTATGTTGGCATAAAACATGCGGACAGCTTTCGGGCAATAGTTATAAGAGGGGGACCCTATCCCTTCTCTCCTGACCTTCCCCACGCCTTGTTAATCCCCAATCATAGCCCTCAGAGGTCATTTCTTCAAACGAAGCTGTCATCTGGCGTGGAGTTTTGTTGAGCATATTCCCTTGACATATAGAGTCAATGAGAACCTGATCTTCTTGGAGGAGACTATCATAGAAAGTCTCGATCCGGAACTACTCTCCAAAGTCATGGTGAGGATACTGATGAACAAGGTCAGAGTAACGCTCCCAAGCGTCCCTCAATGTCTCGTCCTCTTCTTGAGAAAAATGATTAATCTTCTTTCTGAACTTTGCCTTCTTCAAAGGTGGGCAATATTGGTTCATGAACTTGTTGACCAAATCATCCACGAAGTAATCGAAAGGGGTGGCCTATTGTTCAACCACTATTGAGCTCACCCGATTAGAGGATAGGGGAAGAGTCTGAGTCGAATGGCTTCTTCGAGAACTTAGTTTATCTTCAAGCCTCCCGCCAACTCGAGAAACCTCTTGACATGCTCCCGTGGATATTCATTCTAAAGTCCATGAAATTGTATGTTTTGTTGAATCATGGAGATGAGATCGGGCCTTATCTCAAAGTTATTGGCGGCCGCGGGTGGGTGAAGGATGCTTGATTGTATATCCGCAACCTGTGGAGCCATATAATAGCCGATAGTCCTCTCGGCTTCATCTCCTCCTTCACCTTGGTTGTCCCCCATCTCAAAGTCCTCTTCTACAAACTCTTCCTCAACTTCAACTTCTATTTCGGGCTCAATGTGTGGTTGTCTCGGAGCTGCTAATCTTTCTCTTGCCTCCCTCAACTCTGTCTCCCGAGCCAAGAGTTGGACAGTCCGGTTGATGTTCTCGTTTAGTGGCGCCAAAGGTGTCGGATTACTCCGCGTTATACACCTACTGCACACACTTCACAAAACACAACTCGAGCCAGGACAAGCAAGATTCACACTCAACAATGCAAAGGAAATTTAAAGCTAAATTAAAACTAAATGATTTTTTCTCAATATAATGGACCGTAAACACCTCCCAGGCAACAACGCCAAAAACTTGACTTGATCTGAATACCACAATTAAAATCCCAGCTAGAGTCCAAGTATAAACTCTAGTAGGGTGAAGTATAGAGCAAGTGTTTTAAATTGTCAATCCAGGTCGGTCCATGTACTCCTACTTTTGTTTAAAAAGTTAACTAGCTAGCGGTTTTTTAGTGAAAACTACAAACTACAATTCAAAGCAAGCAAGAAGTTGAATGGTTGTGGATTCTATATGAGAAAATGTCACTCGGGTATTGCTCCCCCTAGCCTTGTATAAAGTTGCAAAAACCGGAAATCTAATGCGAAGAAGTGTGTTTTTATACCTGAGGATGGTGCAATTAAGTGGAGAATTCCACCCTCTTAGGCAATCGATTAAGGAAAAGCAATTAAGCTAGTGAACCTAGTTCTCTCAATCAGTTGGCCAATCCATTGGAGGTTAATCTGGAATGGCGATAGAGCGATAAGTCACAATCAAATCATGACGTTAAATCGATGCTTGAGGTGTGTTCTCAATTGCCCTAGAAGTGGTAACCCAATTTTCCAAGAAGTGGGCAAGGAGGGGATTTTCTCCTTCTAGGTTAATTTGACCCAAATGAGATATAAACTCAACACTCACAAATCATGAAAATACTTCAAGCATTATATTAAGACACACAATCAACACATATAGATTTCAAATTCAACAACCTACTACATTTCTAGGCTAGGGTTCACAATACTCAAGTGAAAAAGAGCACTATCCCTAGCTAAACTAGGGGCTACAACAAAGAAGAGAGAAAGAATCATGATGTGGTGTTTGACTTCCTTCCTTGTTGTTGGAATCACCCTTGGATGATGAAAATTCTCAATCCTCAAGTTTGGAGCAAACACTAGACTTCTTCTCCTCTCTTGGTTTGTCAGTTTCTCTCTTTAAAATCATAGAATGAAGAAGAAGAACACAATCTCTCGTTAGGATCTCCCCTCCCCCTCAAGTTTCAGCTCCACTCTCCTTCTATACCCACGTCGTGCACGCATCACGGTCACGTATCACGGGCGTGATATCGAAGCCTTGTCCGTGATGTCGAGCAAAAATGCACAATTTCACTTAAAGTCTTCACGGTCTGCTGAGGATTATCATGGTCGGGTGATAACCACCGTCGTCGTTCAAGAGGGAGTTGTCATCTGTGGGTTGCTTGGGAGGAGGAAGAAGGGGGGACCACGTTGGTTCGAGCTTCTCTATTTAATTGACAGGGCCTGGATCTAGCTTGCTTGGAGAAAGAGGAAGATGAAGCATCCTTGCTTCCGCCGAAAAAGATGAAGAAGCAGCAATCGTGCTTTTGCTAGAGAAGACAAAGAAGCAGATTGAGCATCGGTGGAGATTGTTTGTTTCATTTTCCTAATTTTTTTCTACATATGTTTTTTTTTAACTTAACAATTTTGTATTTTAATTTTCTAATAATTTTATATTTTTCATATTATAATATAATATAGTTTTGAATTTAAATAATGACATGCTGGCATCTATGTGGATGTCACGTTTCTGCCACATCAGTAAAAGTTAACAATATTTTGAATTTCGTCCGATCAACTGTTATCTTTAACGGTCAACATAAGACGTCATGACACAAATGTCACGAAATACATATAGTTCATACCATATTTATCATATTAAATAGTTTAAAAGACGAGAATTAGCTTTTATTACTGGATTGAAGAGCAACAATAAGACACACTTTGCAGTTAGTTAGTTAGTTACATTCATGATCGTGCTGCTTTGGAGTGAATAAGCCTCTGGAGATGGTTGTCTAAGCCTTCGAAGGTCTCGTGCATGAGATCCTTAACCACGTCAGGGCTCAAGCTACCCGCAGCGTTGATATACGAACAACTCCACTTCACAATGCACCCTGGGTCCCTCGGCCCCTCGTTGTTCGGCAGCGGCGCCACCGTCGTCGTGGTCTTGAAGCTCCGGTAGTGCTTGGTCACAAACTCCCCGTCTTCCACCGAGCAACTCACCGTCCGCTTCTCGTGGTCCACTTCAGTGATCTCTTCCATCGCCATCCTCACCGCCTTGAAACCTATATAAGTACATGTAGACGTCAACTAGTGCGCCGCCAATCAAAGCGCATATGAAAATCTTTCTGGAATTTAACGATTATATATATATATATAGTTAACCTGGGCCATAAGTTATCTTCCGCATCGAGCCTTCAGAGAAACCATCCCGCCTGGTGGATGTGATTTCTTCGTAGATGTTGGGAAGGACCGCCGGGTAAATTCTCGTGGCGGCGAAGATTGCGCCCCAGACGTCGTTGGCCGACGACACGAGTTTCAGCTCCGTCCTGTAACCTTCTGAAGGCATTTTTGGATATGTAGTTATCAACAAACAGAGAACTAATTGATATCATGGAAGATAAGAGGCAACGGGATATAAAAGACTTGCCGGTCGAGCGACTCTTTGCCCATCTCAATCGTCGTCTACCGCGTACTGGTCGGCGTCAACGGTATTAGTAAATTAAATCAAATAAAGACTTTCTGCTTTATGTAGCATAAACAAAGACATCTCTAAGGTCACCTCTTACAATTCAAAGGGATTGGTCTGCTTTCTTTATCAATGCCAATTTTGCAGGCTAGTGGGCCATTTTACAGATCAGCGGCGAGAAATTTTGTTTATTTATTTCTTTATTTATTTTCATTTAAATGAAGGAAACATTTAGTCCGGGCCTTCCGACTTCCGAGTATGGTAAAAATCAAGGTTCAAAAAGGCGTTAGGCATAAGGCGGGTATTGAGGCTTTGTCTTGTGCCTATCTCGTCTAGGCGTAGACTAAGCATGTCTAGTCGTTGTAAGAAAATAGCTATTCGCACTGCATGATGAATGAAATAATAATCTACAACACTTCCTCACTTTAGTTAAAATTATTAGTAACTTACTCTACACTTAATGATAAGAACATAGCTCACGAATTCATAGAATCATAGCTTAATAGCTAACAAAGTTGTTGAGATATTGAAAATATTTATATAGAAATTTATTTTGTAGTTGACATTAATTTTCTCCTTTAATATTGACTTCCTAACTCCATCTAGTAATGTTTAGGATAGACTTATATGTCGCCTTACTTCATTGACATGCTGCAGTATCTAATTAGGCGTGAAACCCCTAGGCGAGACGTTTTGCCATTGCCTTGCGCCTAGACGTGCCTAAGCGTAAGATTAAGCGTGCCTTTTTGAAGCTTGCTAAAAATTAAGATAGTTGAGTATTCGGGTTGGGCGGCAATTGAATTACGGGTCAATCAGGCTATGGTTCGATCGAGTTTTTGGTTGTTCAGAATATACTTAGAGGGGGCTGAGAGTAGGGCTGGGAAAATAGACCAAATCGTTTGAAAAACCGTAGACCAAATCGGACCGCACAGTTTGGTTCGGATCGTAGACAATAAAGAATGGTTTGGTCTGGTCCATGGTCTGTATTATATGAAGTTCTGATCTTTTGGTCTGGTTTGGCCTAGACTGCGGTTTACCGGACCAAACCGTGGATCTAGCCGACTTCGCAATACATGTTAGTAGCCCACTCGACCACTCTCCCAACTCACCCAACGAGACTCAAGTCTCAACCTTAATTTTGAGAATATCGTCTCCTCCTTCATTCACAACCACATTTCACTAGAGAATAGAGACGATCGTGTCTGTATATGACATTATGTTAATGTTTGTGATGTTATGTTGCGAGTTGGAATTCTACGACTTTGTATCTTTGTTATCTACTAAGATTTAGGGTGTCAAAATTATTCATGCATGTTGGATTTTATGTTTTAAGGCAAAAAGCAAAAAAAATGTCTTAGTTATTTGTTCAATTTTAGTGTGGTGACTTAACAAAGTGTTCATTTTTTGTTCAATGTGGTCTATCTGGACCAGATTATACCGGACCAGACCGCACAGGTGTGGTCTGGTCTGGACTGTATAGTATATAGTCTGATTTCTAGTCTATATTTTAGTCTCTCAGTCTGAACCGTATACCGTCTATATGGTCTGGATTAGACCGCACCATTTCCCAGCCCTAGTTGAGAGGAAAAGGGAGAGTGTATTTAATTTACTTGAATCGTTATCCTTTTCTATGTCTATTGCCCTCCCGATCAGACTAGTTTGGCAGCCTAACCCCTCCACCGGCTTCTTGTCTGCATCACTCTATTATTGCCTCTTGGAGGATAACTATCCAAGAGATCCAAATTACCCTCATGAAGTCATCTGGCAGCAAAGCAAACAGTACCTCTCGAGATCTGTGCATTCTTGTGGGTCGTTCATCAGAGAAAAATCCTGACTCATAAGAAATCTCCCAAGTAGATGTGTTTTCTATCTTGCAAGGGAGGAAAATACTGATCACCTCCTCCTTAATTGCAGCCTTTCAAAAGCAGTATGGCGTTCTATTAGCAAGTTTGTAAAGCTTAAGGACTGTTGGAAAAATGACATAACCAGAACTGTGATTGAATGCCCTCGGCAAGTTCCGGCATGTCTTGGACTTTGATAGAACCCGGGTGATTAGGTTCTATCTAGGGATTGGGATTGATGGAAGATCAACTAGGGATTGATCTTGGGATGAACAGAAGATGAGGAAGGAGAGGATTTGGGGTGGGACGAGAGGAAGAAGGAGAGGAAAGGGAGCTGGCCGCGCGCAGCCTCGGGAGAAGGGAGGAAGAGTTTGGCAGAGGGAGAGGGAAGAGAGAGAGTGAGACAATTAGGATTTAGGTTTATGCTTGCTTAGTGGCTTAATCCCACGTGCAAGTAGTTTATATAAAATTGGACAATTACCTACTGCTACCCGACTCATAAAATATTCCCCGATTCCCGAAATAGTCCCAATAATCTGAAATAGCAAAAAACCAATAATTAATCAAAATACGAAATTGCAAGTTTCTATCATCCCCGCTTCCTTCAAAAAACAACCTTGTCCCCACGGTTGTTCCTCTAGCTCACTGGGTCTCCTCCTCGCCACCCCCGGCGTCCTCGGCCGCATCTTCTGCCTCGTCTTCCCAACGCCTGGCTAACATCATCAGGTCCTGCTTCGGGCATTGATGGCCAATGGTGAACCTACCATCACAATTGAAGCACTTGCCCTCCCGCCTCTTTTGCTCGATCTCGGCCGGAGAGAGTTGCACGAACCCCTTTTGTATGGGCCGCAGCCCCACCCTAGCAATCGGCGCCGCGCCCCCACTACTAGTGTTAGCTCCCGATGCATTTCCCGCCGACGATCCTCCACTGCAGCCACCAGTCCCACTGCTTCCTCCCCCTCCACTTGGACTCGGGTATCGGCCAATGGTGCTCCTCCAGCTGGCAATTTTTTCCTCTTTATGACCTGCAAGACGAAAAGCAACTTTCAAGAAATCTGGCTCAAATACTCTAACTGCCACTGTTATCTCGGGCTTGAAGGCCCGTCATGCACAGCCCCATCAATGTGTCCTCCGGAACTCCCTTGCACTGGTTCCCAGCTTGAAGAACTCAGCGCGGTAATCGGCCACAGTGCCGGTCTGCTTCAGCTTTGCCAACTGCTCAGGGGCCCACCCTTCTGACTTTCCAAACTGGTAGCGGAGCTCCTCCTGAAACATAGGCCAGGTGATCACAGTCTCGGCCGCTGCGTAGTATCTCTCCATCCATTCCCACCACTGGATCGCATCACCCTCCAAATAAAACGACGTCAGATAGGCCTTTCTCTCCTCCGGAATCGGGTGATTTTTGAACCACCTCTCAGCTGCATACAACCAAAGACCTGCATCCTCTTGCCCATTGAATTTTGGAAACTCAATGGTAGGAGGCTTTGCTCGAAAAACTATTCCATCAGCTCCTCCATAATTATGACAGTACGACCCATACCTGTCATTACCCGGTGTCCTCCACGGCTGCCCATACGAGATTCCCTTTGCCCCCGACCTCGGTCCGCCTGGCCCAACCAGCCGCGGTCCGTCCTGCTGTAGCCGACCCCATTTGCCCAGCCCGGTCGGCCACCTTACCCGACTCGGGCCCCCTCTGGTCCACCATCGGTTCGGCCCACTACGCCTGCTGATCCCCCAAGCTGAGCTCGTCATCTTCGGGCTCGTCATCCAAGCCCAACCACCCAAGCCCATTGGCACCTCTCGCGAATTGGCCCACCATCTCTGACCCAACATTTGTCAGGGGCCCTTCCGTGTCATAGCCTGGCATCTTGCCCTTACCCTTGCGGGCCGCAACCTCCTGGGCCTTAGGTATAGGCAAGAGACCTGGGCCCGCGCCCAACCCTAACTCCACTGGGCCTGCTGCCGTTCCACCCTCACTCACACCTTGCCTGGGCTCTTTTCCTCCTATTATATTATAGAGATTCTCCTCTGAAACCCCGTTAGTTCCACTTTTGTTGCATCCTGCGCAGAGAACGGAGGGGTGTTTTGGTAAAATTCTTCTAACTTATATAGGCCATACATAAATACAAAATGTGGATCTAACATGTGCTTTTCCTGTCGAATGTGCCGAGGATGGGGCCCTTTGTTTAAAGTAGATGTGGTAATTCTCAATCCAATCCACCAATCCATCAAAAATATCCACCTAATCTAATCCATTTAATCCAAATCTAATTGGATTGGTGGATTCATGGATCAATCCATGGATCCAAATGGTAAATTACGGTTTGGTACCTATACTTTTTATATTTTACATTTTGGTACCTAAATTTTAATTTTTTATACAAAAAATCTCATTGGAAAATTACGTTTTGGTACCTAAAATTTTTCATTACGACATTTTAGTACCTAAACTTTTCACATTTTACATATTGGTCCAAGGTTGAGGATATCATTTGGATTCATGGATAATCCACCAATTCATGGATCGATCCATTTGTCACCTCTAGTTTAAAATATATGGGCCACATAAGTCCAAAGCTCTTTCTATTTATTTCCACCAAGGAGCCAGAAACAGTTTACGGTAAGGAGGCAAAATTATGGAGGTAAAATTGTGGGGAATGGATCAGGTAAGTAACCATCCACAACAAGATGGGGAAAAGAGGAAAAAAGGGTGGGAAATCCAACAATAGAGTAGTGAAAAAAGGAAAAAAAGAAAGGAAAAAGTGGTAGGGTTTTCACTTCACTAGAGGACAAATAGAGGAGGGGAAAAGGAAAAGGGATGGGTGGGACCCAATGGTTTATGTTTTTGTTTTCTTTTTCTTTTTTGATTGGTTTAGTTGTTTTAATTAGTGATTATAGTATGTTATTGGCTAACAATCATATCTTTCAACATTCATATTTTTTAACAGCAATATTTCCTACAATCTTATTTCCAACATCTATATTTTTCGTTATTGATGACGTTATATTTAATCAGTGATAAAAAATTATGTCCAAATTAAAAAAAATTATATCGAAATGTTCATCTTAATTAATTATTACTGTTTATATAAAGATTATGAATAAATTATCTTAATAAAGTGATGAGATCAACACTAAATTGATTTTGGCAAAAAAAAACCTTATCAATTACCCTATTTTCCCTTCCCACCCATTGTGGCCAAACCCTTTTCCCAAACCCTCATTTCCCTATTTTCCCACCCAAATTTCCCTCTTTTCCCTTCCACCATTGTGGATGGTCTTATGGTAAGTAACCATGAGTAATTCGTCCACATCAGCATGACATCAGCATCCTCCTCTCTTCTTGAAAGAATTTAATTTTCCTTCTTAATCTTTGGAAGACGATTTCTCACTCGTTTTAAGTTGAAATTTAATTTTTTTTGCACATTTAGATCATATTAATTGTGATCTTTAAAATGATGTCCACTTTGACATATTTTTCGAACAAAAAAAATTGAGCCATTTTTTACCAGTCTATACCATATAGTATTGACTGGTATTGAAATAAGAGCATACTTATGGTTTGAAAAGCATACCATGGTGGTATGAACAAACCAAGACTGTAGAATGGTTGAATACATGATAGTAGAAGTATAGTAACTGTCATTTACGACTTTTAACATTGTGTACCACAAGATACCACCCTGTACCAGGGTGGTATTGTGTGGTATTTGCAGTGTTCTTGTTCGGCCTTTGCTGTTTCACAGAAGGCACTGCGGGCTATCATGGAATGGATTTTGGCTCACGACGTTGTGGACAAAGACAGAGTTATGCAGTGGCACATCGCTTGGATTTCAAGGGGCAGCAGGCCTCTCATTTGACATGTTAGTGGGCAGGATAATGTTTTCCTTCTTGCGGTTTTTTATCAGTATCCAGCTCCTGCCTGCTGGTTTGGCTTTCCTTTTGGATTTGTGAACTTTGGCCTCTGTTGTATCCTCTGCTGCTTTGTTTTTTTGTTCTTCGTTTGTGATTATTTCTTTTGTACTCGTCAGAACTTGCAGCACTTTCCCACTGCTTGTGGAGTGCTTCTTTTGTTACCATTTCTTTATCTATTCAAGTTCATCACCATTATCAAAAATATTGTGTAGTATTTTTTGATACTGTAATTTGTTCACCCAGAAATTTGTAGATCCAATAGATCATGATGAACTCGTTCCTTCTGTGCAAACATTTTCAAAAACGAATTAAAAACGAAGAAAATACCATATGGAATGCAGTTGGTTTCGTGAGACAAGAAATTTTTTTCTCAAAAAATATTGTAAATGGATCTCATTTTGTAGAGCACAACGAACTCGTTCCATCTGTGCAAAAAAAATTAAAATCCGAGTTAAAACGAAGAAGATATGACCCGATTAAGAAAGCTAGGGAAGATAAAAATGACATTTAATTCTCCATCCTTATATCTGAATTTTCTAAATGAAGGGTTAATATTTAGTTATTGATGGGTGCATAACCCAGGTTATGCATTCTATCTTGAGCCAAAATTGTGGAGCCTATAAGTAAAGTTTCTTCTCGCCAAATTAAAAAAGCCTTCTTATTTTAATTAGTATATTATGTAAATATATTATGTTATATATACATATGAGCTCATCAGCTATACATATTGTTATAAACGCGCTGCTACGGATCGGGAAATCGCAGGAATCGACAAAGCAAGAATACGAAAGCGAGAATCGTAAACACGACACACGATTTACGTGGTTCACTAACACGATGTGTGTTAGATACGTCCACGGGCGAGAGAGAGCCAGTTTCACTATATCGAGGAGATTACATATTACAGAGGAGTATGAGAAGTATTTATAGTACTTCTCCATATGGGTCTAAACCTAATCCAATTTGGCAAACGAAACGGTTACAGACCAGTCGTAGCGGCTGATAGTCCGATTCAAGTCACATCAACACATATATATTGTGTTTAATTTATACCATAAAGTATAAATTTTATAGCTATACATATATATTGTGTTTAATTTATACCATAAAGTATAAATTTTATTTGTATCATAAAGTAATTTATACGAAACTATATAAGTTCAAAATGTACTATAATGTCAAAAGTACACATTCAATTTGTATCATAAATGAATTTTTATGAAAAGATATAGGTACAACTGCACTTATAATATAAAATCCAATGTATAAGTTTAGTTTTGTACTATACAAATATTTGTGGTAAAAGGTATAGAAACAAAATAAATTTGACTATAACATTAAAGATATAAGTTCAATTTATACAATAAATACTTTTTTTGCAAATGAAATCATCAATAGTGTGAAGCACTGTAAAATTCTATCTCTATATATTTATTGACATGATTATTGTATCCATTTAGCTAATTTAGAATAAAGTTAGTTTATTAATATATTAGGTAATCAAGTCGCATAACCACGCCCTTTTTAGTTTTCAGTTAATCATATTTCATTTGTTATAATTTAAAATTTTCACTAAAAATAAAATTAATTATACTTACAGAATCATATCTGTTTTGACATATTTGGAATGAAAAGTATGTTATATATATGTAAGAAAAATAATTGTATTTATTGAATAATTCAACGCCTACAAATTATTCATTAAGTTTCAATCTATAAATTATTAAAAAATTTCTATCGATCGCTAGGTTGTTTGCAATAGTGGAAAGAAGAAATCTCATAAAATGTTTATGAGACGTAAATTATACTTCGTGCAATGTTTAGTGTTTTAAACACTTTACTATTAAAGATTGGCTTCTAATAAAAAAAAGTAGGAACAACCTATTGTGAAAATAAAGGTTTCGTTTACAAATACAAATGCATTATAATTGGCAAATTGGCAAAGATGATAGTGCTTTAGAGGGTAGAGGGGAAGCGATCACAAGAAATCTACAAAATTTGCAATGATTCTTGATAGTGATAAACAAATAGTGTGGTCTGACTAAATTTATAGGAGTCGATTTTCTTTCATTGTTTTTGTTTTTACTTTTAGTAATGACTTTGTCATTAACTCGGTTCAACATTTCAATAACTTAATTATTTGAAATTTTTATATTATGAAATAAGATTAGGACGAGAAGCACGATGCTTTGAGTCATTATAAACCAGGAAAAGAAAATTAGGCAAAGCATCACGACCTGGATCGATATGCCATGTGCATGGTCGTCGCCATTCGCCAACTATGCTCCATAAAGTCTCAGTATAAACCCGAAGGCCAATTACATATGAAATGTTCCAGCACATGTTTTGACTTTTGATAACATGAAGTCTCAGCAAAAGCTTAAATTAGTACCATGGTAGCAGGCAATTACGACAGCTAGCGGTTCTCCATGTCTGGCATCTTCTCGAGATAAGCATCTACATCGTCGAATGTCATCTTGACAAACCTTTTCAAGGCTTCCCTGTCAAACCCCCTTGGATTTGTACCATGGCAACTCCAGTTCACTGTGCTTCCTTTGCGTTTTGGATGCTTCTTTGGAGTAACCGCCATCGTGACCTTGAAAGTATCATAGTAATTCAGCATTCCACCTTGTATGACTGACCATGTCACCGTCTTCTTCTCGTGATCTACATAAACTATCTGCTCCTCCGACTTCTGCCATGGCGTCTGCTTGCCTGAAAAGCCAGCACAAACAAACACAACACTGAAAAAATCCAACTAGCAATTGTGGAATTCAAAGAACGGCGTCCTGTTGCGTTCTAATGCTTCATTCAGATTTGAAGGCTGGATGTCTAAGATAATCATTGCTTCGATAAAATTACTCAACACTTTACCTCGAGCAAAAGTGATTTCGCGGACAGACCCTTTGCTGAACCCGTCACCACTAACCACGGTAATTGCAGCGTACAAATCAGGGAGGGCTTTCGGGAGTATGTCTGTGGAGGCAAAGATAGCTCCCCAGAAATCATTTGCAGATGACACAACTGTGAACTCCACTTCGTCACTGCAACCAGGCAAGGAGAGACACAAAGAATCCTTATGATTGGACATTAAAATGAAACTGATGGGAAGAATTCTAAGTCTAAACAGTGAGAAACCATTACAAGCAGTTACCTTTCCTCCTTTGGCACTTGTCGCTTGCAGTCTGCTAAGTTTTTGTAGAAGCTGCTGAGATCGTTACTTATTCCATCATTTTCATATCTCCTATTGCTACTAAACCCTGGCTGTTGGGTGGTTCCCCGAATGGGCCGACTGGTAGTGCTTCTCTCCCCTGCTGATTGATACCTGACATTGTAGTTTTCTTCTTCATCCTGGCCATAATTACTTGGAGCATTATAGTCATGCCTCACGTTGCCAAACTTGGGTTGCTGGATGTTTCCCCATTGAGGCCGTGTCATAGTGCTTTCCTCTGCTGACCGATAACCACTATTGTAGTATTCATCTGCATTCCGACCATAACTATTTGGAGCATTAATGCCACGCCTCGCGTTGCCATGCTTTGGTTGCTGGATGTTTCCACCACGGTGAGTCAACGTACTTTCCCCCACCGCTGATCCAGCATCGTCTTCTTCATCTTCACACCAAACATGCTTGCTGGATGTAGCCTCCTGACCTTTTGGCGGTCGGGTAGGTTTTGGAATAGGCTTGTCTCCATCTTCATACCGGCCATATTTTTTATCTAGAGCATTAATGCCACCACTAGCATTACCATATATTGGCTTCTGGTTGTTCCTTTGACTAGGCCGAGTCCGAGCATTTTTCTCGCCATACTGAGGTCCATCATCTTCATTGTCCTCCCGCCCATACTGTCTTCCATGATCATTACTACCACGACTAACTCCACCAAATTGGTTCTTTTTCCAACTGGGCAGAGTCTCCTTAATCACCTCATCCTCAGAGCCATCTCCATTGTCATCATCTTGATCCCGACTATACTCATTTCCAGGGGCATTGACGCCATGAGTACCATTACTGGGTCTTGACTGTTGCGCGCTCATTCGGCTGGGGCGAGTCTTATTAGCTTCCTCTTGGCCTCCAATAACTTCACCTCCTTGTTCACCGGATCTGGGCTTTTGAGTGGTCTTGCGGCTGGGCTGAGTCCTACTGGTTCCCATGTTGGCAAATTGATCTCCATTATTTTCATCTTCGTCTTCGTCCCTAAAATACTTTTTCAATGGAGAAGCACCACTGCCATGGCCGGCTTTACTGGATCCTCCCTGCCTTACATTTACTAGACTTGGCTGAGTCACTTCCACTTCCTCATCCTCCACAGACTGATCTGTTAAATCTCCATCTTCATCCTTGTATGACGGGGCTAACGAGTCACAATCAATGATCATACATACATCACACAAATCCTGATTAGGATCCTCCCAGCCAGCATATAAGCAGTCCCCGAATGGTGGTCCGCTCCTAAACAAACAAGCATAGTGTCCAAGCTGAACATGCAAAAACCGAACTGTTGCTGGATCACCATTCACATAGACGGGGTTGAACAGTGTGCATGACCATTTGGATCTGTCTTCCTCAGGCCGGTCAGCTGCCCCACTAATCCACCAGTGTTTAGGAGAACACCGAACCAAGTATTTGTTGTTGTAGCAGCACTTCAGGTGCACTAATCCATCACCAGATTTGGCCACCTTCACCTTGAATTTCGCATATTGACTGGTAGCCTTGTCTTCAGAGAACTGGAGGAAGCCATGCTGCTCTCCACCTTCATGTCTGTAACGCAAGTACTTGCGATTATACCTTGATTTGAGCACCACGAACGTCGGGAGTGATGTTTGATTTTGAGCCGTGGAGGAAATGCGTTTCTGCATCCTAGTGGACACAGACACCCAATCGATGACTGCACAAGCATCACACAAGTCTTGGTTGGCAGCTTCCCATCCTGCGTACAAGCAGTCACCGAATGGAGGCCCGCTCCTGAACAAGCAAGCATAGTGATTAAGCTGGAGGTGCAGAAACCGAACTGTTTCCTCGTCGCCATCAACAGGCACGGGCTTAAACAGCGTACAAGACCATTTAGATTGGTCTTCTTCAGGTTGATCAGCTGCTCCACGAATCCACCACTGACTGGATGACCTCCGTACCCAGTACTTCTTATTAACACAACACATGAGGTGAATCAATCCATTCCTGCTGCTCGAGACCTTGACCTCAAATTTAGAGTAAGGACTTGCAGCATCATCTCCGGAGAACTGCAAAAAGCCCTTTTGCTCCCCTCCTTCATTTCTGTAGCGCAAGTACTTGTTGTTATACATGGACTTGAAAACAACATACTTTGGCAATTTCATATTTTTTCAACCCACTTCTCCCAAGATACCTCCCCCACCTCGGTTTCAAAACGAGAACTTCTGCTTGGTATGGCGGAATTGAAATAACGGGAACAAGGATATGTGGAAGAGTTTAGGTAGATAGGAAGGATCATATGAACGAGTAGGCAATATCTCTAAATGTGTGATTATAAAAGAGAAACAAAAGAGGCATGCTTAAGGAGTTCATTCATTGACAATTCCGGATCTGTCATCCTTAAAATATAGGAAGACTCTATGAAAGGGGCATTTTATCAAACATATAGAAGACATGGAAGATTAAGGCCATATTCTATATTGACTTGACTTATCATAAAGAACAGATAAGTTAAACTTCAACAACCGGAATATAGAATGACTAACGCGTAGTGCCCCAGCGGCCAGCAACGATTGTAAATGTACTATCAAGTCTTACTGTTTCCCGAGAAAACCAAATACCCACCCTCGGTGTCGATTTTGGTTTCCGGCGATGTTGATTTGATGTTTCGCGGTGGAAACTCTTGCGGTGCCGTTTGATCGAATGCACCGCTGAGTGCTGAAATCGAGACGAACGTCAAATATCCGCCGCCGAATGTCGGCGTCGTTGATTTGATCGATGCACCTATAAATGGTGAAATCAACATGACCGTCAAATATCCACCGCCGGGCGGTGTTTATTTGATCGATGCACCTCTGACTTCTAACCAAGAACGACCGTTAGTACGGTTCGCACCTCTCCAAACTACGTTCGAACGAGGGTGTTTGAGTTTTGAGGAATCTACGCTACCGCTACTCCTATGGAGATTCCTGTGGATAGCTCCGCGACTACGACTAAGACTACAACTATGGAGATCCTTCCTGGAAGGAGAGCTCCGCGAAGGAGTTACAGAGAAAAGGTAAACTTTTGACAGAGTTGTTCTGTGTTGATTTTTTGTTCTCTTTCTCTCTCCTTGCTCCACTGCTTTTATTCGAAAAACCGCTTTGTAGTCTTCACGCTAGGTGGAACCGCTTCCTCAACTGCTCCATTGTGAACTCCCATGTGTCTCAACCATCTTGATCTCCTCTTCGCTCGGGTTGGTGTGAATCTCACGCGATGTCGTTTTCTTCCCCAAACAGCTATGTTTGCTTTTTTACTCCACGACATTGTTTTATATTAAACACTGTCGTTTGCTAATACAGCGGTACCGTTGGGCTTACTCGCGGTACCGTTTTTAATTAAACGACACCGCTAATATAGCCAAAAAATTCCAATTCATTGAACCGCCAAGAGTTTTCACTCGCATTGGGTTGGGCGGGATTTAGGCCCTTCACTTACATGATATGATTTTTTTTCTATTTAATCGGCACCGCTTATCAAGGCCTCCCGCGGCATCGTTTTTACATCCGCAGTACCGTTTTAATTCTCCGCGATGCCGCTTGTCTCCATGCGGTACAGCTCCTCCCCTTCCGACGAGGAATAAAAATAATAATAATAATAACTCTTTTTCCAACACCAATACTACGCGCGTGGCCCCCATCCTGTTTTCTAGTAAACAGTGTCGTTTCCAGTGCCGCGGTACCGGTGAGCTTCCTTGCGGTACCTTTTTCGCGGTGTCGTTTTTAGCCAAACGACACCGTTTCCCAGTCTCGCGATGTCGTTGAACTTTGAAGTTCGCGGTACTGTTTTATCTCTTCGCAGCATTGCTCGACTCCAAACGGTGTTGTTATTCTCCTCCTCCGACAAGGAAAAATAAAATAAAAACATTCCTTGTCCAATAGCAACACATGTCCTGCGCATGACTCACACATGGTCTGCAACCAATGTTGTTTTAAATACCGCGGTATCGCCGAGCCTCTTCGCGGTCTCGCTTAAATTCTCCGCGATATTGCTCGACTCCAAACGACATCGTTTTGGCCATGCGATATCGAATTAAATGCCGAGACTCATTATTACGGCATTGAATTTAGGCCAAAAATATTTATGTGTAAACACTTACCCGCCAAAAGATCACTGCATGAAAATGGAGGGCGAACCCTTCTGCTCGCCTGACCCTTTGAGGCCGATCTTCCGGCCAGATTCGTCGCCAGACCCAGAGCAGATGCTGATCGGAGGAGATTGACAGTGACACTTCTCATCTATTGGTTGCAGTCTAAACAGGACGGAAAAACCGCGTGCGTCAAGTGATTTATGGGAGATTAAAGGATTCATCGGAGAAGTGAACGGCGGTCGATGACCGGCAAATCCGTAGCGAAGGAGTGGTGTGTGTTACAGAGTGATGCGATTGTGATTTGTGGAATTGTGTTGTTACTTCTGTTCTAGAATTACCGCACCGGAGCTTAGAACTGGGGCGCCACGCCCACGGCGGACTAACTAACTGGGTCTTACCGTTTGGGCCGGTACCAATAGGCCCATGAGGGCATGGCATACAAACACAGACCAAACACTTGAGCCCACTTCCAAACGGCTAGATTACTATTCTTAACCTGTTGCCGGGCCTTATTGTGTGACACTTTTGCTGTGCCGATTCTATTGAAATGCAATAGAAATGACTTATTTATAAAAAAACGGATTGAAAGAAGGTTTGATTAAAAGCAATGAACAAAGCCACCTCTCCCTCTCTCTTACATCATATTTTAAGTTCAAATAAATTGCTTATACATCTAGAAATGACAAACCAAACTCCTAACCTTCCACTTCCACATCACTAGTCGTCACTTGTCACCTTACATTTTCGAGATAACTTAATAATGACAACAACAAATAATAATGGTGAAGCTCTTAAACCATAACAACAAATCGACTTCGCAAGAAAGTAAAGAACGTATGTATTTGCATAGTTCATTAATACAATGCATATTAGCTAATTCACAGACATGAGAGACAGCTTTCACTATATTTGAGAAGATACAAATTATAGAGTTTGAGAAGATATATATAAGCACATTCTCCATAAATCAAACCTGGACAGAAAGAACATTACAACAAATAATTAGTCTTCAACTCATATCAACATTATATTTGTCGATGATCCATTCGCTGTAGTGGTAAATTTTGAATCAAAAGTTCTAATTTTAAGACCTGTAAATTTATGCACAACCTTCTCTCTCTTCCTTAACCTCCTGTTAGGCAACCATACAGCATATAATGGTGATGATTAATAATTTAATACGTCAAACGATGGGGGAAGAAATGGAATTTAAAAAGAATGCGCCACGAGCAAAAAACGAAAACCTCCAAACAAACCAGAAAAATGGTTGAAATACCAAATGAAAGCTGCTTCCCAACAACGGCTACACCCTTTTCTCCTGCCTGATTCGAGTTTCTTGAGATTCAGCAGAAGCAAACAATACAACAATTCCACACATTTACGTCCTAGCCATCCACATCTCCCGCCTGCCATTTTACCCACCTTGCTTTCTTCCTCCTTTTCTGCAGATTTCTTAACGTTCTCTGCAAGCACATTTCTCTGTCCTGTAGTTCAAGAGTACATTGTCCTGAAGCTACCACCTTTCACTTGCTCCATACGTACTCATCCGAGGATTCTCCTCCTCACCTACCCTTTTTTACATATGCTTCCTTCTCCTCAGCTTAATCGCAATCAAACTGATCTTCAGCCTGGTGACTTCTCACTTGTCAGGGAAATCAATCAAAACACACTTCTTGATGAGACCTCAAATCCTCCCCTCTCTCTACCCATTTGCTCGTTTCACCTAACACTGATTCGGGATTTAGGGTCCTTAAAGCCAAAGCTTGGGTTTGGATTTCTGCTCTTTTTTCTTCTCTTCTCTTTTGCATTTCCAAGGACAGAGGGGGGGAGGAATAACTATGCCTTTCGGGTTGGTTTCTGCTTGGAACAAGAGAAGGAGAAGCAAGTCCCAGGATCACAGTGACCCCTGTATGTATTCCTCCTGTGAAAATCATCCTTCCTGCAACTTGAAGTTATGTAGCTTGGAAACTGTTTTCATCTCTATGCGGTTTCCAGGGGTATACAGGCCTGTGGAGTACTGGAAGCTAGAAGATCGAACAACCCAACCCACAAAGCGACACCATGGATCATCGGTCTTTACTCTCAAGGAAATGGAGGACGCTACTTGCTCGTTTAGTGATGGAAACTTTCTTGGTAAAGGAGGGTTTGGCAGAGTGTACAGAGGATATCTGCGATCTGGAGAGGTAAACACACTATGCAAGTGGTCAAGTTTCATAATAAGAGTACAAGTGAACCCACATCTCAAGCAGAAGAAGAAGGTGGGTTTTGACTTTTGCAGGTAGTAGCAATCAAGAAGATGGAGTTGCCTTCGTATAGAGAAGCTGAAGGGGAAAGAGAGTTTCGTGTCGAAGTCGATATCTTGAGCAGACTGGATCATCCAAATTTGGTTTCGCTGATAGGGTATTGTGCTGATAGGAAGCAGAGGTTTCTTGTGTATGAGTACCTGCCAAAAGGGAATTTGCAAGATCACTTGAATGGTAGTTTGGCACTCATCGTTAAGTCTTGAGTAAATGCTTAAACCCATTTCAGTTGTTGATCAAGTTATCTGCAAGTTTCATTGCAGGAATAGGGGAAGCAAAGATGGACTGGACACAAAGGCTAAAAGTGGCCATTGGAGCAGCACGAGGACTTGCTTATCTCCATTCACCATCTGCTGTTGGTATACCCATTGTTCACAGAGACTTTAAATCCACCAACGTTCTTCTCGGTGCGAACTTTGAAGCCAAGGTGAACAAAGTCCACTCCTTTCTTTTTACATGTTCGGAAGGAGAGAGGACCTGAAAGAAGAATGGTATCAATGAACATCTTATGTCCTTGCAGATTTCTGATTTCGGTTTGGCTAAGTTGATGCCAGAGGGCCAGGAGATCTACGCAACTGCTATGGTTCTGGGAACATTTGGCTATTTTGATCCAGAGTACACATCAGTAGGTGTTCAAAATTCCCTCTGTAGTAATAAGCTAGAGTAAGACCAACCTGATAACTAAAACTGGAAAACTCAAACTCAGTTGCTGCAGTAGGGACAGCACCAACCAACCAAAAGGACCAGCTCTAACATATCTATTCTTGTTCTGGTAGTTTAACTAGCTAGAAAGAAACGAGGATTTCATTTTGCTCCTTTTTCTGCAGACAGGAAAGCTCACTCTACAAAGTGATGTCTACGCATTTGGAGTGGTTCTTCTTGAGCTATTGACAGGACGTCGAGCTGTTGACCTAAACCAAGGACCAACTGATCAAAACCTAGTTCTGCAGGTGGGAAAATTCAACCTCCAGAACAGTTTTCTTTCTAAAAGCAGAAGTTCTGGAGACTCACTATTTGCTTTAATGGAGGGTCTTGCGTTTTTTAGGTTAGGCACATACTGAACGATCGGAAGAAGCTGAGAAGAGTGATCGATCCAGATATGCCGCGGAGCTCGTACTCACTGGAATCTGTAGCCATGTTTGCTAACTTGGCATCACGCTGCGTACGGACAGAAAGCAGTGAGAGACCTTCCATGTCTGAATGTGTAAAAGAACTCCAAGTGATTATCTATACAAATAACTCAAAGGGCTCAGGCATGGGAGGGAATTCATTCAAAATTCTATCATAAAGTTCTACCTATTTATTAAACACGAGGGCAACTGTGCATTCTAAACAATGAAGATGTTTTCTTCCTCTCTTCCTCTTATTAATAGAGAACCTAATTGTGCATGATACATACAACAAACTGAGAGCAATGGAAGAAACTGTGTAACTTATGAGTTTTTCCGTGCACATTGCTTCCATACCATCAACATTTCATCTTGCCACAGTTAAATGCCAAATATTCTTTGCCGTGCACATACAAGAAATCAATCCATCCTCTCTCACATCATCTCTTCAACTCTGGGGGGCACAAGATTTGTTGCTTTAGTATCATCTTGTTGGAGGTATTCTTTCCAGCAGACTTTCATAAGGTTACAAGATCATTCCGATACAACTACCACTAGGCATGATTACACTGCAGTGCGGTGCAAGAAACTAATGATGCCTCGTGCAATTGACTGCAGAAGAGCAGGTTCCTAGCACAAATATAACTGAGTACATACCAGCAACGATGATCTGAAGATCTGGACCAGCAGATAGACCTGCCGGAATCAAGTCACTGGATGAGCAGAACAATGACCTTCGAAGATCCAGAGAAAACTCTTGATATGCAAATGCAATAAGACACACTCACTGCACACAGTTAACATTACATTTTCAGGAGATTGAACAGAAGAAATTAAGAAAAAGAAGTGCACAAAATGGAACAGAGGCTATTGTGTCTACGCATGTACCTCAGAAACATATGCTGCAACTTATGCTCCCACTTGTACATGTTCTGGGTCAGAGCCTGGCATGTCAAGTTCTACGTTGTTGGTTGGTAACGGAAGCTTCTTCAGCATCAAATGTTTACGACTTTGCAACAGCAGCAATACCAATATGCCATCTGTCTTAACAACATTATACCCTGCTCTCATGTACATGTTAAAGGGCGCTGAATCAACCATCCTGCACTGCAGATACACCTCTCTTACAAAGCTCATCTGAGAAATTAACTCCTCGCTTGCTTTCAAAAGATTCCAACCGACTCCCCTCCTGAACGTTCCAAATACACACAACAGGAGATCAAGTTGGTTTCAATCCGATCCATCAACCTACCAGCAATGCGATAATGCACCAAAATGGCAAAATACATGAAATTCAAGAATACCAAATACCACAAATGTTCCAAACTGAGAGTTTAACTCGTATCCATCACTCACAACTGAATCTATAAATATCTTTGGACTGAGGAAGCTGGAGAGCGGTAGAGATACAGTTAACCAATCACTATCCGCAATAGGTTCATGGGCCAGAGGAGCCATCATACGAATTCCACCGCCCAACTCAATAGCATAAAAGCAACCAGAACCAGCAAATTGATGACACCACTAGCCTTCTCAACAGAGCATTTAACTCAGATTATATGACCCACAATGGATGCAATTTATAACTTCAGATTTAGGAAGCCAGAAAAGAGAAATAACCACACAGTCCGCTTTCTTGCGCCATCACCCTCATCCTTTTTTCACTTCATGCTCAAGATTCAAGAAGGTCATCTGACATATAAATGCCAGTCCCTAACCGTGTCTCCTAAAAGCTACCTCAATTTGGACAATTTAAACCAACAAGATCGGAACTTTTACATTACCAAGCTAAAGGCAGGAAACAATTTGTACAATTATAAGCTTTCTTACTACCAACTCAATGCAAGAAGAGCCGATGAGATTGGAACTAGTTACCTACGGAGTGGCTTGTTAACAGTCATGTTGCAGATATAGGGAGAGTCCTTCGGCGCTGTTGGCGTGGGAGGAGAATCATTTGCCCCTCTCTTATTGAAACAAATTTCCACAGTCCCTGCTAACTCCCCTTCCTCATCGTCCTCCCCCTCTGTCTCCGCCGCCTCTTCCTCTCCGCCCCCGCTGCCGCCGTCTTTCCATTTAACGAACCCTAGAAGCGTAACGGCATGGGGAATCGCGGCCCGCCTCTCCATCAAGTACTGCTTCACCAAATAACTAACCAAAGGCAAGTACCAATCGGGCAGCATCATGGACTCCACAAAGGACTCGGACAGCAACTTCACCGTTACATCGGTCTCGTCCGGCCTCATCACCCGAATGCAAAGCGACCCGGTTCTCAATTCTCGCCGATACCGAAAGTCCTGAAGGCTCTGGAGCTTGAGAAGCTCCTCGTTGCTGAGGAAAATGTAATTCCCTGTCTTCAACCAGTCCTCTAGCCTCGAATAGGCAGCGGAGGCGCTGCTGCTAGTAGATTCACCGGCCAAGCAAAGAGGAGACTCCGACGAGGAGGCAGAGGAGCAGGATGGTTGAGGGCTGAGACGAAATCGGGACCTGTGAGATAAGAGGAATTGGTGATTGTGATTGAGAGGGGAAAGGAAGAGTAGTGATCTGTGGCGGGAAGAGGAAAGTGATGGATCTGGAGGAGAGGGAGTGAGAGTGTGGAAGCCGCCATTGGGAACGCGCAGAAGAAGGGAATTGTGACCTGTGGGATGTGGCTAAATCATAACAGGAAACGGAGGACGAGTGTAGCAAAGCGAATGAAGGCAAAGTGGCAAACTGAATTGCCATCATTAGTAGAACTTCTGGCAAACGTGTTTTATTAAAACGTATAAAATTATACTTTGATAATTATTTTGTTCTAAGTGAATTCACATGTATTTTTTGCAGTCAGGGCTCTGCATCTCTGTGGTTCAAAATAGCCTACCCTCATCGGTTATTTTTAAATCCATACTTCTGGGGGTTTTATACCTCTCATGAACAATATCCTTCATTTTTGTATGCCTTCCCAAATGCCTTGTTTTTGCAAAATCTAAGAGAACGTGGAATTGTGGCAAAATCATGCACAAGAAATTCTCATCTAAACGACCCTCTTAAGTAAAGGAAGCAACTTTACAACACTTCTTATAACTAGAACCTTTTTCTTATAATCTACCTATTGGACTTGCATTAAGCATGGTTCAAGAATGAATAATTCCACTCACGCCTAAACTTAGGCTCTAGAGGATGACAAAACACCTCACCTAGGCCTAATGCAGCAAATATTCATGATGTTGAGGCAGAGCTAGGCGGTGTCTAATCAAGATTAAGCATTGTGAGGCATGATTAGACAATTGGAGGTGTACTTAAAGTGCAACTAGTGGACCATGGGAAGAAGAAAAAACATAGTTAATTTCCCCAAAACAAATCCATCTCAAGCTACCTTAGATGCGTCTTTCGATCCTTAACTCTAGTTGGAATCATAAATCGTGACTCTAGATTATAAATGTGCTTCTCTTCATCGTTCATTCCCTTTGACCAACCATCGTCGTGGACTGCCATCTCTCAACATCCACAAGTTGTGCGTATTGACTCCTTATTCTCCATTTTCTAAATCATCATTCTTCTCCACTTCGACAAGAGTTAAAAGTGGTCATGCCAAGATTAGAGAACATGATGCTTGCAGTTGCATGCTACATTTGAGACAATACTTTTTCACTTATAAGTTACTTGCAACATTCTCAACGATATATTCCAGAAACAACACCTCAAATACAGAAATCTTCTACCACATTAGAGCATATCTACATCACTTGACCCTATACGCAATCCAATGACCATGATTACAGTCGTGTCCTTTATTTCTTTGATGGATGCTTCAATCTTTCAGGGTTTCTGTGTCGAAGGTTTTTTTCCAACGAGAAAGTAAGATTGGGAATTGAGCCCTACAAAGTCGAGAGCAATCGTAGATTTTATATCTTGATCGAACACAACTCTACAGAAGAAGGCAAGACTACTCATGAGTCATGATAGAAATATGCTAGGTTCCGTTTTTTCCCTTCATTATTGCAGTGTTCCTCATCCATCCTCCATGGCACCACAAAATTTTCCTGACTTAGACTATTTCACTAAATTATTACTCTTGTGGGATAATAAGCAGCCAATGAATTAGAGGTGTAACTTAGGGAACTTCATAATCTCATAAAGGTGCTGATAATCCTGAGATCTAAAACCATGAAGAAGGATGGAGCAAACTGGAACCAACATCTCATTCCACCATGCGCCAAGGCCAAGCAATGCATGCTCAAACCAACTCAACAAGATTATCCGACACCAAGAGAATGTAAGAACCAGACATTTATTTCTTGTGCCTATGATATCAATCCAACTCCGCCAAAGAAAGAGCTGCAACCCCTCAGCAGTTTGAAAATCATACACAATAGAACCTATCAAGAGGGCACCGAAACCAGACCAACTAAAAATGTTATGAGAGACTCAGCTATGACAAATCCCCAGTTGCTTCAGCAGTATGATTGAAATGCAAAATGAGCTACGGTTAGGGAGGTTACTGAAACATGCTTTGCTCACACAGAGTGTAGCAACGAGCCACACCGCATTTCTTTGCCCAACTAGGCAGCCTTTCGAAGAAATTGCACAGGATCCCAAAAATTTGATCTTCACGGGCGAGTTTGCAACCTTCTCCTCTCCAGCTCAAGCTGAAACAATAATAAAGGTAATCAAAGTAAATAATCTGCAAACAATGTGAAGAACAAAAGTCTGCTACTGATACTCTTACCACTTTTTTCACCCGGTCATTAGCAGCAGGAGTTCCTCCAATAACATTTTCAGGAAGATAAGGGCTACTGACTCGCACTTCATTCATAACAACTATAGAGGTCTTGTCCCAGCGAACTGGAAGCCTGGTTTAATTTGCATAAGAATCAGCAGTAAAGCTAATCATTTTCTACAGAAAGAACCCTTATGAGTTAAGAAAGCGATATTTAAAAAAAGAGAAAGGAAGCATCTTCGAGTCTTGAACAGAATTTTGACAGTAAGCCAAGGCAAAACACAACCATTTAGAAGCTAATTCAAACAAGACAAGCACAACACGATTACACGAAACCTATAAACCAAGTGCATACGTGAAGAGGACAAGTACAGATCTCTGAAGATTACTAGTAAACGGCACTTAGCACCACCCTGGGAGCTAGTATCGAAGTTCGTCTGAGTACCGAATAAGTCATCTCAAATCAGAAAACATCAACACTACAATTCGAATGACTTCCCTACAGTCTAAGTCACTCCCTAATTCAACCCCAAACTGGACATCATTCATCAAGAGATTAAAATGAACAGGACACACGAAGAGAACTATCATACATCCAATATCAGGAACCAGCTGATTCTCATTGAGAAATTCAAGTCCAATAGTAGATTCATAACAGTTGCACGACCACAATCAAAATGGGAGTAAGGAATATGAGCATACGTCTTAGACAAGGCGTCAAAGATACCCTGGGCCTCAGTAGTGACACCAACTCCAATTCTCTCGGCATCTGCTTCAGCTTGCCTGCAAAAATCATATGAAAAAAAGAAAACAGGAAAATCAATGGGAAGAGCCATCAAAATCCCTAAGCCAAACAAAGCAAACCCAAAAAAAAAAAATTGAATTTACCTCAACGCTAGTTCCTCGCGATCCTGGAGGCTCTGGAGATCGATATAACACTTCTTGATGTCAAGTGGGTCTTCCGATTGACCTAAAAAAGAGAACTCCTTGATGTAATTCGTCTTCAGGAACCGTATGTTCCTCCTCGGCCCAGGTTTGGATCCCTCTTGTGAGCATCAAAACAACACAGTTAAGGAATCAAGAGCAGAGAAGGTTTCAACCCATTCTCAGCATACGCGAGAAAGGAAAGACAGAATGGGAAATGAAGGATAGTTGGGAGAAAAGGATATGAAGGACGAGGATGTTGGATGGGCGGTCGAAGGTGATGACTTGGCCGTCGAATTCGTCGCCTAAAGTGGTTTTGATGGAGAGCATGCAACCCACTGCGAAGTCCTCGTTGCTGCTGCTGTTGCTAATGCTACCTTCCATGGCTGCCGCTCCCTGTTTCTCTCTCGCTGAACTCTCACTATTCTTCTCCGGTTGCTCTTCCTTGATTCAATTTCTTCGCTTCAGGGGAATTTTCCAGTCTTTCGGCTTCCTTTGTGTTTGTCGGACTCTGGCTTCGTGTTTAATTGGCCTTCTAATTGGGCCTCAGGACAGTTGAATTGGGCTTTTTTTAACTGTGATGGTTAGCCGTTCGATATGGCTAACCCCTGTTTAGTATTGTTGCTTGTTTTTGTTTTCTGTTGTGCTTTTAAAAATTGTGAAAACCAAGAAAATAAAACGTGTTTAGTTGGGTTTATTTTTCCTGTTGCCCAACAGATTTGGGCAATAAGGCCCAAATCAACAAAACGTCAAATTGGGGCTTCGGATCCGTTTCACCCCAGCGTTGCACACGGGTTTTTTGTGGGATTTCATTAATTGCCAATTTTTTCATTTTTTAATTTCGTTATTCCTTAATCCTTTCTTCTTCCTTCTTTCTGTACCATCGCACAATGTTCTTTCTTCCTCTTCCTTTGTGCGAAATCCCAACGGCGACCCAATCCCAGCGACGACTCAATCCCAGCGAAGACCTAGGCTTTCTTACTCTTCCTTCTCGCAATCCCTGGGATTTTCTCTCAAATCCCAATCACAGCGAAGACCCAGGCTTCTTCCCGGCGGGGCAGGGACATGGCGGGCGGTGACAGAAGCGACGACTTCTTCTCCAGGTTTGGCCGGCTTCTTCTCCATCCCGACAGGAGAGGCGGCAAGAAGTGATTCACCTCCAGATCTTTCCCATCCATAAGAGAGGGGCCATGGAGTGAGTCGTCTCCGATTTGACTCGGAATTACCGCCGCTGAAGGAAGATTTTTCTTGTTTTTCTTCTTCTACAGTTCGTTGACAGTGGCGGAGAGGAGAGGAAGGGAGGCGAAGAGATAAATTGAAAGGGATGCCCCTCCTGATCCATTTTTTTTAGATGGACAGAGAATTGATCTAGATTCTAACTCGAGAGTTGCCAATGCTAGATATGAGGAACTAAACGCGTTGTGTTTGTTGTTGATAATTCTAGAAGTTACAAACTAAACACGTTTGTTGTTTTATGTTTTTCTTCTGTTGTTGTTGTGTTTCTGTTGTCACAATTTCAACAATCACAACAACAACAAAATGATACTAAACAGGGCCCTAGGATTTATAGATCGATTAGATCTGGCTGACTTTTTTGAGTGTTCGGACTTCGGCGAATTCATATGTTTCGTATCAAGAATTTGGTACAAAAATCTAACCATGAACGATTTTGTTACAATTTCTTATTTGCTAGACAAAACATTAGGAGATAAATTTGTGGGGCTTATAAATTTGTATTTTTTTTACTCCAAATATGTGGACCCTATAGATTTACAAATCTCACATAATAACGGTTAATGATTGAAAATCAATTTGTAAAATGATATTTATATCTCTATTAATTTTTATTATTTCAATTTTTCCTCTTTCTATTATACTTTCCTATTGCCGATTTGTTTTCCCGCAAATACAGAGCACCTCTTCCTCCTCGCTTTCCTCCTCGCAATGGACATAGCAAGATTGTATGACTCGACAATTGCGTAACCATGCAATGTAAGAATTTATGTAATTTCAACATAGTACCTAATGGCTAATTTGATAGAATTGTGATATGGAGTGTTATAGTGATGATGTGAGTTCAATCTCGGTATCTTATATTGTGTCACTCTCCTAAACATCTACTAAATTGTGACCAAATTGACACAATTATTTCAACCGATACTGCCACGACTTAATCAAAGTATTTTTTCTTAATTTAATGATATTTACAAAGTAATGCAATATACTATGTTAATTTAAGTAAGAGCAATTTTATTATGTTACAAAGCATTGGTGCTTTAATGTATAACTTTAAGTTATACCATAACATTAAGTGTACAAGTTCAAGTTGTACCATAAAAGAATTTATAAAAAATTATAGGTACAATCTGAAGTAGTACCATAACGTCAAAGGTGAAATTTCAAATTATACTATAAAGACAAAAACTATAGCACCAATGTTATATAGCATTGTAAAATTCCTAAGTAAATCTTAAAATGAATTTTTTTTTTAACATCCTCATGCAAAGTTTGGTTGTATTAACTAGTATAATATAAAAGGATAATAAGGTAATTAGTTTCTCACATAATAAATCTCAAACCTTTAAATCCATTACTCAAACAACTCAACAAATGAACAATTGTTTCAAATCCATAATGTCTCAAATCCCTCATAAGTCTTTAGGTTTTAAAATTCAACACCATAAACAAAACCCTCGTTTTAAAATTCATGAAGCAAACGACCCTTAAATAAAATTGTTTCCCTTCCTTCCAAAATAATCTTATCCAAACTATATTTTGCTTCATTTTCAGTTGGAAGTTTCAATAGTTTTTGTCAGATTATTATTATACCTGTAGTATTTAGAATGCATCATTTTAATTTTAATTTTTAGCAGACGCAATATATAGATTGTTTTATGATATGACAGAAATTAACACTCAAAATGAATGGTTGTTATATCTAACATTTTATCTCAACTTTTACAATACATCTAATTTGACTATAAATGTATAATAATATACATATTATTCCCAACTACACATCTATTTAACAATTACGACTTCCAAACTCATTAATTTTAGGCAAAATATACTTTCCTAGCCATAAGTTTCACGTGTGTGACAAATATAGTCATAACTATCGAAAACACAAATAGCCAATTTCGTCCATTTTTTTAATTGTGTCAGTTAAAGGTATGACTAGATTGACGGAAAATGCTGACTTGGCAATTTATTGTCCCTACCATCGCGGCGGCGACTAAGCTTCTCGCCGGTTTTGAAGGTTTCCAAAATCAATAACAAATCAATCTTTCCTCTAACAAATAAAAATTTCACTTTCTCATTTCTTTTCATTGTTCTTGTTTTGAAGCTTTCAAAAGAGCTCGAAAATTTCAAACTACCGTCTCCTACAACCACCACACCTCCGCGAAAATCCACTTTCTTCGACTCGGCAGACCATTCTCGTCCCCAGATCTGTAAAATTCACTAACACAAAAACTCATCCTTCACCCTCTTCCTGCATCGCCTACCACCAAAGGTGGAACGTCTCCCCTGATTGAAACCCACTACTGGAGAACGGTTGACTGGTATGAAGGATAACTTACGTCGAGAACAGAGGGTTTCCGTTTCCGTTCCCACAATCCCTCGACCGCTTTCTCGACACCGAATCTAACAGTTGTTGGTGTTGCATGTGGACAGAACACTAGAAATCCCAAGCCCAGAAATCCCTAAATCTCGAGATCGACCTTTCTTCCTTGACCGTTGAGTTCGAGACAGAGGAGATGGTGAGAAAAGCCAAGATTTCTCCATGGTGCACGACCCAGAAGCAATCGACCTCTCAGTCCATACCTCATCTCTTCTGCGCATATAATCGGAGAACGGGAGTAGCTGTCTGGTGGGTGCCCTTCCCTCCTTTAGCTTTACCTATGGAGGCGTTCTTTTTTTTTGGTAGTACGACGACGATTTTTGTGATTTTAGGGATGGAGAGGATTAGGGAGGTTGGAGATGGAAAGTGTTGCTGGGTAGAGATGCTGGGGACAGGGAAATAATTATTGCTAGTTGAGAGGTGGTTGAAGGTGGAGAGGGAGGAGGAGAAAGATAAGGCGTGGTGGTCTGGTGGAGGAGGAAGCGAAGAGGTGAGGTGGCAACCACATCAGCATGAGGTGGAGAACAAAAGGTCAAAAGCCATTGATTTTTTTCTATATTTTTTAATTTCTAAATCCACGTGGAGCTGACATGGAGGTGAGGTGGCAGTCACATCAGCATCTCGTTAGTGTTACTGACGGCGTTTCTAACACCTTTACAATTTCTAACGAAAATGACTAGATTTGTCATACAACATTCAAAATTCTGGCTATATTTGTCACAAACGTGAAAATTATGGATATGGAAGTGTATTTTGCCTTAATTTTATTATAACCGAAACGTGCAACAACCAAACAGGGGAACTGAATCCTTAATCCAAATTCCAAACCCAGCTCTATGTTTATTTGACAAGCAGATATATTCAATGTATTACCCGAAACAGCACCCAGTCTTTACCCCAACATTCAAAATCTCAGTATTTCACTGCCAAATATGAAATATCAGCTTCGAGAAACGAACTAAAGCGTCAACAAAATTCGCAACCAAATTAGTTGCTTCGTATACACATGACAAACAATTAGAGAACCAATTTTCTCCCGCTTTGGGGAATGGAATATGATAAAAGAATACAAAGGACAAGCTAAACGACTCGTCATTATTTATTCAAGCCAGTTTCCTTCTGTTCGTCATCTTCACAAATGGTGTACTGCGGCTGAGGGGTCACTGCTTCATTGTTGGCAAGAGAGCGCGAGCTCTCAAAGCCACCAATATTCACTCCATTATGCTCGTCACACGCACTTGATGTTCTTTATGCTGAGGCATGTGTCTCTGCTTCATTGCTGGAAAGTGAAAGTGCTCATGTCATTCCAAGATGAGCTGCTGCACTTGATCTTCTTATGCTGAGGTAAGTGAAACTTTGGTTCTTTGGGGACTGTTGGATGCTTCGTTGACCTTATTCAAACCAAAATCGAATTCACCCCACCAAAGTCAATGGTGGATCAGATTTGATTTAAAAACGGGGGTTGTGAAATATCGTTGTTACCTTCTGGGAATGAAGGGTCTGTCAAAGTAAGGCATGTGCTGTGCTTTTGGAACGAGCTCCTTTCGTAATCTTCGTATTTCTTCCTCCTCTGCTAACTACAGGAATTAAGCCCATTTTACATCAGTAGCTAAATACCAAAATTAGCTTATTCTATATGCAAAGAAAGAAACCCACCAACAAAAAATCACAGCACTTACCTTTTGCTGCCGCTCTCTTTCCATCTTGTATTCCTCAATGAGAGTTAGCTTCTCCGATACCTAATATTAGTACAGCAAAGAAGGGTTTACATCAATCAAGAGAGCAACAGGCATATCAGCTTGCCTCTGTGGTCAGTTAGTTAACATCCACAGAGTAGCTGAGTAACAACTACTAATCATGAGAGTGACAGGGGCATCAGCATGCCTCTGTGATCAGTTAGTTAACATGAACGAAGTGACTGATTGAGTGACAACTACTTAGGCAAGAAGTTGAAGCTTCCGTAACACAAAAGACTTAGTAATGTCACAACAGCTGCTTAAACAGCCTGGTGTAGATCCATCAACAAAAGTTTCTTTAACAATTTACCTCGGTAATACACAAGACTTAGTACTATCACAACAGCTACTTAAACAGCAGGTGTAGATCCATCAACAAAAGTTACTTGCTCTTTGGTTGAACAACAAAAGTTTCTTTAACAATATACCTGGTGGTCAAATTCAGCACGTTCCATTGCACGTACGTCGCTGTGAAGCGTCAGATCAACTGGCATTGTGGTCTCTTTCACAGGAGGTTTAATAAGGTGCTGAAACGGAGAAAGCAAACTGCAAATGAGCTCTTGAGAACAAACATGGTATACTTGGTTGGGTTATCAATACCAATTTCCCAATATTTTGACTGTTCTTCAGTCAAACACCAAGCAAGGTAGGCTTATTCTAACAAATCCACCGCACCTCGGGCTCATCTGTTGTCCATGGAAGACCTTGTGCAATTGGTATCCGCTGCCTCTCCTCCTCAGTCATCATTTCATGAATCTTCTTCATGAATTCCTCTTCCTTCATTTTCCCCCTTTGCTGCAAAGTGCGGACCAAGACTGAATTCAAGACACAGACTCTCAACAAGAAAGCAACAGCTCCCTATCCGAAAAGCATTCTTATACCTCTGTCCTCAGCTTAAAAGGCTTTAGATTAGTGACTTTTGGCTGCTTTTTCTTCCATCTATTGCCTCCCATAGTTGCACCCGATTCAGAGCTCTGAGAAGAGTTACCACCAAAATCAAAACAAATCTACCAAATGAAAAACAAGGGCCTAGCAGAAATGTCACACAGAATGGGATGAACACTCACATTCCGTCTGCTCCTCCGTCCCCCATTTGATGTCCTACTGTTGAGACTGAAACGCTTAAAATTAGTAACAACATTTTGCCTGAACTATAACGAACAACTGGCAACTGATAAATAATCACTACCAAGTTAACGGACACCATACTCAATACGACTACTAACCTGCACTGACTGCCGTCCCATGAAGAAGAGATTGAAAGCCTCGAATCAAGACCCAAATTCTCGGAAGTCAAGAACAGATCAGATGCACATAACGAAGACGAAGATTCCTGGGCCTCACCATCTTGTTTGGGAGGCGGCTGCATACCAGGCAATGCCCATTGGGTTACCTTCTTCTTTTCCTCCTCCACCTCCAAATCACAATCCTCCTTGGATGCTTTCGGTACGGTCAAAAGCTTCTCAAAAGCCTTGACCAAATGCATCACTTTCCCGTTCTCAGGAGCACTCTTCCTCGCCTCTTCGAGGAACCTCTCTCTCCTTCTCTTAACCGTCGAGCTTCCCTGCTGCGCATCACCCACGCCAGAACTTCCACCATCAATGGAATTTCCGTTCTCCATCATCGGATCCTCCTCGTCCACATCAAGCTCATCTTCACGATTTCCTTGATCCAATTCCTCTCCATCGTTTCTGGACTTGAAGAACTCCTCCTGTGAAGCTCGCAAACTCTCGTACGCCACACAGAGACACTTGTTCCCGATCCCTCCCTGCCTCTCCTTGCACTTGCAGTTCACGTTCGCAATCACGCTGGAATCGGCAGAGATCTGCTTTTCCTTTCTCGATTTCTTCTTCGCGACGACGAACTTCCGCTCCCGGAGCTTGTTCCTCGGCGAGTACAGAGCTAGGGTTTGAGTAGAATTGGGGTTTTTCTGCCCCGATTTGTGGGACTTGCCAGATTTGACAAGAGGAGAGGAGGAATCCAGCGAGGGACTAGAGCGGGAGACGTTCGGATCTGTGTTCTCCGAGACCTTGGCGGTGTCTTGAAGTTTGGACTGCAATCCATGGGGCGATCGCGATTCCTTCGCCGGAGTGGATGGTTTCCGATTCTTCTTGATGCTCGAATCCATGGGACTGCCGGGAATGTTCCAGAGACGGAGAAAATTCCGATCTCTTTGCTCTCCGAGAAAATTAGGGTTTAGGGTGGGAGATGATTAGATGAGCGAGAAAATGGTTGGGGGAGCGGAAGTAAAGAGTGGTAGAAGAGATGAAGAAGTGGGGAAATTGAACGTTGAGAGCGGCCGTTTATTTGTTTTTAGGATTGACGCTCTCTGTAACGGCTAGTTTTTTTTACAACTGACAGGCAATGCTTTGAAAGAATCTAGGTGTAGTGGATTGATCTACGGCGGGATCCGATCTATTGTTGGGCTTATGCATTTGACTCGGTCCAGCCCGACTGCAAATGCGAAGAACGAATCTTGGTTATAGTGGATTACTACTTAAAACTGAAAAACACCTATCCTTTTTTTCTGAGACTCCTCAACCCGAATAAGCAATTTCACTCGATCATTATCAAACTGATTGCAATCTTTTTCTATTCGTTAGGATCACACCAGTTATCTCTTTTTTTTTATCGGAAAAGGATATAGGGCGCCACTATCTTATAACATTAAAACGACCATGAATAGTCATTCCAGTATATCATACATAGTCCAGTAACGAACATTAGGGGTTGCGAAAGATATAGAATGCACCTCAAATGAGACAGAGAAACCTCTATGAGCCCATCAATTGACAAAAAATTACCCTCATTTGTACACGTGGGAGAGTTGACCACCACGTCGCGACGAAAAAGGTTTTGGAACTGAAGCATGAGACTTGAGATGGTTTGGGGTGGTTCACATTGAAGTTAGCCAACTAGCTAGCTTGTCGTTGAGATTGACGGAGAGGAAACTCAACCCATATGGAAATGGCATGATGGTCTGAGTCGAGTTCGTCACTTCCTTTAGCTGTCGGCACACATTTTGCTGCTCACCAACGACGAGCTTTGTCAGCACCACCTTACTGTGCAAACAATGTGCCCTTGTTGTTAGCTTGAGCTGGAAACACCTAAGCATGTATTTTGCACGTGTTCGTTCACTCGCAGGGTCTGGACCCTTTCCCTCCCAAATGATGCCTCCTCTTCCAACAGGGTTCGGAACAATCATCGGAAAGGAATTACTTCTAGAAGTGATGTGAAGATTGAACTCATGAAGGTCGTCGACTCTGATGACTAGGGTTTCCGTCTTTAGTGTTAAAGAAACAATGAACTTTCCTATGCAATTCATCTGTTGGATTAGATCTTTTCTGGAGTCTATAAGCTTTTGTATCACAGTCCATAGGGGCCTAATTACTTTTCATAAAAAAATGGTGAGACAGGGATATTGAATGTGCAGATGTGACGTAGAATTCTTAACTTGGTATCAATTTTTAGAACTATTAAAGCAACGATAATGTTATGCAAACTGTAAGTGACCAGTAAAGTTTTAGTTTGATTAACTATTAAATCCTATATCTCTTGATAATATGACATAATTGGACAAATAAGTGAGTTTAAAAGAACACAATTTCTGAATATCAATTTCTAGATGATTTCAATTATTTAAATTTTTTATCTTACAGGGTAATTGACCATATGTATCATTCATAGTTACTTAGTTTAATATGAAATAACCGCAGTACAAGACAAATCATGAAAGTTGAGCTGGAGTTTTCAAGGACACATTGATGTGGTCATGTGCATTAGCAAGGTAGGTACCACAAGATAGGTTTTTTTTTTTTAGTGAATAAGATTGTCCTTCAACTAAATTTAGAGTATGTTGGTTGACAAATAATTTTTTCATTGCATAGAGTATGGATGGAAAATGTTATTTTCTAACTATTTTTTGTTATTGTATTGTGCATAATATAGGTATTGCTATATATGTATTGTTTCTCAAACAAAAGAAATAAATATTGACTTAAGGTTATGATCATGAGTTTTCTATTTATGCTACGCTTTTTTCAGACAAACTCTTTTTGTGTTATGCCAATTTTCTTTTCAACTATAGGCAACTAAGTGACTACATCATTAAATAGACAAGTTATGAATGATTATTCACGAGTGTTACAACCAAGGTTGTTACACCTCTACCAGACAGCTACTTGGACTAGGTCTGACCAAAATCGTGCTCCAAATGGACTCTACAAAACCAAGGTTCTCATCGTTAGAGGGGGAGAAGAAGAGAGAGGGAAGGGGAAGGGAGAGAGAGGAAAGGGGATGGTGGGTGGATCTTGAGATAAGTATATATTTTAATAGAATTTGAATTTTTAATAGATATAAGTTAGTACATTTCAGTCACTAAAATTCTATATTATATGTAAATATCTTTAGAAAAGGTGTAAAATTGCTCAAACAAGTTGGACTTTAATCAAACCATTAAACTTCAAACAACTTGTTTGACCGGCTAAACGACTTAAACCGGTTTGACAACTTTGGTTATAACCATTAAGATTACAATGTTCATCATTGATGAAAAGTTATAAGAATTTCGAAAATGAAAAAATAATTTCGATATCACGTTAATGTCATACAAAATTCAGCATTTCAAATAATTTAAATACATATCTTAAATACGTTATATTCAAATGACATTCCGACCAACGGGTCGGACAACAAACTAGTAGTATTTTATTTCAAACTTCAGTAAAAAATAGATTATTATCCCCAAGAAAATTCCAATTAAATTAAATGAAAAACAGTTGTGGTAATTTCCGGATTAGAACAGTAAAACAAAAAATTATGAATAAGCAGAGTGGTAAACTTTTCTCCTCTTTTTTTTAATGAGGTGGCACTGGCAGTGGCAACAAAGCCAAGGGAAAGAAAGAATATTAGTGAACAGTAACAGTCTGAGAGTCTTTCAGAAAAGAAGTAAAAGAACAAACTGAGCAGAGATGCTCTTGTATATATTTGTTTCTGGTAAATGGAGAACAGGGAATCAAAGATGCTTTATGCAGAACTTTATCTTTACGTGTTTTAAGAAAGAAAAGGAAAGCAAGAGGGAGAGATCTCTAAAAATTTGGTAAAGCTATGCATGTAACGAGAAGAAGATCAGAGATTGAGATGAGCGAGATTCCCTTTGGCGTCTCTTGGAAGAGAAAGGGCGGGAGACAGAAGAAAGAAAAGGTTCGTCTACCCTTTTGCTTTTCATTGTGCCTCTTCACATTCACTTTAATTCCCCCCTCTGCCTCTGGTTTTGCACTTTCCAAATGAAAGAATTTTCCCAATGTTATTAATACTCTTACTGCTACTACTTCTCTCTGCTTTGGCGCTAGCTTTAAGCTTGTTTTCATTACTTTGCCTCTGAGCCTCTCCCCCCCTTTCGAGTTTTCTAGACCTTACTGCCTCTTCTGCCTTCTGGGTTGCGTTCCTGAAGAGTAAAAGGTAGAAGCTTTTCCTGTACTAGTCCCCTGCTTTTTTTTTTTTTTTTTTTTGGTTACGAAGGGAGGTTAATTGGATATTGTGACTTCTTCGTTCTAGTAGCTGTATCTTTGTTTATTGGGATTCTGAGAAATTTTGGGATTCGGGTTTTTATTACATGGAGATTTGGGTTTTGTAGAGTACGAAGACTTCATTACTAAAAAGGAATTGCATCGTGTGTTGAGAGAGAAGGGAAGAGCGGCGAAAGAGATGGCAGGAGGAGGACCAGCGCCGCCGCCAAAACAGGATGAATTGCAGCCTCATCCAGCCAAGGATCAGCTCCCCAACGTTTCTTACTGCATCACCAGCCCTCCTCCTTGGCGTGAGCATCTCATTCCTTTGCTCCTTCACTGCTTTCATGTCCTTTCTGTTATATCAACTTAATTCATACAGTCGAGTGAACTAATAGGTCTGTTATCCTTACGGAAGATCACTGTAATACCAGTAACTAATAGCACAGGCTTCTTTAGATGATCCATTGCTCATTTTTTTCCTGTATTGATGATCTGACCTTTTGGATGGAGTTCTCTTGAGTATCTGAGGTGGGGTCTAATGATTTGGGCTCATTCGCCAAAATTTTTGCAGCCGAGGCAATTCTACTTGGCTTCCAGCACTACTTGGTGATGCTTGGAACAACTGTGCTGATCCCCACCTTACTTGTCCCTCAAATGGGAGGTGGAAACGTAAGCATCAAAGTCTTCTCATTACTGTAGCTGCAAAAAGTGAAATCATGTTTCTGTAATGTGGTTCTCAGTGGTCGGCTGTATTTTCTTTCCAGGAGGAGAAGGCAAAGATGATTCAAACTTTGCTTTTTGTGGCGGGATTGAACACATTTTTCCAAACCATGTTCGGAACTCGCCTGCCTGCAGTCATTGGAGGCTCCTACACTTATCTTCCAACTACCATCTCAATCGTCTTGGCTGGCCGGTACAGTGACATTGTGAACCCTGCAGAGGTTGATCAACTAAAACCATTAGTTCCCTTTTGCGGGCTCCCTTGATCGATCTACGATTTTTGAAAGCTTTGACTAACTAGATTGATTCGCTGGCTGATTGGTTGCAGAAATTTGAAAAGATTATGCGTGGAACTCAAGGTGCGCTCATTGTTGCTTCCACACTCCAAATTGTCATTGGCTTCAGTGGCCTATGGCGTAACATTGTAAGGTCAGTTATAAGTTTCTCAACTGCCTCCTCTGTCAGTTATTTCTTATTGGAGTGTATTAAGCACACTTGTCTACATTGCCAGGTTCTTGAGCCCACTGTCTGCTGTCCCTTTGGTTGCTATGTCCGGATTCGGGCTATACGAGTTTGGTTTCCCCCTGGTGAGCATTCAGATCAAGCTTCTCCCTATTTGAAGTCTATTCCCGTGTCTCTTTCTTCCACATTAACATTTGAACTTTGGGGGAGATTTCAGCTTGCAAAATGTGTGGAGATAGGCCTGCCCCAGGTCATCATTCTGATAATCTTTTCACAGGTATATCTCATACTGCAAATTGCAACGCTAAATGGCCTGGATCTGCTCGGCAAAGTATATCCAAATGATCTTCTAATCAATTCATGTCTTTGCAGTATATACCTCACTTGTTAAAGGGGGAGAAATCCATATTTCATCGCTTTGCTGTTATATTCTCTGTGATTATCGTTTGGGTATATGCCCACTTGCTCACCGTGGGTGGAGCATACAAAAATGCTGGCCCTAAAACTCAGCTAAGTTGCAGAACCGACAAAGCTGGCATTATAGGCGCTGCTCCATGGTAATTAGGCTCTTTCTTATACTCGCAACTGAAGCATTAAAGTTGATGCTTTTTTACTATGATGACCCACTTCATTATCTTGTGTCTTTACTGTCTAACTGGTGCTCTCATTTGATGTTGATAGGATAAGAGTTCCATATCCATTCCAGTGGGGAGCTCCCACGTTTGATGCTGGAGAGGCCTTTGCAATGATGATGGCTTCATTTGTTTCACTTGTAGAGGTTTGCTTGCCTCAACCCTTTTTCTTTATAACTCCAAAATCCTGCAGTCATCAGACTCAGGAGAGCAATAAAAGTGTCGTTTGCTTTATGACCAATTATCTTCCTAATCTACTTTTCCATATCGGAACAGTCAACTGGTGCTTTCATTGCTGTGTCGAGGTATGCAAGCGCAACCCCAATGCCACCTTCTATACTCAGCCGTGGTGTTGGTTGGCAGGTAAAGTTAGGTAGCATTTCCAAAACCAATTCATTCCAAGAATTGGAGCTATTAAGCGAGCTTAAAGGTTAATCCGTATATGCTCTTAAAATGAAATCCTCATTGTAAAACTGTCATTTCTGGTCGCATCTGAGTGGTATAAGAACCAGGTTATATCTCTACTCACTAGTGAAGTTATTAGAACGTTCAACATGTTCCACTAGTCTCTTACAGTTGTCCCTTTCCTAGTCTTTTCTGATTTCTCCTCACTGTGTTCAGGGCGTTGGAATTCTGTTCTCTGGGATATTTGGAACGGGGAATGGTTGTGCAGTGTCTGTGTAAGTATGAATCCTGTCTAGAGATAACAAGCAACAGAAGCATTCAATATTCTTCTTCTCATCATGTTTCGGAACCTTAACCGGGGTTCAAAAACTGCAGTGAAAATGCCGGATTATTGGCCTTGACAAGAGTTGGCAGCAGGCGGGTGGTGCAGATCTCGGCAGGCTTCATGATTTTCTTCTCCATTCTTGGTAGTCCATCTCTCCTTCTTATCTCCCAATCTTCATCTCTCCTTTCCCCTGTCCTGCACTTGGACATCACCTAATCCGTGTCCTTCCAGGAAAATTTGGAGCTGTTTTTGCATCCATTCCTGCTCCAATTGTGGCCGCTCTGTACTGCCTTTTCTTTGCCTATGTTGGTAAGTCGTTCTGATCAATTTCCTTAAACTCAAAACAGCTTCCCAATGTATTGTTAGTACAGGTGAAAGGAAAATTTTGTAAACTACATGGTTCTGTTGAATGAGCACAGGCTCAGCTGGTCTGGGTTACCTTCAGTTCTGCAACTTAAACAGCTTCAGAGTAAAGTTCATCCTGGGCTTCTCCATCTTCATGGGCCTATCCATCCCACAGTACTTCAACGAATACACAGCAATCAACGGCTATGGCCCGGTCCACACCGGGGCCAGATGGGTACGTTAGATTTTCACTTAGCTTAAGCTTCTGTTTGTTTGCTCTTAAAAGATCAAGGTTAGGGTGATAGTAGCTCAGATTTGTTGCCAGCACATATGCTGAGTGTTTGATGCATGGGGGTTGTGGATGGTTTAATTTCGTGCAGTTCAACGACATGATCAACGTGCCATTCTCGTCGGAAGCGTTTGTAGCTGGGATACTGGCCATGTTCTTGGACGTGACGATGCACAAGAAGGAGAATGCGATCAGGAAAGACAGGGGAATGCACTGGTTGGACAAGTTCAGGTCGTTTAAGACCGACACCAGGAGCGAAGAGTTCTACTCTTTGCCCTTCAACCTCAACAAGTTCTTCCCATCAGTTTGATTTTCATCACACTCTTTTCCCAGAGGCGTTAGTTGGTTTTCCCCGTTTTCTGCCACGAGGTTATGGCTCGTTTCGTGACTAATTAGTTGTGCCATTGCCAGTTCTGCTCCTCAGTCTCCAGGTTTACATATTGAGCTTTAGTACTCTCTCATTTGACTAGGTTGGCTTTTTCCCTTTGTTTTTTTTCTGGGTTCTAGTGGAAATATGTAAAATGTAACATATGTATTCGTTCTCTTTGTTTTGTAAGAGGTAGTTGACATATCACAATCAATCTCTAACCGACTCCAATCTTGCACTTCTTTAAATAAAGACTCAAGTGAACTTTTATACATAGTTTGTAAAATACTATACGGGAAAGTTACGTAAAAAATCCGTACGGGTATTTTACGTCGTCTCTAAGGTAAAGTTACGTTTAAAAGTACATTAATAGTAATAAATATATGAAAAGTAATTATTTTAAAAATAAATAAATACATAAATAATCGTAAAGTTCACAATTTAATTCATTAAGGATATTAAACGTGTTATACGGGTTTTATACGTGTTTAGCACGGGAGCCATCCTTTGAACGGGGAAAAATGAAATGGCTTGACAATAATACGGATACGGAAGTTTTAAACGGATAAAGTACATACGGGTACATCTACGTGTATCAAACGGAGTATTTACTAACTATGCTTTTGTATGAGAAAAGAAAAGCTAATTAACCTAATTGGCTAATTCACAATGAATTGATTGTCCCAAGCAATGTTTGGTTTGGGCCAAATGCCTACAAGTACATTATGTCAAAGGTGCCTTAGAGGTCTTTGGATGAGGCCATTTGTCCTAATGGCATCAAAATGAAGCAATTTAGTCAAATGGCCTTGTTTGATAATATAAAATGGGATGCAGTAATTGGGTCAATGTAATTTGAATTGTGAGGTCTAGAATTTAAAGGCATAGACTTACGAGTTACATGCCTACATCATAAAACCGCATTGAAATGTGATTGACAAAGAACTATCTATCTTGATAAATCATAAGGAGGCTAAGTTTAGCTCAAGTGAGCTAAACTCTAGTTCACTCGACCCAACTAGTTTGGAGCTTAGATTAATCTAGCTCAACGTGTTTTCTTAGTTGCTCAACTACTCAAGGTACTTGAACTTAGCTAAGAGCGGCTAGAAACTTGTGACACTAACAGGAAGTGACAAAATTCTTGAGTGATGTCACACCACTGAATTCGGCTAGAAACTATGACTCAAGTGTGTTCACATAGATGAGTTGGATCTCTTTTTGTTGGCTTAATTGCAAGTTTGGTCATTCGAATTGCTTAAAAATTACACTAATGTGGGCAATATGATGACTTATCACGATCGACCTTTAAAATGTAGTGGCCGACCGTTTTGAGTTAAGTTGTGACATTACCGGTCGACCACAATAAAACATGGGTCGCAAATTGGTCGACCGTAAAGGTAATGAGGTCGACCACTTGATTATGGTCATTACCAAAATGGTCGACCATTTATAGAAAGAGGTCGACCAGACAGAAGAGTAAAGTGCTCTATCCATTTATCCATCCCTTTTTGACGTGAAATGAAGATCTAGTGTTGGTCTTGAGGTCGACAGAATACAATAAGAGGTCGACCGAATTAAGGAAATTTAGCCTATGACCTTCGACTTTTTTGCGTATGTATGTCGATGTGGGTGGTTCGTTTGATCGTTCAACTTACGTTTGATAGTCATTGGAATCAGTCTTATATCATGATAGCAAGGACTCATAACTTCTTAACATAACAACGTAACACACTAACAAGAAATATAATAAAACACACTTCATAATTGTTCACATAAAACACACTTCATGAAATCAAAAACCACATAAAAACAAAAAACACAAGCTAAACTCATGGAGTTCCTATACCTCTCAACTCTCTGAAACAACAAATCAGGTCGACCTAATCCTAATGGCATTTGTCCTAATGGCATCAAAATGAAGCAATTTAGTCAAATGGCCTTGTTTGATAATATAAAATGGGGATGCAGTAATTGGGTCAATGTAATTTGAATTGTCCCGTATCAATGTGAATTGAAGGGCTTACGGTAAGTATAGTGAAATGAAGAAATTTCGAGACAATTGGACCTTATTTTAGAAATCTATCTTCTAAACGACCTTATAAAAACACGTAGTTCAAGAACTTGATTGTTGTTTTGCATCAGCTTACTAAAGTAGGGTGTTACAATTTTCTCTTGTTCAAAGGCATGCGAGCCTGTTTGACTATGAGTTGGCTGAACTAAGATTCTGACTAAGAGGTCTAGAATTTAAAGGCATAGACTTACGAGTTACATGCCTACATCATAAAACCGCATTGAAATGTGATTGACAAAGAACTATCTAACTTGATAAATCATAAGGAGGCTAAGTTTAGCTCAAGTGAGCTAAACTCTAGTTCACTCGAATCAAACTAGTTGGAGCTTAGATTAATCTAGCTCAACGTGTTTTCTTAGTTGCTCAACTACTCAAGGTACTTGAACTTAGCTAAGAGCGGCTAGAAACTTGTGACACTAACAGGAAGTGACAAAAAATTATTGGGTGATGTCACACAACTGAATTCGGATTGAGTTGTTAGTCAATAACTATGACTCAAGTGTGTTCACATAGATGAGTTGGATCTCTTTTTTGTTAGCTTAATCAAAGTTGGGTCTCCTCTTTTTTTTTTTTTTACTCACATCAAACTTCCCTCTCTAAGCACGAGAAGCTTAGCCTTGTGTGTCCAAACTACTCATACGAAACCATCTATTGAGAAGGAAAGACAAAAAAAAAAAAAAGGTTTCAAGACAATCAGTGGCGGAGTCACTTGGAGAGGAGTGGGTTTGGAAAAAAAATTCCCCCAATAGGGGTATATACAAATTTGAACTAGTGATCATTCAATTGTAAGGAGAATTCCTTATCATCTCGACCAAGTGAATTTTGATGTGCAATGCACTTTCGTCTTTATTTATGGTAATAAACTGTTGTCTTTTGTTTAAATTTGTTCATTTCTTTTGTAGCTCTACTACAGAGAAATCTCGTCTTTTGTTTAAAACAAAACTGAAAGTTAAGAAGTACCAATTGAAGTTCACTTGTTTGTTTCACAAAATCAATTCCAATGTACTTCTGAGTTCTAATTTGTAATATCTGATGAACGGAAGTCTTGACTTGTATGTAACGAACTTATTTGTTTGACGTTGTAACCTGTGTACGTGAAACTATTTTTATGTAATTGTATGAATTTAGAGTATTACGTTGTTTGACTTTTTGTTTCATTTAGAGTTGACTTTTCTATTATATAGGTGATTTTTTACGATATGATAAAGACACCCCCTTGGACAATTTTCTGGCTCCGCCACTGAATACAATGAACTCGTTGTTTTTTACCCACATCAAACTGCCATCTTTAAGCATGGAAAACTTGGCCTTGTACGTCAAAGGTGTCCACACAAAAAATTGTATCTCAGATAGCATGTATTTGTTTATGCTATAGTTAGGATTTCAAAATGGAATACCCTTATTATTAGTTTTGGCATCATCCATTAAGCTACAATTACTTACGTGATACACCCATACGTTTTATTGCATATATAAAAATAGTTTACCGTTCATAAATAACAAGTAAATTAAATTTAAAAAAAGTCATAATTGTATCCTTATTCAAGCATTAATCGGAAACTTTAGTAAGATGGTTTCTAAAAAACGACATCTGGGATTTCCATCTGTGTATCTTCTTGTGAAGTTAGCATTGCTGCTACCAGTCGCCACTGCAAGTGTTGAAAGAGTATTTTTCGGCAATGAATTACATGAAGAACACTATTCGGAGTCGAATGAGTGATGGTATTGGAATAATTTTTTGGTAGGATGTATTGAGAGTGACATGAACGTATTTTACAGACTTTTCAAAATATGAGAACCTATAGTGAGTCACTATAAAAAAATTATCATTTTAATTTTTTTAAATTGGCACCCCCTTACCCAAAATCCTGGCTACGCCACTGCATCCAACACAAGTTGGAGTTCTCTACACTACTAACTCCAAGTTAGAAACTTGCTTAAAAGCTTAAGAAGGAATAGAACACAAAGTTGGTTCACTTAATATCACTCAATAAGGAGAAAGGCTAGGCAATAGGCATCGATGCCAGATGGGGTGGGTAAATGGCATTCAATTCAAGGGTAGCCCTTCCATGATCGTGTGGCCACCTCTCATTATTTTCTTCCAATATGAATGTGACATGAATGTCACCGTAGCAAAGTTCAAAACTTTTTAATTCTCCAAATTTTTTAATCGGCTTGTATTTTCTTTGTTTAAACACGAATTTTGATTTTTTTTTTTTCACAGACGAAAACAGTTCATTGTGATATTCATTTTTGAAATATTGTAAGGGAAAATTTTCTGGATTTTCTATTATCACCCTCTAACACTCATTACTACCCATTTTTACCTAATCTGTTTTAACTCAAGTTCCAAAAGAATTTGTACATAAAATTAGTTCATTATCATAAACAAACTTATTTAAATTATTGATATATTTTGAGAAAATGTTTGGGGAACAATTAAACCACTTTTTATCACCTTCTAGCATAGTGGCAGATAATTAATCCTCGTCAACTAATTTTGCATTTTCTGCTTATATATTGAAGTATATAATTTTCTACAAAAAGTACATAGCTCAGCTACATTAATCATTGTAAGATCAAGTGAATTCCAATATTTCAACTAAGATTTATAGTCAAGTTAGAAGTCATTGTCCTGATAGTATCAAAACTCTTGTTCTGTTCACCAATCTCTTTTTTATACAAAAATTATTGAGTTTCTTCTTATAAAAAAGTATTATAAAATTCATCAAAACTTATTTGATCAAATGATCGTGTATTCGAATATTTGTCACCCAATATTCCAAAAAAAAAAAAAACTTGACTTGCTAGCTAGTTAACTAATTGGTTGTACCAAAAGTGTCCAAACCATACACAGCAAAGGAAGTTTTACACGTTGGGGACATGATCTAATGCAGCGATCGATCTGCAGGTTTTTGTACTGTACAACAAGAACTTGAACTCGACCAACATTTAAACTGAACTAAAATTTCTGTCTATTTTGTGTTCCTTTCCCACACTCTGTCCATTAATAAATAGTGGGAAATGGATACTTTTGTATTTTGTATGAGACGCGAAGAATGTAGAGAAAGCAACCTCCTATAATTGGAAGAAAACAACAAAAGAACCTTCAATAAACAATTAAATCCCTCCTACACTCTCTTCCCATTGTTAGCTGAAGGGGGTTTATGTGCAAACTTTTTAATTAGGAGAATCATTAGAATGTTTACTAGACAAGGCACAACTTACCAACCCTAACCTAATTGTTGGTCTCCCACAAAAGGGTAGCATAGCCCATAAGTGTATATATATATTTCAAAAAAAAAACGTTGTCCAATTATTGCATAACTTCTTATAATTGAACCTAAATTTTGGATGAGGGGGTTAGGATTTTCATCCTACCACTTTCTAATACTTATGATACAAATGCACACACTAGAACATTAAATCGAAATTGTGTGCTTTAAAAAGGTTTTGTGAAGAAACCCCAATTAATATATTTGTTTGAATTCGAAATAAGACCGTCTTATCATGTTTTGGACACATTTTAGGTGTTGTATATTAAGTGTAATGAATTTAATAATTCTCACAACAAGGTTGTATTATTGTGAACCGTACACTTGATATATTTTAGTTATATGAATACTCTTGAGCATGTTGTATGACTACATGTATTAACTTGTAGATACATCAATTGCCGTCCAAATCAATTTCGTTTGTCCATTGATTGGCTCCAATTTAAGAGAAAAGTAGTAGGGAGTTTGGTGGAAGTTCGATCCTCAAAGAGCTGAGGCCGCTCACACTTTCATTTCTATACCAACGATGTAAACAGTTAGCTGAATGGATTACAAAACCCTGTTACTTGACACTCACCCATTCAACACTTTAAACACTAAACCATGTTCTTAATGGCTAATATAAAACAGCACAACATAACTAATGGTTGGTTCGTAACTTTGCAAAACAAATCGCTCCATGTTCTAAGCTATTTAGTTGAAATGCTTTATTTGTCTAAATCCTTCCACAATTTGGATGGATAGAATTGTTTGCCTCCCGTAAGTTGTGGCAGTCACTCTGACTCCCAATTTGATTAGCAATTCCTTCAACCGAGCCTTGTCAAGTCTCTTCATAAACAAATATGCACCAATTGATTCATTGTACTCACGTGATGAAGCTTTATCAAACCTATCTTGATCCTTTCTCTAGTAGCATGCATATTGATTTCGATATGCTTTGTTCTTTCATGTAAAACAGGGTTCTCTCCTATATGAATAGATGATCCGTTATCACAATACACAAAGATTGGTAACGGAACCTGTAAACTCAGTTATGCCAGTAATCCTTTTACCAACTTCACACACTAATAGAGCCAAATCACTGTACTCTGCCTCTTAAGATCATCTTGGGATTGTGGTATGTTCTTCGTGTTCCATGTAAGAAACTAGCTTTCTAGAAAGGTATAGTATCCAGTTATTGATATACTAGTATCTGGTCAACTTGCCTAGTCATATTCATAAAAACCAACCAATTTAATGTGTGCTTTAATGCTTAAGTGTATACCTTGTACTAGAATATTCTTCAAGTATCTTAGAACTCTGTATGTTGCTTGAAAGTGATAATTTTAGGCTTCTTCTAAAATTCACAGTTGATGAACAACAAAGGTAAATTTTGGTCTAGTGATGGTGACATAGTGAAGTCTCCCAATACATCTTCTTTAAGCTTATAAAGACATACTATCTCCTCTCCATACGAGTCCGTGAAGAGGAGAGGTGTTTGGGGAGTGGAAGGTAGTGAAAGATAATCTAGACGCTATAAGGCTATCTGAACCCCAAAAACATCCTCAAATGGCACTCCAGACCGAGAGAAATGCACTTCGATGGCTTA